AGGTGGAGGAGGAGGTGATGGTGGAGGTAGAGGTGGCAGAGGAAAATCAATCATAGGTTGCAAAAGTCAAGGAAGCAACTGTAACAGTAACGACGCAAACCCAGAGAACGCCAAAACTGTCGTACTGTCAGTTCAAAGCGATGACAACGCAACGGGCGGGGGAGGGGGGAAAGAGAGGGGGGGAGGGGGGCCCCCCGGGTAAACAGGAGATACGTGGGGGCCCCTGACGCCCTTTCCCCCTTCCCCTTCCCCCCCCCTTTTCCCTCCTGGAATGGCACATCATAGCCCATCATGAAGAAGAGTGACAACCCAACACACACGTCTCAACCTCATCCCCACATCATTCCCACGCTATCCCGTACACTTATCGTACATATATCCACGTACTCCCGCACCTTGGGGCCATCCTCCGTGACGGCGGTGTTGCTTACCCACGGTGCCGCCTGATTAAAGAGCCCCGAAACCAACTGCAGGATTGGATCTGTTGCAGGGTAGCCGTACAGCCGTACGGCAAAAAAAGGTTATGTATAAGGGATTTAGGACTTCTTAGGGTTTTATTTTGTCCGCTAAGAAATACTGTTATAAACATTACAAGCAAAACGCAATGCACAATATTAAATAATAATAAAAACAACCCTTACTTCCGCTTGTGCGATAATAATAATAATAATTTGCGGGTTGTTTGGTACGGGTTGCGGTGTTGGGTTTGGCGGTAAAGAGTACTGAGTGCGGATCTCATACTTTTTTCCTAATCAAGCATTCACGGGTGTCTCAATAGAGATCCTAAAAATGCCACAAGGCGATCTTTATTACTTACTAACACAACAACGAGAACAAGCCGGAATGTGAAACTCACTCACTAGCACCGTCTCACATGCATAATGCCGTCAGGGACACGGGTGAGTGGTGGCTGCTTCATCCCTCAATTCCCCCCAAACACATACATACATACATACATACACACCATTCCGCCTACCACATTGTACCGTACTCCGCTTCCGCTGCCTGCCGTACCTGCCAGCCCCGACATGCCGTACTTGACCAAGGATGACAACACGGCGGTCAACACCACCGACAGCTGCCGGTCCGATTCTAGACCCGAAAGCAGTGCGCCACTGCTACTGCCGCTGCTGCTCAGACTCAGGCTGCTGCTGCCGCTTGCGATGTCCAAACCTAGCTCACTGCCATCCATCAAAGTGCAATTGTTGTTGTTGTTGGTGGTGGTGGTGGTGGTGGTGGTGGTGGTGCATTCTGAGGGCAGCACTCCGAAGCATCTCATGGCGATGTCCAGGAGGCTGTCCGGGCAGAAAGCCACGCCACGGAGGGTCTGTGTGGGGTTTGGGGATGTGGGGGTGTGTGGGGGAGGGTGTGTGTGTGGGTGAGGGTGTGTGTGTGGGTGAGGGGGTGTGTGAGATGTGTGTGTGTGGCGGAGGGTGTGTGTGTGGCGGAGGGTGTGTGTGGCGGAGGGTGTGTGTGGCGGAGGGTGTGTGTGGCGGAGGGTGTGTGTGGCGGAGGGTGTGTGTGGCGGAGGGTGTGTGGGGGGTGAGGGGTCGCGGAGGGGGAAAACGTACCACAGGCGAGCGGGGAAGCTGAAAGACATTAGGGATAGACAGGATGGACGGATAGATACTGCATCAGGGCTATGTACTCCAGGAGTGACCAGTGGGAGAGGAGGGAGGAGTCGAGGGAGGAGTTGCAAAGAGTAACAAACCAACTGCCAACGTCCAACGAACCAAACTGAACCAGGCTAAATAAAAAAGGCGAAGGAGGAGAGAAATGTCTGTGAGGGAGGTTGATTACCGCTGCGGGGGGTTGATCGGGGGGTGGCGAGTGTGTTTTTTTGGACGTTGAGCTAATATATCCCCACTCACATGCCCATTAACAACCTCCATCTCCATAAATTTATTGTATCACGTCCTTTTCGGAAAAGAAGACCGATCGATGGATCTCAGGATATCCCGTGATAAGCCCTCCAGAATACTACAATTATCCCCCGTCTGTGAGCTTCATCTCCATCTCCAGCCCTGGCCACATCCCCATCCACAGCCTCAAACAGCAGCAGCAGCAGCAGCAGCAGCAACAGCAGCAGCAGCAACAGCAACTACAAGTTGTTGTTCGTTGCTATTAGCTGCCCAAATATTGAAACACGCCCTCCGTGTTCCCGCCAACTTCCACACCCACACCCACACAAGCAGAAATACACAACCCCCCACACACACATACACATATACACCCCCCAAAGATACATATCCCAGCCCACACATAGCTCTAGAAGACCAACTCCCGCCCTCACACCCACATGTACACACGGAACGTATACCCAACAACCCAGCTAACTAACAAATCCAGAACCCCCCAACCTCCTAACCGTCCCATACACCCACCCCAACCAAACAACCAACAAAACCACCAACTGACAACCGCCCGCCCACCTCGATGTCCAGCACATCCGCAAGGACGCACTTGTTGAGTGTCGAGTCCCAATCGCAGCTGTACGACGAGTACGACAGGCATTCGGGTTTACCCGTGAAGTTTGAGCAAACGGTGGCGCGCAGCGCCGCATCCGCCAGCGTCCTGTATGTATGTGTGTAGATGTGTACATGGAAAGAGAGTTGACGTAGTGTATGGAAGTGTGTGTGGGGGAGGGGGGATGCGCCCGGCGCACTAAAATATTTGGGGGGGGTACATGCACGGTTCACACCCTCAATCCGAGGGTCTCACAAGTGAGAGTCTTGCCATACACTGCTCCAGTGCTGGTGGCAGCCAGAGGGTTTTGCTCTCAAAGGGAGATATGGCGCAAGTAGCCAGCTAGAAGCCAGAAGCAGCCAAGCTTTCAAGAGACGATCAGACGAGGTGCTGCGGGTGCCGAACAGCCCGCCCATGTACATGAGCCGCGTGTGCTGCCCCCCCTGGGCTTAACAACCAGCGCGGAAAGCACGTAATGTAACCCAAATCAAAAGCGCGACAAGGCGTATTTCTGAATATAATGTTTCCGGGAACGTATAGACCTACTTGGCACTGTCCGTCGTCGGTGAGCCAAGGATGCTGGGTAAACTCCTCACGAAGTCTTTTCGCAGGCTACATTGGATTCCGTCCCATGTGCAGTCAGCCACGCCACTCTGTAAGGTGCGGTGAGAGATGACGCCACCCCGTTCATCCTTCAGATTCGCGACACCGTTGCCCAAGATAGCTTCGTCTGATTTCAACGCCTTTGCTCCAACTGCACTAGGTATGCGTGTGGCGGATACGAATAAGATGAAGGCAAGTAGAAAGGTTTGGAGAGTCCGCATTCCTTTCGGCTGGAAAACGGTGTATATATTCTATTAGCTTATACAATATTTTTTGAGTTACGATGCTTACAGCACCCAGAACCAGTTTCGTTTTATGTAGCCATCATCTTGCCATTGCGATAACAGGAGCCTCTGCAGGTAACGGGATGTGTACCCGCTAGATGGTACGAATCGATAATTCGTGCAGAACATAGGCTTATCCTAGCGTGAAAAGATTTCGATACTGATTTTGGAGCGAATAACTGTGGCGGAGGCATCACTGGGATTTATGGCAGGGACTTGCCAATTTGGATGTAAGGGAAAGCTACTGATAGCCGAATTTGTGAAATGGCTGAGCTGTCGAACCCAAAACTCGAATCAATCGCCGATGCCCTCATTTTGGATGGTATCTGGGACGCAGCTAAGTCTGTTCCATCACCACTGCTCAGAAACATTTACTGGCGAAAGCCGCGCTTATCATGATGATCGGTGACAAAATTCTCCAAGAAGTCGACCAGAGCAAATGATTCGAAAGCACAGGTATCCAAATTGGCAACGCACGTGGAAGTCACAACGATCATGGTGGTGTTGAAAAACACCGAGATTTTTTATAGGTTCGGAGGTAGAGAAAAGGGAGGATCCGATTAGGCCGACGTGAACTTGGTGACAGCCTTGGTGCCCTCGGACACGGCGTGCTTGGCCAGCTCGCCAGGCAGAACCAGGCGCACGGCAGTCTGGATTTCGCGCGACGTCACGGTGGGCTTCTTGTTGTAGCGGCTCAGCTTGGAGGCCTCGGTGGCAACCTTCTCAAAGATGTCGTTGATGAAGCTGTTCATAATCGACATGGCCTTCGAGCTGATGCCGGTATCGGGGTGCACCTGCTTCAACACCTTGTAAATGTAAAGCTTGTAGGTCTCGCTCTTGGCGACCTTGGCCTTCTTCTTCTTCTTGTCCCCCTCAGCGGCATCGCCGGCAGCGGGCTCCTTGGCGGACTTCTTAGCCGGCGCCTTCTTCTCCTTCTTCTTGGGAGCCTTCTCAGCCTTGGGCTTAGCCTCGGCCTTGGGCTCGACAGCCTCCGATGCGGGCTTCTCCTCCTTGGTCTTTGGGGCCATTTGTAATGATCAGACTTTAGAAATCAGAAAGTGTGAGGTGAATGATACTGAGTGATTTCATAACCTAGTAGTCTGGAGCATTAAATGTTAGGGTCAGCCCGAGCCCGGTGATCCGACCCGTCGTTAGCGGTTGGCCCAGTGAGCTGCTCGGACTAACGGTAGCTCGGCCAGTGCCGTAAACCTCTTCCTTGTAAAATGTTTGCTTCAGCAGCAGGAACAATAACAACTGTGTGCTGCTAACCTAAAACTTATCAATCTTTGTTCGGAGTTCGCTCTCAAGTAAACTTACTGTTACAATGGCTGGTCGTGGCAAGGGCAAGACCGCTGGCAAGAAGGCCGTCAGCCGCAGCTCCAAGGCTGGTCTGCAGTTCCCTGTGGGCCGCATTGCTCGTTACCTGAAGAAGGGCAAGTATGCCGAGCGCATCGGTGCTGGCGCCCCCGTCTACCTGGCCGCTGTGCTGGAGTACCTGACTGCTGAGGTTCTGGAGCTGGCTGGCAACGCGGCTCGCGACAACAAGAAGAACCGCATCGTCCCGCGCCACATCCAGCTCGCCATCCGCAACGACGAGGAGCTGGGCAAGCTGCTGGGCGACGTGACCATTGCGTCCGGCGGTGTGCTGCCCAACATTCACGCCGTTCTGCTGCCCAAGAAGTCCAAGGGCGGCAAGGGCGAGGAGGGATCGTCGTAAGGGATTCACAGATCTGTGCAAAATCTGCACTCGCAGTCAACTTCCTAAACCCGGTGTTTTTTAACACCACCGATTCCTGAATTGGCTTTCCCGGGACGTTATATATTGGGCACTTTTTGTTCTTTGGGGGAGACCCACGGGGTTCACGAGTGTCAGTCAGTCGGCGACGTGTCTCATGATGAACTGCATGCACCAGTTTGAATCCGGGCTGAGCAGCTAGCCAGACCAAGAACCGGGACGAGAAACCCAAAACGCGTTCGTTACCGTACAACTAACATGAACAAGGCACCGGGGACGTGGACATAAGGTTGGGGATAAGAGACGCCCAGCCTGCCTGCCAGAGCCCGCATGCTACTTCGTGCGGCCCTTCCGGGCTACCGTGCTCTTCCGCATTGGTAACCCGCAGGCAGCCGACGGCCTCGCTTGGGTTACTTTGGCCCCACGCCTAACCCAGCGAAACATCCCCCGTGCCTCAAAACTAAAAGGCCGGCCTCTCACAAAACCAGGAACCCAAAGTTCGGAAGGGGGGAGGGCGGGCGGGAAAGAAAAGGACGTCAAATTCACACCGCTGACCAAAGGACAATAACAGCGGCAGCTAGCAGCTGTTCTGGTACAGAGGGCTCGTATCAACTAGTAGCCGAGTCCGAGATCGCCCGGAAGATAATTCGACAAGACTAAACACCGCCGATCAAATAGCAATTCAAAACAACAACCAACTAACTGCACCGTACGACGCCGCTCTGACGCCCCTCTTCAAACCACATTTTCGGCTATGCCTAAAATAAGATATTCATGCATCACTCCAACGCCGCCTGCCGCTGCACCCGGCCTTCACGGCTATCCCTTTCTGCGATATGTCAGCTGGTTGCTGAAGGGGGTAGTTTTCTGGTAGCGAGTTTACTTACTGGGACTGGTCATTCGTTCATTCAGCCCCTGTAGGCTTCCGGGGAAATGGATAACCTCCCATGCAGCTGACCTGGAAGATAGGAAAGCATTTCTCAAAAGACAAGATTCAACTTCGCTAGTAAGATAGATCAACCTCTATTTTGGATACGACACGGCAGATTTCAATGCCACAGAAAACACCTCAGGTCTGGAGTGAAGGCAGGGATGATGGAGGGAGGGCGGACGAAAAAAACAATCCCCTATAATCCTTCGGCCGTGTTAGCGCAGCGGCGTGCATGAAGGGTCCCCCCCAGGGTGCGACAGTCCGATCGGGTCCCGACAGGAATGGCACTTGTGCTGAAAATCCCGACAGGCTTTGAAAAATGCTTTCGGGCGGACCCGACGAAAAAGGGAGAAAATGCCAAACGGCCATCGGGAGCCCCCGACGGGGCCCGGAGGGCTCCCGTCGGGGGACCCGACAGGGTTAGGGGCGCTAGGACCGCCCGATCGGGTGCCGTGGGTCGTCGGTGGGCCCTTCGGCGACGGACAGCTACAGTTTGTGATGCTCACAGGCAGACGTGCAGGCGTGCATGTGTTGCTGTGTGTGTGTGTGTGTGTTTGTTCGTGCATATCAGAACTGTGAACTGCAAACTGAGAACTGGAAACTGCGCATATAAAATACGAATAAATGTAATTTCAAGCGGCACACAGCGAAATTTCGTTCTTGCGTCACCCGACAGGTTTTGGGATGGGCTATAGGGGCACCCGACAGAAATTGAAAGATATGCAAAAACGCTATCGGGTGGGGCCGACGGGCATGGGAAGGGGAAAACCGGCAACCCGACCATTTCAGGAAGGTCCTGTCCAACCCTGGTCCCCCCCTACCATACGAAAGTCCCAAGGCCATAGCTCCTTCGGGCAACCATGGGATCTGAATCTAGCCTTCCAATCCGGCGCAAGCCTAGGGTGGACCAGACAAGGGAAGAGGGAGGATGGAACCTGCGCGGTACGGCGTACTGTTAGGCCAGTCATTTCACGTCTAGTCATTTCACGCTCGGTTAAAACTGAGCAATTGAAGTGCGTAAATATTTGCCGCTGCGGTGCCCAATTCGCAGCTCCAGCTGGCACCTACAGTAATTTTATACTTGTATAACTGATGATTATTATGCGTAGGAGAGTTTTTAGTCGCCAGGGATTTACGTTCAGCTGCAAATCTCGTTTGGGCATGTCCACCAACGCTCCGAGACCGGAATCAAAACCCGACCTTCTCGAAGCAGCATCAACTAATTGTTATTTTGCATTGGTTACATTTTAACCGCTTAGATTAAATCTTACAAATCAGCAATGAGTGCGACGCCAACTCTTTCACGGTGTTCTCAAGCCAGGACTCTCAACTTCAGGTGATTTGCTTTACGTTTGTTATGGTACTATATGAAACTCACTACCCTACTGCATCACAGCTCAATTTGTGATTTATCCTGCAACGTGGACAGGCGGACATCAAACGCTGTCCGGCCATTCCGGACCGCCCGGATACCCATTAGAGTGCTTCCTGAGCAAGGAGAAGGTGGGATCCTCGCCGTTTCTTAACCCGAATTCTTAACTCGTCTGTCGAGACCCAAAGGTCTTCTGCCAGCATGCATCGACGAACTGGGTCCTTTCCGGCCACGCCCGCGCAGACATTTCGGAAGCCCTCAAGGCCGATCTCGAGCGGTTGAGGGCCAAATCTGCTTCCGGAGCTGCGGGAGGCCCATCGGGCACGGCCCAACAGGTGAGCCAGACCCTTGCATGGATCTGTCGTTGTTTAGTAATTGCCTACCCTTTGGGAGATTCCTGCGCATTCCGGCCCCATTTTGCGTACTCCCCTATCCTGACTTCCTCCTTTAGCTGACAACACCACACCCAACCCGTTTCCCACCTATTTCCCCCACCCGCCCGTATCACAAACCTGGTCAATCGCAACACATAGCAACACAACGCAACACACGCAATACAAATCGAGATCGTCCCCACCTGACCCCGCCCTTGCAGCCGCCGAAGGCAGAGGAGGCTGCGGGACCTTTACCAGGGCAGTTTAAAGATGCTTTGGATAAGGTAGAGAGAAGGGCGGGGGGAAGGGAGCTGATGCAGGCAAAAGAAACAGCAAGGGGAGTATATATAGCAGCAACTTCGACAGCTACTGAAAGAGCAACAGCAACAGCAGGAGCATTAGCAGAAGCAACTCCGCACCCGGGGTTACCTTGATTTTCAACTCGTGAACACCTCTCCCTGAATCCCACCTGCACGTATACACGCGACAGTGTCCCCTCGTCTCTTGCCGCCCATCCCCCCGCCATGTCCTCTCCCTTGTCACATAAATAACTCCCATCACAGCGCCTAACGGTCAACTGCCAACCACTGTTATGCCTTGGTCGCGCGGTCTCGTTGCATCTTATGATCGTCGTTGCGGGTAATTTTTCCGTTTTTATGCTGCAATATCGTGTTGATTTGGTTGCACGAATGGTGAGAGTTGAATCGTGCGTACTTTCTGGTTCTCGGGAAGAGAGCGGCCTTCTTTGGCATAAGGCCCCTTCTTGGTACCGCACCTTAGGTGTGATTTATGCCGCGGCGGGAGCCATGCCAACGTCTTTGTCGTTTGCTAGCCTTCGTGAGCGTGCAGACCAGGCACGATCGAAAAAATGAGTCGGTGCGTAACAGGCCACAAGTGAAATATTATTCCATCATCAAGTAGCACTTGTACATGGCATTTCAAACGTTTTACTGGGCTACGAAACGTACACGGCTTCCCGACAAGGCAATTGATCACTTCCTTCCAGCCTTAGCCTTTACAAAACCAGGACGGCGAGCGACTTAGCACGCGGGGGGAGCATCATCGCCGCCGCCGGTTGCAGGAAGAACATCCCAAAGCAGGGACAGTAGGGACGAGAGTGCGACGAGCGGCGATCTTTCCACCTCTGATGATGTCCAGCAACCCACACCATCTACCGAGTACACGAGTAACCTTTCGGCACACGATTTGTATATATGTCTGTCCGTGTGTGTTTTACATATTGGCGCCTCCCTCCCTCCCTCGCCTGCCTCTATCCTGATCTCTCTCATCTCCCGCTCTCCCGCTCTTCTCCTCGCCCCTGTCTGTCCCTCACCCTTCCAGTTGCTCATTGCGGATTTCTTCTTGGTGCTCTTCATTCTGGCCTGGCTGGCGGGCGGTGTGCTCCAGAACGCACTGAATGGCGGTAGCGGCAGCCCCCTGCTGGACGCCTGGTATCCCTTGTGGCCGCTGCTGTGGCAGCCCGCACTGGGCGTGCTGATGGCCGGGGCGCTGGTTAGCGGCGGACTTGGATGGCTCAGGGAACAGCAGCAGCAGCGGCAGTAGCAGTCGCGGTCGCGGTCGCAGTAGCAGAGGGAGATTGGCTAAGGCAGTAGCAGTGGCATCGGCAATAGTAACGGCTGTAGCAAGCAGCAGCGTTGGTAGTGGTAGATGAATGCGAGAGCTTAGTTGGGCGTAAGGCCCAATGCGTGACTGTTTTAGACTAACTGTTTCGCAACGGTCCGTGTCCTCAGGGGCGTCATTTATTGCGCGCATTGAGCTGGTTAGCTTATCTTGTTTTTGTTGTTCGGCGCGCGTTCGCCCGCCCGCCCACCCGTTCTCTGTGCAGCCCGCGTTAGTTCAGTTGCGGTGTCTGTTTCTCCGTTCGTAAGGCCCGTCTCCTTCGGGCCTTTCAGTCATTTTTCTCTCTTTCATTATATGTAACAGAAAAAAATGGCATTTGTCTCTGAAGCAACAACTAACATATCATGGAGGACTGCGACGAGTATAGAACGAAGCAAGGGCATAGCAGGGACTGTGGCAGTAGTAACGGGTCTGTAGCAAGGAATCGGGGGCGGCGTGGCGTGGCGTGGCGTGGCGGGGGAGTAGTAGCACAAGCCCAAGGCCCAGGAAAGTGCGAGAAGAAGCTAGCAGCTTTCACGCCCCACATGTGTTCGGGCAGCACCGGTGATCCGTTTTGTTCCGGTCGGGGCTCACTGTCAGGATCCATAAAGATCCATCAGGATCCATGAGTTCGTTCATTCATCATTCGTGGCTGGGGCGTGACCGAACCAGGGCTTCCGTCGAACATCCGCCGAGAGTCAGGAAGTCGAGGTATATCAGCTGACCCACCCGAAAGCAGGTAGTCGACTGGAATCGCAACGAACTAAGAACGCGCTCTCCGAAGTGGTGAGATATAGGAGGATGAACAGCAACGAGCCGCCCTCTGGAGGATGGGATCTGAAGAGGGATCTGAAGAACGTGCTATTTGGGAACAAAGGCCAGTGTTCATTTCAGTTGCCCCTGCCATGCGCTGCTGCTTGTTAGCTGCCCGCCACATGCCATGCCGGCTGGAGAGAACCGCCCTGTGGAGAAGCTTTTGGGAAGCGTCTTCTGTTGAAGCATACGAGGGTAATGGTTGCCACATATCTGTAGATTGGTTGGGTGCGTAGACACGGGAAGTGGGTGGTCAGGCGGACTGCAACGAGGCCGAGGGAAGAGTCGGAGTGATAAAACATAACAGCTTTGACTCAAGAGTTGAGAGAAGCACCACGCCTTTAAATTTATACAATCTGCATAACGATCGGTGTGTGAATTATAGAAATGAGGGTTGCGGACGCTGATTGCGGAGGCGAGGTAACTGCTTGTCAACTGCTAACCAACTTTGACATTGAAGCCGCGAATTGTATATTCATATCTTACAGCCGTATCCATGATGTTCCATTGCGTGCGCGACTGATGGGCATAAGTACAGCCCCGCTGATGGTCAACATGCCGGAGTCTAGTTTACTACAAACGACGGAATAGTTGGAAAGCAAGAACACGCCACGCATGCTTTACAGAGAACCCTTAAATAATTATTGATCGATTAGCTGGTAACATGCGGAGACGATTTAGACAGTCCCTAGTGAGAAGCGCAGAAGTCTGCATTTAAAGGCTTAGGTGGTCTTACCTGGCATAGATAGCTCGGCAAACATGGAGATCAATCGGGCGCACGTTGTGGCATCCGGCTTTCTGATGCTGTTGGGTGAGACTAGCTCGGCATGGCACTGCACATGCGCATTTTCCTGGCTTCACTGCGTCCATGTCCACGACCTCAGCATCGCAGATCGGCACCCGCATCCTCACCTTCGCGATCAACCTGCTAATCGCTCGTCATTTGACGCCGGACGCGTATGGGGTGAGTAGTGCTGGCCTACTCATTCAGAAGTCATACCTGATGCAACTCCCCTAACGATGGAACAAGAGGACTAGAGGATCTGTTGCTGCATATCGCCGCGCTTCATAGCGCCCTACCACTTCCTCTATCCCCTACCACTTCCTACCGCGTCCTCTCCAACACCTCTTTTTATCCTGACATCCACCCCAGCATGCCTTCTTAGCCCCTCTTAACCTCTCCCCAAACCCTTCACGGTCTTCCATTGCTCAACACCCAAACCACACCAGCACTTATCTCGTCCCAAACCTAGCCGTGTTGGCTTAGGCTTTCGCTCGCTGATTTGCTTGTCGTACAGTTGGCGTCCGTACAATTTCATCTGCTAATTACGACGGCTCTCTTCATCAGCAGAGAGGGCTTCCGAAGAGGCTGCCTGCGTTTCGGAGCCAGCGGCGGCGGGGCGGCAAGCGGCAAGGCGCCGGAAGATGGGGACGGCGAGGGCGACGGCGCCGTCGACGACCGTGCCGTACTACGTTTGGCATCGCTGACGGTGCCGCTGGGTGTCGTTGTCACCACCGCAGTGTGCGGCATTGCGCTGTGGCGGCACGACTCCGCAGGGACTGCCTCCGAGGCCTCCGGCGACTCAGTACGGCAACCGGAGGTGCCGTACTACCGCGAGGCAGTCGTACTGCACGGTAAGCTTAGCAGCAGGAGATGTGGAGGTGAACCACAGCGGGTGACGAAAGGGCGACGCCATCACCTGACCGACCCAGAACTATCTCTGTCCTTCTGTCGTACATGTGTGTACGATACGAACTTTTTGATTGAAGTTTTGTGCGCATCCATTTTTCCCGCGCCTGCTTTACTCTCTAGTTTCTTTCTTGCCTGCCCGCGCCTCCCACAGGGGCTTGCCCTCACCTGACCTGCCCGCCTCCTCTCGTTTTGCGGCCCGCGCCAGCCGGCCCTCGCCTTTGCCCTGGCCCTCACCCTCACCTCGCCCTCAGCCCACATCCCTCTCCCAGACCACCGTCTTAGCCTCCCCGTACCCCTCCCCGTACCTCCCCCGTACCCCTCCCCGTACCTCCCCCTACCTCCCCCTACCTCGCCGACTCCACAAACCCGCGCGCCTGTCCTCACCTCTGTCGTATACCCTGGTGCCGTACAGGCGTGGCAGCCGTTCTGGAGCTCATGGGTGAGCCATTCTACATCTTGGCCTCCGTACACCTCAAGTTCGGGTAGGGGCCGCCTGTGGCATGCCGTACATTGGCTTCTACTTTACCGTTTTCTTCCTTAATTCTAACCCTAAGTTGTGTATTGCTTGCCTGTTAATTTTGAATATTTTGCTTGTCTTCACAATAGGCGTTTCAGAAGCCAGCTGTCCAAAGCAGTACTGAGCGCGCGTGTCGCCGTCGCCGTGTGTATGTATGTGTGTATGTATGTGTATGCAGCAGATGGAGTATCAACAACCTCAAAACGCAAAGCGGCGTAAAACTCGCGACAAAGTGTTTTCGCTCTCCCAACCGCTTTCTCCCCCCCTTCTTTTCCCCCTTCTTCGGCCCCCACCCACCGGGGAGTGACTTCCTTAGCGAGATTGCCTGCCTTTGGGTTCCCTGCCTTTGGGTTCCCTCCTTCCCGCCCTCCCTTCCCTTGATGTCCAGGCAGTTGTCTTCCCTTCTTGACATGACTTGCAGCTATTTCCCATCCATCCTCCCTCTCTCCCTGTCTCTCTCCTTGCTTTATGTACAACATTTACAACACAATTTCTCGTCATACCGGCTTTCTGCCCTCTGGTCCTTGCATGTAATTTCTCCACCCTCTCTCTTTCTTTTGGGCCTTTGCTTTGCACTTTTATATATGCATGAAGATATGTGCATATGTTTCCGCTTGGCAACCGCCACAGCCACCACAACTACCACAACTACCACAACCACCACAACCAACAACCCCCGCTCTCTCTGTCCCTCGCTCAGCTCCCGCGTGGCTGTCGAGTTCGCGTCCACACTCACAAAGAGCCTCGTAACGCTGGGCCTCCTGTCAACCGCCACAACCACCACCCGCAACCATAATAACTACCCACAGTCACATCAGCAGCAGCAGCTGCCGCCAGCTCTAATTTTCAGTATGGCTCAATTGGCGATGGCGGTTGTGGCGGCGGCTGGGTACTGGGCTGTGGGGTTAAGGCTGTTGAGGCGCCCGGGGCGGGGTCAGAAACAGCAGCAGCAGCAGCAACTGCGAGGACTGACGGCAGCTCCCGGATCCAGATCTGCATCCAGATTTGGATCTAATTTCAAAAGAGTTGATGGCGGCGGCGGCTGGTTGTCGCGGTGGACGCCCCTGGAGCGGCGGGTGTTGGCCACGTCAGCGATCTTCACCCTGCAGGCGGTGAGGGAGGAGAGAGGAAAAGGCGTCCCGAGGGCGATGATGGTGTTGGTGAATGTGATTCGATGACGACGGTGATGATAATGTTGTTAATGATGATGATGATGATGATGATGATGACGGATGGAGCCGCGCACACGTAATAGCTGTCATCTTTCCCCATTCGTCTTCCCCTTCTCTCCCCCCTCTCCCTCCCCCCTCTCCCTGAACCCCCTCTCCCTCCCCCCTTTCCCTCCCCCCCTGGATTCAGGTAGAGAAGTTAGCCCTGGCGGAGGGCTCTAAGGTGGTCCTAGCTACCATGGAAAGTGCGGTCAACCAGGTGGGCTGGCACCATTGATTCGCTCCCTCTCTCCCTCTTCGCCCTCCCTCCCTCTCCCTCTCTCTCCCTCCTTCCCTCTGCTTGTCACTCGCGCCGTACTATGTCGTACTGATGTTTTCCGTATGTACGACAGGGCGTGTACGGCTTGGTGTCCAACCTCGGCAGTCTGGTGGTACGGACGCTGTTTCAGCCGTTGGAAGAGGCGGCCTTCGCGGCGTTTTCCACTTGGGGCGCCGATGCGAAAGCTGCGGCGGCGGCAGCGATGGCGACGGCGGCGGAAGTTGAATTGCAGGCTTCGCGCCTTGCGCCGCTGGCCCGCGCGCTGTCTCCCATGGTGAAAGCGGTGGCGGTCCTGGGGATGCTGGCGGCGGCGTTCGGCCCGTCGTACAGCTACGTACTGCTGCGGTTAGTGTACGGCGTACGGTGGAGTGAGACGGAAGCGCCTGTGGTGTTGGCGGCGTACAGCGTGTATGTGCTGCTGCTGGCGCTGAACGGTGCGGGGGATCACCGGGGGGGGGGGGAATTGCGGTTTTGGCGGTGTGTGGGTTTGGTTTTGCGTGCCGGGGAGCCGGGGGAATGGTATGTATGTATGTATGTATGCATGTATGTATGTATGTATGTATGTTTCCCTTCTTATTGCTACAAGAAGGTAAAATCCAGTACTGGCGGCTGACAGCGCACGCAAGTTGCCAAACAAGTGCTGAAGGAGCGCGAAGAAGCCGCCATGGCGACACGCAGCTGCTCTCCTGGGAACAATATTGACCGCAAAAGGAATTACCGGTTTTACTACTTTGCTTATGGCCCTCGGTATGAGTCATTCTGAAAGTTTGGCCACTCGTTAGAACTTAATATGTACCACACATGTTACACATATTTTTGGCCGTGTTGTCATTTTAATCATCATGTATCGTAAAGAATCGTCCTCGGCGCGTTGATGTTCCTAGCGTGATGTGGATGGTGGAAGGGTGTTGCTGTGCGCGAAAACGTGTCGTACAAAAGGGGAGATCCCTATTATTCTTGGCGGGGAAGGCTCTCGCCACGGTGCGGCGACGCCACCGGCACAATGTTTGTCTGTATGTATCCTGGAAGCTGTGCCCGCTCTCATTCCGCCGTCCAAAACACACACAGACACATCTTTTCCTCATTTACAATGCGCTTCCGTCGCCCGCGGCCCTGTCGTACGACAGGCATCGGGGAAGCGTTCGTACATGCCGTACTGAATGCCCGCGGGCTACAGCAGTCTAACGCGTTGCTGCTGGTGTTCAGCGGAGCGCACCTGGCGGCATGCGTGGCGTTTGTACGACAGTACGGCGCGCTTGGGCTTGTGTTTGCGGATGGCGCCAACATGGTGATGCGCATTGCGTACTCTGCTTGGTGAGTGGTTGGAGGTTAGGTCGTTGGGTTGTTGGTTGGCTTCGGTTAACTGGAGAAAGAAAATGGCGGATCTTCCTGCCTGTCTTGCTTCCCTCTTTTTCGGGCCGCGTGAGTTCATATCCTGTTGGGATCGACGATTTCCCTTCCAATCCCCTTACGTCCCCTCGCCCCTTGGCCGTAGGTGCATTCGCCGCTTTTTTCGGCCCCTGCCGTACTTCTCGCTCCGCCGGGAGCTTCTGCCGTCAACCGCCACGCTGGCAGCCTTCGCCGCCGCTGGCGTCGCCGCCGCCGCTTCCAATCGTTTATTATTGTTATCGGCGGAGCCAACGACGGCGGCGCACGGGAACGGCGGCGCCGCTGCCGCCGTCATGCCTCAGCGCGTCTTCCTTCGCCGCGCCGCCGTGCACGTGGCGGTGGGTGTCGTACTCCTGGCAGGGCTTCTGGGGCTTATGGCGCGTACGGAACGTGCCGTGCTTGGGCAAGTCATGGAGATGCGGCGGCGGCGGCGGTCGCATGGGAAGAGGGAACCCGGCGGCGGCGGCGGCGGCGGTGGTGGTGGGGGCGGTGGGGGCGAAGGAAAGGAGGAGCAGGGGGTTGGCGGCGGTGGTGGCGTGGGCAAGGGAGGCAAGGACGAGTGAAGAGGAGTTGATGTAAGGAAGATTACAGGCAGTATGTGTGGTGTGGGGGAAGGAAGGTGAAAATTGCCTGTAGGTCAGGATCAGAAGGCGCAAAGAAAAGGAAGATTTTCCTGCTACGGCATGTACGACGTAAATGATGGATGATACGATGTAAATTCTACGAAAGGTAGGTAGGTAGGTAGGTAGGTAGGATGGAAGGAGGGAGGGAGGAAGGGAGGGAGGGACGTAGGTCAGGAGAAAAGGGAAAAGGAGAGATGGATACGCACGGTGTCTTTTGTTATTTCGGCCCGGTTGACGTCTGCTGACGGTGCGCGTGTGCTTTCCCTGCACGTGGAGAAGTGGGCTGGCGATTTTGAAATTTCCTTTTCCTGAAAATTGAGATGTATTATGGAATGCGCAAGGCTATTCTAGGCGGTTGGGTAACGGTTGGAAGCTCATTTGCCAGACCGTGTGATGGATCTACATATAGACATGACGGACAGACGTACACAATGTCAGACGAGCGGAAGGACAACGGGAGGACGTGAATGTGGAAAAACATGGGCCGGATTCTCGAGGGGGTAAGATCCTTCGCTGAAATATTTATGCTGCTCGTCCAATCGCAGTACGGTGCAAAGTTCATGCCGTACAGGAACCCGCCCTAGCTCCCTGTGAATGGACATTGGCTAGCTCCTTAATAATCTTGGGCCACTAGTTTATGATGTCAGGGTTGTGGCATTTTTGGAAAGGGCTTTGGATCAGAAAGGTCGAAAGGCCTTCGGACCGTTAGGAGGGGCAGCTCTCTTAACGGGCTTTGCAGCCTGGTATAGGCAGCAGGGGCAAGTTTCCATAAGACCTTCTACTTGGCATCAGGACCTGACCATGTGCAGGAGGCAGAACAAAGCCCGCATGTGGCCTGTTGTCGTGTTGTGCATGCGATCCCGTGAAAGCCCAGCATGCCTGAAAGTTTTTATGTCTACGCTATTGGTTACGAACATATAGAATATATAAACCATATGTTTTCTACAATCTGCATGCGTTACAGCCCGTTGGCTTTGCTAGTGTTCGCGCCCATTTGAATTTGGTCTTACAGAGTTACCTGCGGACTGGCAGCACTGTGAAGCTGCGAAAGTAGATGAGGAGTAAAAACTTAGAACGATAGGCCATTCCAAAGGCGTCAGATCCACGGGCTGTTGTTTGGAAACATGGCCGCTCAGGCTGACGTTCCGGGACTGCTTAGCAGGCTTGCAGCAGTATGCTTGGCGAATTCCGGAGCCCCAGAGAATGAAATTTCACAGCGCCAAGTGTACATGCTGAAGTAAGCTTAAAGGAGAGCTGACGCATGGAAAGGACCGTGCCCAACAGCCTTCAGCCTTTGCCCACAGGATGATGGCTGGAATTTTGGGCAGCAATGCGTATGCTCGCAGTGGACTCGAGGGCGGAGGCGACGATACGGCCCTTCTCCACACCTTGCGCAAGGAGATGGAAGCCGCTGGTGCCGATAAAAGCAAGCTCGACAAGTTAAGCAGCGTCGGCGAGATCTTGGTGCTTATATTTCCTGACATCTATGGCACCATTTGCCGAGCTTCCGCGCGCACGCCAAAGCCGACTTGTGCTGTCATGTGTGTCCAGGCATGCCGCCTTCCATAGCACTTCAGCTGGTGTCAACGACCCTGAGGCAGTGGTCCTTCTCCAGCCCCCCTATGGCAATCTAAATCCATGCTTCCAATCCCCATGTTTATTATACTCCTTCAACGCAGGCTAACGGAGCTATGCAACCGACTTAGCCCAAGCGGCGGTCGGCCTGGCCTGACGCCCCGCCTTCGCACATCGCTGCTGGTGCTTTTGCGTCAGCTGCATAGAGAGGGCCGGCAGATGGGCAGTAGCGGCACAGGGGGCCGCATCGCCCCGACATTCAGCCTTACGCAGGTAAGCGAGCGGCAGGCAACTCCTTTTTTTCACGACATGATTCCTTCTCAACAGGCGGTTGGGAGTTGGAATGTCCCCTAGTAACAGGGCCGACCCAGATCGCCAGATGGACCAGGGGGCCGGGGCCGGACCAGGACCCACAGCCCATTGGACCCAAATGGAGAGACCCAAATGGAGTTATTAGCCGGGAAGAGCAGCCGAGGAAGCACAAAGGGGTTTAGGATTGACCATATCAGTGGCGCGGGGCTGGAGTGGCGTGCGATAAGGCTCACAAGTGTGGCGATCTACCGACTGTGTTTAAACTTTTCGCCACGGGCGGCAGGGAGGGAGGGAAAGGGCGGAGAGAGGGAGGAAAGGACGGAGGGAGCTATGGAGGAAGATGAACAATGTGGCAGCAAGGGCCGGCCAAGAAGTGGCTTGTTGGCACATCTGGCTTGACCCAATAGGGCTGTCCATGGGAAAGGACAGAGAGTGATATGTCACATGTGCCACCCTTACATTCGTCGTACGCCGTACATCCCCCGCCAACACAGTCGTCCCCCTTCCCCCGCTCAACCACATTCACTCAAGCCCGACGTCCCCTGCGCTTCCTCCTCGTCCTCTTCCTCTCCGCTTCGTGGCCTCCTGTCAAGTAAAACTTGCTCGCACATCCCACCCATGATGTACATCTCCCCTGCCCCGTTCCCCCCTAAAGCTTCACTCGTTCGTGTGGTTCGTCTTTTCTACCCTAAATCGCCCACTGATTTCCGTCCCGCAACCACTGCAACCTCCTCCGCAACCATTCCTCGCCTCCTCCCAGGCCGTGCAACTCGGTGGCCTACCGCCAACCTTTGCCCCGCCGCCGGCGCCTTTCGGCATGCAGCACCAACAACAGCAGGCGGCGCAGCAACAGCAGCAGCAGCGCACCGGCTTTCAACGGCCCTCCTCCGTGGCGTCGTCTTATGCTGGGTCGGCTTCCGGGGCGCCGGTGCTGCGCCCCACCAGCGTTCTGACCCCCTCGGAAATGGGTGATGACCCCATGATGCTATCCGTGGAGGGTAGCCGGGCGTCGCTCATGGTACGGTATACCGTCGCCCCGCCAGAGTACGGCACTCTGACTCGGGCCTGATTTGATTTGGGTCTGTTTTATGTGCGTTTTGATTATCCGTATGTGTCCCTATGTGTGTATGTGTATCTTGTGCATATGTTTTATACATCATTACAAATGTTCGTCAATGGACTTTTAGCACGTGGATTGGGGTAAGGGATTGTGGCGAATAGCGCATATGATGTGAAGATTCGGGGAACGGAGTTGCGCTTCTTTGGGGCAACTGAGCGACGACGGAGGTGTAAAGGAAAAGTTGTGGAACGTGATGTGTGGGAGTGCTTCGCGCCCGCATCGCATGGTGCATGGGATTAGAGGCCTTGTATAGAGGTAAGGGGTAAAGGGAAGAGAAGTTTGTGATGTGCGGTAATGGGTGGGGTTTCGCAGGGCATTTGAGGCGGTGAAGAATGAAGGGATATTTCCCTCTTTCCCCCCCCCTCCCTAGTGGGGACGGCGGTGTGCGAGGACGTGGAGTCTTTTCTGGGGTGAGGGGACCTGGACCCCGTTCCTGGTCCCAAGTCTCCGAAACCCATCCGAGCAGTCTCCGAAACCAATCCAAGCCAGTAAGCAAGGAACGGCATGGCGATTTGAAACCAATGTCTAAAAGGTTGCGTCTATGGCTTGTCCCTTTCCCCTTATCCCTTCTCCCTTATCCCTCCTATCCTTTCCTATCCGCCTGTCCTGCTGTTCCCTGCTCCCGTATTCAGGGCGCACAAGGCGTAGGTGGCGGCGCCGGCGGTGAGGGCGAGTACCTGACCCGCAGCTCCTCCTTCGCCGCCATGCCGGGTGCTGGCCCCTCGGGGGATCCGTTCATGACCGGCGCCGGAGCCAACATGTCGGCGACCACGGAGCCCTCCCTGGTTCGCGACGTGCTGTACGCCGCCCAGGGCGTCCGCGGCCGCGTGGTGGGCTGGGTGCCCGGGCTACCTGGCGCGCCTCGGGACCTGACCTCCGGCTTCCGTCCCGATGGGGCCACTGCAGCGGGCCTGGGGCCGGGTACGGCCATGCTGCTGGAGAGGTTGACGGAGCTTGGCTGGCTCTTCAGGTGCGTGTGTGCGTGTTGGGGGAGGGAGGGGGGAGGGAAGGGGGAGGTAAAGGTGGAGTGAGGGAGGGGAAGGGAGGGAAGTGGAGGGAGGGGAAGGGAGGAATGATATGGAAGAACCAGGAAAGGGGTCACGAGGTGCCGATGTAGGTAAGGAAAAGGGGGGAAAGAGGGGATTTGGTTTGGGAGGGGGAGGGGCTTGGGAGCTGCGAAAGGAGGAGGTGGTTTAAGGGGCTGCGGTTTGTTTCTGTGGGATGAGATGGTGTGATTCAGAGAGGGGAAAGGGCCGCCCCGTTCTTTCCTTCTCCTTATTATATATCCCTCTCCCTCTCCGTCTTGTTAATATATAACTTACGACGTTCTTCCTCTCGACCGCGCAGACGCGTCCGAGAGCACATATCCGCCTGCTCTGGCTATGGCCAGGCTAGCGTACGGCAGGCGCTGGGGGCGGCGCTTGCGGCCGAGGTGGGCGACTACTACCGGCTGCTGGCGCTGCTGGAGGCGCAAGCAAGGGTGCCGCTGCCCACTCCAGGTAGGGTGTAGGATTGGGGGGCTTCTGTATAAGGCCTCCGGGACTCGGTGGGTGAGCGGTGTTTTGATGTGGGTGGTGTTTTGATGATCTGAGCCGTCTCCCTCGTTCCACCCGGGCGCCATCTACCCCCCCCCCCGACCGTCCACATTTCCCAAGGCTGCGTTGTTAGAAAAAAATTCATGGGGATGATTTCGTAAAATCCAACCGGTTCTGGATTTCATTTCCGTGGTTTTCAATTTAATGTAGGCGACGTCCCGGGGGCTGCCGCTAGCGGCGGCTGCGGCGGTGCAGCCGGCGGCGGTCAGTACCTGACGCTCCGTCGGCTGGTGTGTTGGCTGTCAGAGCCGTTACGCCGCATGCGGCTGCTGGCGGCGGTGGGCGACGCGGCTGAAGGGCTGGAGGGCGGCGCTCTGGCGGGGGCGGTGTACGAGTTCTCGCGGCACGGGGATCCGTTTGTGGCGGCCAACGCGGCCAAGCTGCTGCAGCAGGTGGGGTCTTGGCGGGAAGGAGGAGGGGTGGAGGAAAGACGACGAACCACGCGAACGAGTGAAGCTGCTGCCAAGGAAAGAGTGTACAAGAAGCAGAATTGGGTTGGGGGAGGGGTAATAGTGGGAGATGCCCGAAGTCCGGGTCTTTTTTCTGGGGACGAGACGAGCGCGTAGGTGGTGTTGGGAAGAGAAGCGTTCAAGGATTGGTTTCGGAGCTCAGTTTGTGGGTACCGCTGCGGGCAACGGCCGGCAAATCTTTCCCGGCTTCACGGACTCAAGAAATGCGCTATCAAGAAAATCACTAAATCACCACAAGCTGCCAAATCGCGCGTCTATCCATCCGATCACCCTTCCGACAGGTCTGCGTGCCGCTGTACGGCATCATCCGTCGCTGGGTGTTGGAAGGCCAGCTCGACGATCCGTACAACGAATTCTTTGTCGTACAGCACGCTGCCGCGGCAGCGGTATCAGCTGCGCTCGCGGCCGCCAACACTGCCGCCGCCGCCGCCGCCACCGGCGTCGGCGGCGTCCCGGGGTCCGCGGCAGCGTCCGTACCCCTCGGTACGGCCGCTGTGCCTCCCCACCTGGACCTTTGGCGTCAGAGCTACGGGCTTGATGAGTCACGGCTTCCGCCCTTCATCGGTCCCTCCCTGGCGCAACGGATCTTACGTGCCGGCAAGGCCATTCATTACCTGAACCTTGCTTGCGGTGACGGCGGCTGGGTGCAGCAGCGCGCTGAGGCGTGGGCGCGGGAGCCGCCGGCGGCGACGGCAGCCGCGGCGCCCGGCGGTACCGGGGAGGTGAGGCCGAGCGGGGGAGGGGACAGCGAGGCAGGAAGGCGGGGAGAGTGATGTTGGCAGAGCTAAGGGGAAGGGCAGAACAGGGCGGGGGAGCAGCAGGGAGATCACCCGGGTGGATGGGGGTGGGGTGTACAGAAAAGAGCACTGCAGACCTCCCGCCCTCCTTTGCACCCAACTACAAAAGAGCAATGAAAAACTCTGCACCCTTCTTCTTTTTTATCCATAAACGGCGTACCCGCATCCTCTTCGACGGCTTCTCCTTCTCTCTCTCTCTCTCTCTCTCTCTTTCCTCATACCCCATGTCCTTTCCTCTTCCGTTCACCAGGCCCGCGCAACCCATCCTCTACAGCCTAGCCTTCCTAGCTTTCCTCTCCTCCCCAAGCTGATATTCATTTGCTTTCCCTCCTTAATCTTCCTTGCAGAACGGACTTACTCGCTAACTTGGTCGGTCGGTCACTCGTTTCGCTGACCGCTGTGTGACCCACCCCGCCCCTACCTACGTGCCTCTCTCTTCGCAGCTGGCAGGCCTGGAGGGGCTTGTGTCCGCTGCCGTACGCTCCGTGGACGAGCGGCTGATGACCGTCATTTGGCGCCACCACCGGCTGCGGGCCCACTTCGCTGCCATCCGGCGCTTCCTGCTGCTTGGTCAGGGCGACTGGGTCACCGCCTTCATGGACATGGTAGGATGGGAATGGCATAGGGTTGGCTGGGAAGGGAAAGGGTAGAGTGGGTGGCTGCATGCCACCATAAAGCATATGGAGTGATGGGGGTGGGTGGGGGGTAGGTAAATGGCGGCGGTGGGTGGATAGGCTTCAACATGTTCATGGAAGGCGCTCATGATTAAAAACATGGTGGGGTGAGGGCCCGTTAGTTTGCTTCACTCGCTCTCCAACTTGCGTATACGAGTACACCCTCCTTCGCACGGCATGTACACCAAATATTATTGTTGTTGTTATTATTATGCTTATTTATATTATTATTATTATTATTATTATTATTGATGTTACTGTCATCAACGATCTACTCTCTCCGTCTTTATTGCGTATAATTCATATGATTCCACACGCTCTACTTTCCCCCGCTGCCCGTCTAAGATTCTAACCCCCACCCTAACCCCCTCTTGCTTATGATTTTACCTCATCCGCGCTCGCTCCTCATGCACGCCACCAGGCTCAGCGCGAGCTGGACAAGCCCGCCTCTGACGTTAGCGAGGTACAGCTGAATAGCTGCCTTCGCCAAGCCCTCATCGCCACCAACGTTCCGGGCGGGGCAGCGGCCGGAGGGGGAGGTGGAGGCGGGGCCGGGCTGGCGACGGTGAATCGCGGACTGGCCTCCGCCGCGGCGGCGGGCCTTATGGCGATGGGACTTGGTGGTGGTGGTGGTGGCGGTTTCGGAGCGGTCGAAGGACCCGGAGGTCCCAGTGGTCCGGGTGGCGGTGGTGGAGAGTATGGGGAGGCGGATGACGACGCAGCGGCGATGGGGATGTTGGTGGAGCGGTTGAGGGTGCGGAAGGAGAAGGCTGCGGGAGGTAAGAGAGATAGGGAGAGGAGGGCGGGGGGTGTCGCCGGTATGGCGGTGGTGTGGTGGGTTTTTGCTTGCGAGTCCGTGCTGCCCACTCTTGTCTCTTGTGCCTTGTTCCCCACCAGAATAAAAGAGATTTAGGTTTCCAGGGCTGTCCGGGGGCGGTCTCCTCCACTCTCGTCTCCATATCGCGTGTGTTTTTGCGTTTCGGTGTCGTACATGGCTGGTGTCGTCCAACTCGTCAACACTCAGGTTTTTTTTAATCCCAATACAGGCTTAACAAAATTTCTTTTATTTTGTGAAAAAACAACGTTTTTTTATTGAAAAAAGTCATATAAATTTACATAGTTATATGTATATTAATTAATGCAGACCGCAAGATGTAGAAACAGGTCAACGAAACGATGGAGATGATGTTTAGCAGCATACGTGGCATTACTTGACCCAGAGTTACGTTACGTCGTCCGTCCAATCTCTCCTCTTTGTTCCACGTTTCCCCCTTCTTACCATTCCCCCGCCCCCCCCCCCCGCTTCGTGGTTCGTCTTTCCCTCGCTTCCCGGCCGGATTGTGCGACCTCGCAGCGGGGGAGACCGGCTGGGACGTGTTTGGTCTGACTTACAACCCCGCGGCGGGGCTGCCGTCCGGCGCTGCCTTCACCGGCGGCGCCGCCATCGCCGTCACCGCCGTCGCAATGCCCATCGCCGCCAACTCGGGTCCCCTCTCCGCGCTTTTTACCCGTACGGCAATGTTGTCGTACGAGCAGTTAGCTCGGTTACTGTGGCGGCTGAAACGGGCGGAGCATGCGTTGTCTTCCACTTGGGGAGCGGCGGCGTGTGGCTTGCAGCGAATGGTGGACAAAATGGGTGCAGGTGGGCATTATCTGTGGTGGCGGTGGTGGTGGTGGTGGTGGCGGAAGGGTACCCTGCCGTTACATGACGACTCTGTACCAACTTTCTGGTGCCATTTACACGATTCATCGTGCATTGTTGTGCGTTTTGTTCTTCCGGGAATCGGATTAGGGTTTTTTCCGCTAGTGAAAGGGTGTGTAGAAGAAGGGCGTCAGTTACCTCCTCCCCATCTCTACCCCTTTCACGGTGTGTATAAGGGGGTGGAGATGGGGGCGAGGCAACGGACGCCCTTCTTCTACACACGCGCCCTTCTCCTACGCACGCTTCTCACGCGCATGCTCCCCTCCCTTTACACGCCGTCGTACACTCGCACGCACACACACAGACAGACAGACAGACACGCACACACATGCATTGCGTACATGCGTGCGTGCATCTTCTTTGATACTTGATACGTTTTTTTCATTATGCGTGCGTTGGACGTACGTGTTTTGCCTTCCCCTCCTCCACCCCCCTCCAGACGGCTTTATGGTTCAGCCCGTCCTCGCCATGTTGCTGCGGCTGCGATCGGACATGAGCCATTTCGCCACCAACCTGCAGTACTACATTCAATTTGAGGTCATGGAGGCATCTTGGCAGGTGGGGGGAGCGGATTGCTAGGGCTGGATGGGGGGTCTTCCTGAGGAACGCTCTTAGACCTTTTCAGGGTTTTAGAGTTTTATCTTGTCTGGCCATGCTGGATTCGTGCCGGTTGAGGCTGATTGGGTTTTGCTTCGGTGTTCAGTGTTTTTATTTATAATATAAGCGCCTGAGGCCATTTAAATGAATATCGCATTCTCTTGATCCCCCGACCATCCGCTGCTCTCCGCCCCGAACCACAACTAGCAATACCAGTAGCGCCGTCTCTGGATGTGCGCGCGTATGTATGTGTGTGTATGTGTATGTGTATGTGTGTGTGTCGAAATGTGTGTGTGTGTGCATGTGCGTCTAAAGTGACCGCCTCTCTCTTTCCCTCCGCTTTTTCTCCTCTTCTCATTCATCTTTTCCATTCCCCTCCCCCACAACTACTACTACTACTACTAGTCAGTTCTGCTACCGTCCTGTACATCTGCCGAAGCACTCTTTCCTTGGCGGCAGCTTCACTCGCTCGTGGTTCGCCTTTCCCGCGTCTCTCCCCGTTCGTCCCCTCTTTGGTGTGTTTTCATTCCCCCGTCGTCGTCACGGACGCCTTTCGGTCAGTTCTGCGTCTGGTACACTCTTGCCCTGGCAGCAGCTTCACTCGTTCGTGGTTCGTCTTTCCCCCACTACCCTCAGGATTTCTACTCCCGCGCCGCCGCCTGCACCGACCTGGACTCCCTCATCGCGGCACACGAGGTCCACCTGGCTACTCTGCTGCGTAAGGCCTTTCTGTCCAACGACGGGCCGGTCCAGGGGGGCCCGGCAGGAGCAGGCAGCATGGAGGGCAGCGCCGCGGCGGGAGGGGCGGCTGCGGCTGTGGAGGGAGCCCCCGGCCAGGCGGCGCCCGGCGGTGGCACAGCCGGAGGGGCTCCTGGTCCCAGCATGGCTTTGTTGCGTAGAGCGTTGCAGGTGCGAGCTCTGTGCGTTTGATTGTTCTCAGCAGTGCCGCGGCGGCGGGAAGTGGCAAGGGTGGCGCACGAATAGCTTGACTTAAATGGCTGTGTGCACGGGAAGGGGAGGTAGTGGTGGCGGGGAAGGAGGTGCGACCAGGGTTGGACAGGACCTTCCTGAAATGGTCGGGTTGCCGGTTTTCCCCTTCCCATGCCCGTCGGGCCCACCCGATAGCGTTTTTGCATATCTTTCAATTTCTGTCGGGTGCCCCGACAGCCCATCCCAAAACCTGTCGGGTGACGCAAGAACGAAATTTCGCTGTGTGCCGCTTGAAATTACATTTATTCGTATTTTATATGCGCAGTTTCCAGTTCTCAGTTTGCAGTTCACAGTTCTGATATGCACGAACAAACACACACACACACAGCAACACATGCACGCCTGCACGTCTGCCTGTGAGCATCAAGCTGTTTTGGTAAAGCCCACAGACTTACAGGACGAGGCAGCAAACGTTCGAAAGGGTAATGTAAAGCTGCATATGGTCTTTGTATTAATTGTCAATAAGGTCGAGATAAGGTAGTGTGCCCTTCGCTTATGTATCCAAGCATGGATCCCTGTACAGCAGAGTCAAAGGATAAAGAAGAAGAGGCAACGAAGTGAACGAATGCTACCACTACATTACATATTTTCCATCCAGTTATATTTTTATGAATGCCATTATGTATCGCTGTAGCTGTCCGTCGCCGAAGGGCCCACCGACGACCCACGGCACCCGATCGGGCGGTCCTAGCACCCCTAACCCTGTCGGGTCCCCCGACGGGAGCCCTCCGGGCCCCGGCGGGGGCTCCCGATGGCCGTTTGGCATTTTCCCCCTTTTTCGTCGGGTCCGCCCGAAAGCATTTTTCAAAGCCTGTCGGGATTTTCAGCACAAGTGCCATTCCTGTCGGGACCCGATCGGACTGTCGCACCCTGGGTGCGACTGTGGGGTTGGGGTTGGAGTTGGAGTTGGGTAAGAAGTGGGAGAGGCTTGGGGGGCCCGCCGGTGTGATGCAGTTTCAGGGGAGCGACGCGATGGCGATAGTGGGGAGTGGGTAGCGGGGAGTGGGTAGAAATGTGCGTTTGGATTCGAGTTTGGTTTGGGCGGGCTGATGGACGTGGTGGACGTGGACTCCCTTATCCTTTGCGTGTTCCTCCAGCATCGGCGCCTCCGCTTCCGCCTTTCCTCCTCGCTCCTGCGGTTTGCATCATTGCAGTGATTAGGACTCGGGCAGTCGGTATCTGCGCCATTCATGACTTCCTACATCCCGCGCCCTCCAACCAAAAAATATATGTCACATGTGGTAAATAATGTTCCCTGGAGAGCCGTTGCGTGTCGCCATGGCGGCTTCTTCGCGCTCCTTCAGCAGTTGGTTTGGCAACTTGCTTGCGCAGTCAGCCGCCAGTACTGGATTTTACCTTCTTGACTTGGCATCATATAATTCCCCTCCACTCTGTGCCTCTCCACCCCACTCTCTCCACCCCGCCCTCCCGCCAGGACGCCCTCTCCAACATGGTCTCCCTTCGAGCTGTGGCAGCCCGCCTAGAGGAGCTCGTGGCGGGCGGCGCCCGACTGCTAGCAGCCAGGGCCACACAGGCCAAGGCCCGAATGGCGCGTGGCGACTGGGGCAACAACGCCTCCACCTCTTCCGCCGCTGCTGCTGCTGCTGCCGGTGGAAAGTCCGTCAAGGGGCTGCCGGGGCTGGGCGGTGCAGATCCGCCCATTGCGCCCTCTTCGCTGGCGGACGTACGGCAGACGTTGGTGGAGCTCGGTGCTCAACACACGCGGGCTGTGGCGGAGTTCACGGAGAACCTGCCCGAGGAGGTGAGAGTTCAGGGGCCGGATGGGGGCGAAACCCCCCCGGCTCTTACACCCCGCCCATCTTCTTCACTCGTTCGTGGTTCGTCTTTCCCCAACCATCTTTGGACGCCAGCAGTTGACTTCTGATTTCCTTGCATGACTTGATTCGCAACGCTCTTCTTCCGGCCTCTCCCCCCCCCCACACACACGCACACACGCACGCACACACGCACTGGGCAGCGGGGGTGTCGTTGTAAGATCTTATGGCGTTCCTTGGGCCCTGGGTGGCTGTCGCGACTCGCTCTCACCTACCAACACGTGGTTCTGCTAGGGAACCCGGGTTGACGGAGCGTTGCTCCGGTAGGCGAGCCGGGAGACGCAGCCGAATTGGGGTTTTATAGCTGCGGGCGATTGGCCTGGTGGTGAAGCTCGTAAGGTAAGAACGACAGAATGGGGGTTTAAGCCTGTAAGCGGGGCGCTTTGCTCCCCCAGAGTCGTGATCCAGTGATCTCCGCCCCCTGACGTTCGTTTCCCTACACCGATATGGAGTGATGGCAGGACGCTCAAGGTGCGCTCGCAACGCCCTGCATTACCCCGGTCCTATTACCCCGGGCCCTAATACCCCGGGCCAGCAAGTCCATAACGCCATGAACCCCCGGATTTGCCTTGACCTCTTATCCACAGGCTCAGGATGATGTTCGGTTCCTACTCGCCCGTTTGGACTTCAGTGCCAAGGGGGTGCAGACGAGCGGGAGTCTGGTGGCAGGACTGGCGCTGTGATATACATGTATATGACTCGTATGTAAGAGTGGCGGAGGGGGGAGGGGGGCAGAAAAGGGTTCCTGGAGGCTTGGGAGGATGTGGAGGGAGGGAGGGTGAGGCGAGGGGCCCCCTGGTGCGGAGGCTTTGGAAGCGCGATACGTGGGGAAAAAGGGAGACGGGGGAGAGGAGGGGGCTTTTGATTATAGCGTTGTCCTCGTTGGGTGTCGGGGTGGCGACGGTTGCGGCTGTAGCGGTGGCTGCAGCAGACGGTTTTCCCCCTCGGGGAAGAGTGATAGTAGGGGTTCAGGGAGACGAGTATTGAGGGCGGGGATGTGGACTGCGGCCTGGTCTGAACTGTGATGCGGTCCTACCACCTCTACTACCTCTACTACCGGCCATTACTGCAGACCCAGGAACGAACAAGGACGAAGAGGGACGGACTAGAGCTGGATGGATGGATGTTACAAGCTTCAGCGAGCTCGTTCGGCTCAAACGAACCCGGAGGCGAGACAGGACTAGAGCTGCACGAAACACGAGAGCGGCAAGAGCGGCGTTCGTGAACGGAGCCCTACTGATTGGAATATGGGCTACTTCGGGCAATGCCCCCTTAATATGGTTTTTACTTTTGACAAATTGGGAGGGGAAGGGATTGTTGCTCTCCGTTGCGCGGTGGCAGGGATTGTAAAAAGACACCGTCGCCGCGTGTGTTAGTGCACGCGGCTGCGTCCCGTCCCGGCATTCCAGGTCCATTTTGGCAGTCCGTACGTGTGTACGAGGGTGTTCGTCACGATGGTCGCATTAGTTCAATGGAGACGCAAACTTGAGAGGGGGGTGGTCAATGCCCTTCTTGAGGCTTGATAAATTTAGCTGTGAGGAGCCATTATACTTGTCATCGCGGCGTCAACAATCGGTAAGTAGATTTTGGATAACACGACGCCTAATTACAGCGCGATGATATGGTGCACACCTCGCTCCTGGCGGTGCTGCACTTGCCAGGTTCGAATGTTATCGCGCTTGCTACCATGTCCGCAGCTCAGGAAAGCATTTACTCAGGCGTACACTTGCTGGCTCAACTCGACTTCATGAAGAAACATGAAATGTGGACGACGGCAACCCCCTGTTGAGCGAGTTTGACCGGAGCATCAGGCGCCATCAGCCTTGACTAGCAGTTTTTTGACGGGAATAAACTACGTTTATTAATTCCCTTAGCTTTGGTAGTTGTGTGTACTGGACCTAGGCCTTCGCAGGCGGGAGGCTGCAGGGTTCTGTTGCATGGGAAAAGGCAGGAGCAGAGATTTTGGTGGCGAGATAGAACGGAACTGATGAACTGATGTTGTTTTCATAAGTTTTGAATTTTGCACACCGGCTATGATTAAGTACATTTTGTCACATATCTGGATGAAAAAGAAACAGGGGGACAGTGGAATGGATAGAGCGATAGATGTCACACGGTACGCGCGTGGGAAAGAACTATGGAAGCGAAATCCCAGAAGCGGTGAGGATATTTCACGCATCGAAAACACCACGGCAATTAGGATGTAGCTGGTTAAAACGGTAGTGATTGGCCGCTACTTGGTTAGCCCGTTGCGTGTGCGTGCCGTTCCGCAACGTGCCAACATTCGGTGATGTTTCCGCAATGTTATTGTTTTATCTCATGCGCATATTTCGCAGCGATATAGCGAACATAGGCGCAGCTGCGTTCCCCTAATTCTCCGTTCCGATACCTGCTCGCTTTTGAGCATCTCAAGACAGAAATATGTTCAGCTTACCGCTTTTCCTTTGTTTAGTAGCACTAATTGCTTTTGTTCACTGCTTTGCACTTACCCGGGCACAACCTGCGGAATGTCTGGCTCCCCAACGGCGGCTCATTGAAGAGTACAAAGCTTTCCACAACGCCAACAAATTCTCCCCAGATGCCCAGTATTTAGTCCACGCCTGCTGGGGTGGTTCTTGTTCGGGAACAGGTGCGCGAGCGCTGGGCTTGGATCGTTTGCCGACAAACTTTAGTAATGCCGAACTAACCTTGTTAAACCCGGGCATCACATCTTTATGTTTTGCGTTTTCAGCAAACTCAGCAAATTCAAATCATTAATCGCCTTCATAGTTATGTCGACGCTGCAAGTTGCTTCGCAACCAAGTTTTGCCGGTTATCCTTTGCTTCTTGCCCTTCCGTGCTTGCTTGTACTTTATCCAGGTGACCGTATCCGGGGTGCCTTGTGGCTTTTGCGAGTCGCGATCGCGCACAAGAAAATCCTGCTGGTAGACTGGACGAAGCCGGCACCGCTGACGGATTTTTTAGTGCCCAACGAAATCGACTGGTCATTCTCGGGCCTTGATCCAGCGCTCTTCCGCATCGCGAACACATTAGGTAAGCAGACACAATCCCATTCCCATTATTTTTTTCCCGGCCCTTCACCGTAAAACCTCTGGACGCATGCCTCCAACGTCTCCCTGCGGTTTATAAAACATGTCGGAACTGCGACGAGAAACCAAGCCCAATTCATTTCGGCGCGCAGCAGCTTGCGCGCACCACAGCGCAAACGCCATATCAGCGTAAACAACACAAATCCGTTGACGTCATGAAACTCGAATTGCAGACATGCGGGACCACCGGGCGGAGTTTTGTTGCGCCCCGAACACCCGCAACTTGATTTCACGCTGTTGGTTGCATTTACAGTTGCGCGTTATTAGGCTCCGTGTGCGTGTGCGTGTGCATGTGTGTATCCTTGGAGGGACAGATCCCGGCCCTTTCGGGGCGCCATCAAGGAAAGGAAAGATGCACGGGACAATGGGACGCATAGACGTACGTACAGACATACGGCAGTAGAGCACCGATGGATGCCAGTAGTATGGGTGCAAGACAGCTGGCTACCGCCACCCGAGCAAGCAGCAGCTGAAACCGGAATCGCCTGGCCCCGTCAGCCCCCAGCGCTACTACGTGATAGTCAACATACGGCGGGAATCCGTCCGTCGTGTTACAAACATGAACACTCGACGGGGGTTAACATACGATGTGTAGCGTGCGTTACATGACACAGTCACCGTGACGTCGTCACCCTCCAGGGCCCTATGCATTTCCTGCGTGTGCAGAAACCTGCATTTACTCACCCATGTTCGTCCGTCTGTCTGTCGGCCCGCCTTCACCCATTGCATCCCGAACAGCAAGGCCCTTGCTAACGCAACCATGTCCTCCCTTGGCATCTGTTTGTACGAGGTAAAGTCGTCACAATGGACAATTGGACGCCCCCAAGAACGACTCGTGGCTTATACATTAATTCTAGCTGCTTGTATGCATGCTTGGTTAAACAAACCGGTACTGCTGGTGCGCTTGCGTGCGTGCATACTCCTGATCTGCAGATATGGATGACTTCAACGATGCGGTGTACCGGCAAGTGCCGGCTGCGCTTGAGAGATTTCGGGCAACGAAGGTACGCCGGAGTCGTCAGGTAGTTGATTGTGTGTGAAGTAGGGGGTGGTTCCAGTTTCAACGATGGCCATTACAGCCTGGCGATGTCCTGGGGCACTACCCTCATTCTCCTCACCCATGCCGACTCCTGCGAAGTCATGTCAGTAACTTTTCCGGGTTTAAAGTTCAAATCCCACCACCAGCAATATCCAGTGGAATCTACCGCAGATTCCATCAACGGCAACGTCAACTCCACTCCTCTCCCGGTCGGCTGGCAGGTCCGCTCAAAGTTAGTTACTTAGTTAATCACCGCGCATTTGTTCATTTGGTCGGCGTCGGCGTGTCGAACCTCGTTGAGGAGGAGCGCGATTTGCAGATGTGGTCGTGCAGGATGATAGTTGGAGGAAGACGATGATGATTAGGAAAACTCCCAACCGCTCCACATCGCTTTATATATCGCGCGCACAGTGTTTTGTGCGTGGGATGGCTGAATGCATGATTTGTTTGGGACGGAAGAGTAATACGGAAGATATCCGCTTTGGCTTTGGCCTCTCCGGCCCATCCACCAAACCCTGGTGCCTACCCGCCTTACCTTGCACACGCTGCAAAACGTCCCCGGCTCATGTTTTTGGCGTTTGCTGTGTTTACTCTCCCCACAGGTGTATGCCACTAGCAGTAATGAACAGTTTGAGGTGAATGGAATGGTAAGTGCGCTTGGTACGGATGAGTATGACGGCAAGCATAGTTGACGCGTGAACGGTGGTTAGCGGTTGGTTAATACTTAGGGTAACCATGGGGAAGTGCAAGAAGACTTAGTGGGAACCCACCGCAAAGCCCAATCTAAAAGCTATCCCCAGCTATTGCGCGCACAATCCATTTGTCCTCCCCCCCAATGAGCTGGTGAGACGTTTGAATTTATGTGTTTACTGCAAGAGCGGTACGTACGTACAACAAGGTACGACAAATCGGAACGTGGATGGAATTAGGCATTGAATGCAAAAACATAGATTTAAAGCGACCTGACGGCATGTAGGCCTTGAAAATCTTTTCCTCTTGTTGCCGTACATGCCCATCTGGCCTCAAACAGCTTTGGAGGGTAACCCAACTCAAGGTGTAACATACGTACATACAGACATACATATATGCATATGCACTTGGCCGCAAACACCGAATGTCACGCACCCTTCTTAGGTGGGGATTACGCCTGTACTCGAGTTCTTTGCGGATGGCGCCTGCTATTTCAATTTCCTGTTTAAGCCACATCCGGCGATTGTGGCGCGGGGCGATGCGCACCTGCAACAGCTCTATGGGTCCGCATCCGTTGACTACGTTGCTTGGCACTGGTGAGGTGCTGGTGGTGAGGGCGCCCGCGGTCCCGTGAGGTTGCGGTTGCAGTTGCGGTTGAACGGTTGCTGAACGGTTACCATTCAACGGTTGCGTTTACATCCCTGGGCCACTGGATGGATTACAGTGCCACACTTGAACAAGTTATTTTGGGTTTAGCTCGTCGATGATGGCAACAACGTACTACACTTTTCAGGTGGTTACTACCTACCTACCTACCTACCTACCTACCTGCCTACCTACCTACCTACCTACCTGCCTACCTACCTACCTACCGCCACCTACCTACCTGCCGCCTACCTACCTACCTACCTACCTGCCACCTAACCTACCTACCTACCTACCTACCTGCCACCTACCTACCTACCTACCAACCACCTACCTGCAACACCGCCCGTCGAACCACTAGGTAGTTGTCCGACGAGCGGCGCGGGCACCCTTGGCGTTGTTGCTTGGTATATATAACATAATATATAGTGATTTAATCCGTTGAATACAGACAACGACGGCACGCAATAATGTGCTGAGCGATGTGGACAAATGTGTGAAATAGGGGGGTGTATCTTCGCCCGTGGCAGCTACCTTGCGAAACCCTGCCATCCCCAGTATTTCGGGGCACCCTCATCCAGTCACCCTAGTCAACTTCTCAGTGGATCGCTCAGGTTCCGCACCACCAGCATCCAACGGAATCTGCCGGGTCAACAGCGGCCCAACTCCAATCCTGGTTGGCTCACGGGTTAACTTTATCCCAGGTCACCACTGTCCATTAACTAGGGGCGCAACGCCTTCCACCATCGGAAGGACTTTAGCTTCTAATGGGTATCGATCCCAGGATCTCCCGGGGGCAATGGTCGCGCCTTACCAGTACTGCCAAACCCTAGACAAATGTATGCAGTTTGCCTTATCCTTCTTTCCTCGCTTCTAGTACGGGCACTATCTAACGATAATAGCTTCCAGTTGGACAACCAGACGATAATGTATAACGTAAAGGTGGCGTAAGGTGAATGCTCGTGAAGTTCGTTGAGTTGAAGTGGATCCGTTAGCAGTGTGGTAGGACGACCTACCAACCAACTTAACGACCCACCAACCAACCTAATAACGACCCACTGATTTTCACTTCGCACATACATACGTACGTACATGTGGCCCATACGACCCGCCTTTCCATCCACGCATCTACCCACCGCTACTGATGGCCCAACGGCAGGCGGCACTTTGATGCAGACGAACGTTCCGAAAGTCCAGTCATGGTTTCGGAGCTTACCCGGGTGCTGAATGCCGCCGCGCGTCTTGGCAGTGATCTAGGTTTGGACTTGGATCAGCGTCCTGTGTTGCTCATCACGGACTTCAACAGTAAGTAGCGATGACAATAAAACCCTAAAACCCTAAAACCCTATATATTCGCGTTCTAGGAGCCCAGCTCATCAAGTTGCATGCCTCCTCCAGGTAGTTGCTCCAGGATGGATAGCTCAATCGCGAGGGGCTGCTAGGGGGGTCACGGGATGATGATGAGCGTGTGGGGCCGACGGGACGCTAGGTGGGCGGGGTGGAATAGTAAGGGGGGAAGGGAACCCAGAATGTCGGGTTGTGTAGCTTCGAACATTAATGGGCGCGGCGATGGCGAGGGGTGTGGGCCTTGGAGTGCGGGGCCTTGATGCTGCTGTACATTCAAAAAATCAGGTGTCATGCCACCCAAACACACACACACACACACACACACGCACACACTCTGTAGTTGTGCGGTATGGCACAGAGATCGTCTATATAAATGCGCGTTAATAAGGCGCTCTGCCAGCATTTAAAGAGTTGTTTTTTCAGCGGCCAGCTGCAACAGATGGACGACGCAATTGATGACCTGTTTACGTTGTATCCGTTCGCCGCTTTATATATGTGTCATGAGCCACGTGGCCCCAAACCCCGTGGTGCATTTTTGTTCGCGTGGATCATATCTAACCCCGCATTCATGTGTGGAACCCCCCCCATCCACAGTCTTTCGTCAGATGGTCGCGAATCGGGAGCTCCGCCGCCTCATCACGCCCAACATTGTCGCGCGGCACATCGACCTGGGCCAGCATGCCCACGATGAGTTGGTGGACATCTTTGTGGACCTGTACCTGCTGTCACGTGCGCGCTGCCTGCTGACCAGTCGCTCAGGGTTCAGCAATATGGCCGTTTGGATGGGCGGGGCCAGATTACTGACATGCCATCAGGATACCTTCATAAGCACCTTCAATAATGTATGAGTATAGACCATATAGCTAGGCAGATAGCTAGACAGATAGCTCGATGGATCAATTTGAGTTTCGTGCAGTATTAGATGGCTGGCTGCTGAGGGCTGTAAGGGGCCGTCCGTAATGATGTGCATGTCTGTGCTGAGAAGTTCGCGTGTTCACCACAACGCATATCCATCCCGGACACCTGGAACTGAATTATACTTGGGCGTAATAAAAGGAGGCAGTACGGTGGCGTTTCGAGGCACGTTGACCTTACGTTGACCATCCGCCAATGGATGCAAGATAAACGAGGTCAACGCATGGCAGCAGGCTCTACCTGCGTGTCATATGGCTACTAGAAGTGCTGTCCAAGCATCGTGTGATGAGCTTCAGATATCTTTCATGCGGCAAATTGTAGGAGCTGCCAGACCAACACACCGCCTCTTGTTCGCAGAGCTATCGCAGCTACCCCTACACTGCCACGTTCTCAAGCAGGTTGTGAGGTTTTGGAACCATGTCCGTTTACAGCGTGGGTCTGTGGCACACCAAGTTTTGCGACAGGAGGTCGCAGAATCCCTCTCCAACCCCGAAGGGCCCGGATGGGGGACACTACTCCTCCGTTTTCTATGTTTTTTGGGGCACGACGTATGGAAAGAGGCCTCGCAAGGGCTGCACGAGGTAGACAAACGAGTGGAGTGGTTGATGAACAGGCCAATGCCAGAAGGTGTGATTTTGGAGTTCAAGGACCGATTAGTGAGTGGTTGGAAGCATACGCGTTTAGATGTCCAGCCTGACGTGTATCCGTCAGACGGCAAGCAACCAGGAATCCACATGGCGAAGTATAAGCATTGGATGGGTCTGGCGGCCGAGCAAGCGGGCAGGAAGGAGGTGCTCCCGCATATCACAATGTTTATCCCGCGTTCGGCGAATCGCAAGCTTATGCAGTTTAGGCTTTGCTGTTGGGCACTGGCGGCTAACAGAGCGCGTAAGGGACGGCGTTATATACCTAGGGAGGAGCGAGTATGCCCTTGCTGCGGCACTGATAGCCATATCGAGGATGAGAAACACATTTTGCTGGACTGTCCGGTGTACGACGAAATCAGATCTGATATGGGCTTTCCACGCTTCGAACATATGAAGGACGCTATGAAGTGGGAACCTGAACGCCTGGCAAGGATGCTGGAACGCATATGGTCTCACCGCAACTCTATCGTTCCCTTTGGTAGTTAGTATCCTTCATCACTTGTCTCGTTGGAAGTGCGAGGTAGGATGGTGCTTATAGGCGATTTGGCAGCCCTTGAGCCCTCGGCTCGTACTAGGGTGGTTTGCAGGTACGGGGAACGCACCCACGACCATGTAACAACAACAACAAAAAACATATGGCTAACGTAGGTGCTATTACTGCTACTGCACGATCGGCATTTTTAGCGCGTGAATATTCGCTCGGTATCTGGTGCTGATAAGGGGCAAGCATACTACAGGCCAAGAAGAAACACACTCCAGTTTCATCCGGCTCCCCTGCGCCCAATATAACCCTGTAGACACACGCGCGCGAACTAACACCCGGCGTACTTGCTCTGTACCGAGGACGTGTAACCATATGGTGGCATTCTATTTTTCGTGATGAAAAAGGAATGTCCCGGCAGAAACGGTTTAGATGAACTGCGTTCTCAACGACGGATCTCTCCCAGAGGGGACTGTACAGTACGACACCAGTAGACATAACTAGTCTGTAAACATGAAAAGAATTATATGCATCGTGACAGGCCTTTTCTTTCAGCGGCCAGCCGTTCGTACAGTTCGAGGCTGTACGATCATCTGACAGTTGGGCGGAAAGTTCGGCCAAGTGGGAACACCCTGTAAGCTTACTTACACTTTGCTGTCCGCGAGGGAGCGGGAATGAACACTCACCCAAACGTGACACCATGTGTACAACAATGGGGTGCGAAGAGGTCATGTGAAAAAGATCCGTGCCGCAACGTTAGGCAGAAACGGCCACGTCGCGAAAAACCACATGCCGCGACTCGCCACATGCTGCCCTCAGCCACGCTTCTCTAGCATTCAAGTTTAAAGACTTTTTGTAATAGCTGGCACCAAGCTGGAGGTATAAGCTTCGGCATCTCGAAACGAAGTATGAGTGTAGAGATAGGCGAGTAGTTAATGCGAAGGGGAGCTGCCGTGGTGCGTGGAAGCAAGGGGCCTGCATGCATGTGCCGGACCACAGTACGGCAGGGGACCCCAGGCTTCTCCTTGTGTCGCGCAGGCGCTTTGTTCTTTAACTGTCGTTCTTTTGACTATTACTAAAAGATGTGTCCCGCTGCTGGGACAGTGAAAACTAAGTTTTCTCCCCCAGTTCCCCCCACCCACCCAGGGCAATCCTGGATTGTCACACCATATTTTTAATACCAATTAACGCGTTGTACCTCGCATCTGAAAAGTGCACTGTGTACAAAAATGAGTATCATTACAATGAATATATTGTGTGTGTTACATGGTTGGGGGTGCGTGACCCCATACCTGTAAAACTACCCATACGAGCCGAAGGCCCAAGGGCAATATATGCATATTTCTGAATAAGGTTTGGCGGTTGTTTGAGCTTGCCGACATGTGGCCAACGGAGTAATTGCGCCGCGTGGAGCACATCTGTATTTGTGTCCCCTGCATCTTCTTAGGGGCCACAAGCCGAACGGAGCCAAGGATTGCAGCCGCGAATTCAGGCCGATGCCGCCCGGTTCAGGAAGCACCCTGCTGCCGACGGCCTAGAGAACAACACGGCCATGGAAATGCGGCCTTTTGGACTTAGTACGCCAGTCACGGTTTCCAACCCACCACCCCAGCCACTATCAACACCCCCCTATCCACACCCGCTCAAACCCTAAGTAATCGACAAAGGCAAAAATAGCACACAGTCTACAAGATGAAGCCTATCGTCGGACAACTGATAACAGACAAACGCTCATTAGCATAAGGCTCTTGCTAACAATCTCAAGACCTTTACACTTAGCGTTTCCCGTAACCATCACTACATTATGCCACTAATGTGGACTAGTGTACGAGACGTTTGTGCGTACGGGGGCCCTTTATGTAGGGCATATCTAGGGCCAGGGGACCCGGAATGTACGACCGTGGGACCGGCGAGGGACCTAATTTATGTGCCTTCCGGTCCCCAGCCCATTCGAGCTCACATAAGCACCAAAAACTCATATATTCGCAATTTCTACGAGTGTTATAAGTAAGACGTTTAACGAAGAACATATTGACAAAGAATTGTGCCTTTACGTTCGCATTTAGGCACAGGTCTGACTTTGGATGAGAGCAGGACACTTTGTCAAATTCACTGCTGGTCATTGTATTAGACTCGGTTGATATAAGAGTGTTTCACGCAAGTATGGGTACTAGCGAAAGGTAACCGCTCCGATGGCAGCGAGCACGATTGCGGTAACAGATAGAGGAGCAGCTGTGAAGGTCACAAACCCACGTGCGAGAAGAGCGTGGATGGTCAAGCAGCAAAGCCTCAGCAGGTACCAAACGGGTACATGTTTAGCGCAATCACAGAAGGCAGAAGTGTGGCGCCTCTCGTGCGGCTCTCGCTTAGTTCGGTTCGCAGTCTTCTGTGTCCGCTGTTTTGCCTAGCCAGGGGCTGGGACAGCGCCCCGGTTGGCGTGAGTGAGGGGGTGAGGCGAGCGCGGCGGAACAGACGGACGTAGAGCCACGCGCCCGCACGCCCCTGTGTTTCGGCCCGGTCATAGCCCCCGGTGCTTGTCCTCTCTCGGGACGAGCCGCCCACATTGTAACACCCCATCAGAAGCAGCGGCAGCTGGACAGAGCTCCCTGCCTCACGAGCACACAAAGCAAATCGCCTTGACGTGGCGGCAGCTGTCATAGGCTCATGATGGGCCGGGGCTGCCGTGTGAATCCCTGGCAGGCGCGCGACTTGCGCTGCGTGTGATCTGATGATGGGCCGGGGCTGCTGTGTGAATCCCTGGCAGGCGCGCGACTTGCGCTGCGTGTGATCTGATGATGGGCCGGGGCTGCCGTGTGAATCCCTGGCAGGCGCGCGACTTGCGCTGCGTGTGAAATCCTGCACACCTTACACTACACACATAACGCAATGCCCTCTAAGACCGAGAATTCATGCACTTCTTCACATACACTGAATGAATGAAGGTTACAGTGGACCCCGTGCAAGGTCGGTGCAATGCATCCCCGCATCACAATGCCCGAAAGTGAACAGTAGCTACAGCCCGCCAGCAGAACACCCAAAAATGCAGAGACACCCAGCGGGACACCACTACCAAACAGGGGGCAACAGCGACGCATCGCAACTGCACCAGAAAATTATAAAGCAGGACTCGGGGAAAGTCGCCTACACAGGCACCTCAGGACACACTACCACAACCTACACACAGCCCTCCAAGGGGGTGGCGCTTGCATCAGCCAGAGCTTTGCTCGGCTCACCCGAACAACCATCTGCAATTGAATTTGGCCCACCGTGCCCAGGGCCACGGGGCAGGCCCAGGAGTGATGCTGCCGCAGGGTGGCTCCCCCACCACCCACCGCGGTTAAGGTCCCGCAGCCCCACCAGGCCACCACCGTGCGGCGCATGTAAATGTGACAGTGTCGGAGATAATCGGTCACTTGTAATACGTTGTCCTGTGGAAAATGCACTTCGTGCGACATGCGACTTGACTTGACCCGACGAGTTGACCTGCCGAACCTCTTTGTCCTTGGAATCCTGGTTCCTAGAGTGAGCCTCCATTGCATCTCTTGGTGTTTTCATGAGTGATCGCTGCGTTGATCGATTGCGTTCGGTTCCGCAAGGTTCCGCTTGTTCTTATCTTTGGGTTCACCGTATTCTTGATGAATTTCGTAAAGCTTTTCTGGAGTTAGTTTTGGTTCTACTAACGCCACCACGTCAAAGTCTACTTTGACGAGCGGAGCCCCTTGTCCTATTATTATATGGACGCTCCTGTAGCGTTACTCTCCCGATTCTTTACGAAGAATGGAAATTGGATTGCTACTTGGCCATACAGAGTGGCTGCTTGCGCAAAGTTAATTCCTGGACTCCATGGACGTGCATCACTCCACAAAGTGCGTCACCACTGCTCCTGCGACACTCGAGCGACCTGAAAAAGTTCCATACAAAGGTCCTCTAATGAAATGTCGCGCGAGCCGACCAAAATCTGCGAGTTGCCAGGTCGAAAAGGTCGCGTCCCTGCGCGCGTCCCACTTAGGTCGCCCAGCTGGACGAGCGTGTACGGCGCCCGGTCCGCCGGCACCCGATATGCGAACATTTTAGAGAAATTTCGCTTTTTATCACTGTAACAAACTAACATCGTATTGCATGGGTGATTCTGTAAGGTTTTGCAGTTCGTTAGCGCGCGCTTCCGAGACCATGTCGTAACTTCGGAGCTAGTGGAGCTTGATCGTGTGGTTCTACGTGTGAGGTTATGGCGCGCTATTATGACTATTTAAGCGGACCATTTTATGAACATTGTAAGTCTAAGTTGAAGTTGAAAGCCCGATCTTCTGTGCTTACGCAAGTATATCGGCCAGTAAAGTCAGCTTACGCTTCCCAGTTGTTAGGAGCGGCCTGGTTCCCTTTCAATTGGTATCGAGACCTAGGTGATCCTCCTCGCCGAGCTCTTCATCGTCGCCATCGTCTTCGTCGTCATCGCGCCATCGCGCCATCGCGCCATCGCGCCATCGTCTTCGCCTTCATCACATCGTCTTCGCCTTCATCACATCGTCTTCGCCTTCATCACATCGTCTTCGCCTTCATCACATCGTCTTCGCCTTCATCACTTCGTCTTCGCCTTCATCACTTCGTCTTCACCCTCATCACTTCGTCATCGCCCTCATCACCATCATCTTCATCGTCATCGCCATCGTCGTCCTCCTCATCGCCATCGTCTTTGTCTTCGTCGTCATCATCGACACCGCTGACATCGTCATCGTCGAAATCATCGTCTTCTTTCACAACCATGGCTTCCACCGCCACCAAACTCGGGCGAATCGTCTATGGAGCCCTTCCTATGCTTCCCGATGTATCACCGCCCCGCTCACCCGCCCGCTCACTCTCCTGCTCCTCCGTGTCATCCATTCCTGAAGACCTTCATTCCCTCCGACGACAGCACGACGATTCCCGCAGCTATCACAGACACGAAGCTACCCACCCGCAACCGATCCCCAGACCAACGCTAAACCGGCCACTAGGCCGTCGCCGGCAGATACGGTCAGCCACAGCCTGCCGACGTCGTCTGCTGTGCATACGAACAACAACGTAGCGTTTAACGTTCTTCGTCTCGCTAAAATCGTCCGTAAGCCTGCCCGTCGTACCGGCTGCAAGCGTGCTCGTGCAGCTGCAATGTCGACAACGACGGGAGCATGCCAGGCGAACATTGATTACATCCCTTTACTCTAGCGTCTACATCCGCCACCCTGTTTCCCGATACCACCCTTCACCACGTCTCCACCTCGTCTCATCCATCATTCGCTTCCGCCAACCATCCATCGCCACCTTCCACATCTGTTAAAAACCTCATCCAACATATCTCCACTCCCCATCTAGCACCCCCACCCCAACCACCGGACCACCCTTCACCACCTCGATCCCACATAGTTCATCTTATCACCCACTTTTCACAACCTCCACCACCAGTATCGCAGTCATTTCGCATTCGTTTGGCCAACAGACATCTCCCCCTCTGCACCTCCACCCTCCTCTCTGACCATCCATTCTCACCATGAGCGCACCACCTTCACCCTTGACCTTGACGGATATGATGCCATCCTTGGGAAACCCTGGCTTACTACCAACAACCCCCAAGTGGACTGGCGCACCAGCAGCGCCACCAGCGGCAACACCGTCATTCTCCATTCCCCCTGCCGCCTGCATCCAGTATTCCACATCAGCCGCCTTCTCCCATGGACCGACAACGATCCAGCGCTCTTTCCCAGCCGCCCACCACCTCCACCTGCAGCCCCTACTGCACTAGAATCCCCATATGACAGTGCAGATACCGTTGTTACAGCTGTTCGCCTAGGGTACAACAAGCGCGCACGCCCGTCCGTCATGTTCCTCGTGCAGTGGTCCACAAGTAGTAAACGCGACCCCTCATGGGAACCATACGACGACGTGCACAACCTGCCAGCGCTTCGTGCCTTCCTGAGGAGCCCAAGCTGGACCGCGTTCAGGCTATCAGATCGCTATGCGTGGTTCAGAGCCAAGTTCCCGGAGCATGCCCCAAGGATCGTACAGTTCTTAGCAGAATAGAGCTGCTGCTGGATGTGTGTGTGTGTCATCATGTGTATTCGGTATATCTGTGCGTCTTCGTTCTGTTCCTGTCCGTAGATTACACCAGTCAGTTCAACGTAGTGTGGTATTGCATTTCACGTGTGTGTTCGCGTCTGGGTATTTGGGTTCCGTGTAGTCAGATTTAAGTCGTTTTCGTAGCAGCTTTTGCGTTTCTCCGGATTCTTAAGCCGGATATGGTAGGAGTCGTGCGCCACATTTTAGGCCGGTATCCAGTGCGGGGAAGGTTTTGCCTTGACTCCGGTTCCCTTTTGCCTTCCCCTCGTTAGCCTGGTACCGATTTCGTTCAGGGAATCGGAGAGGCGCACGACTATGGCCGCTTAGTGACGTTTTCGCACCGAGGACGGTGCTTGTTTTTAAGGAGGGGAGTGTGTAAGGTTTTGCAGTTCGTTAGCGCGCGCTTCCGAGACCATGTCGTAACTTCGGAGCTAGTGGAGCTTGATCGTGTGGTTCTACGTGTGAGGTTATGGCGCGCTATTATGACTATTTAAGCGGACCATTTTATGAACATTGTAAGTCTAAGTTGAAGTTGAAAGCCCGATCTTCTGTGCTTACGCAAGTATATCGGCCAGTAAAGTCAGCTTACGCTTCCCAGTTGTTAGGAGCGGCCTGGTTCCCTTTCAGATTCGCTGTGCTAGAAGCGATATCTTTTGAACTTAATGTTAGTGTTTAGCCAAGCGGAAACATCCTTCACCCACCATCCTTCCCATACTCCGTAAACTCCATATACTCCAAGCATGATGGATTGGACGCGTCATATATGGCTGCAGAGCATTGTGTTATAATGTTCTTGAGGCTGCCGTACGTACGAGCGATACGAGCTAGGATGTTTTTAAAAAAAATCCAATAAAATAGTAATATCACGAACTAGGAATAGTTTGAATTTCGCCAATCTTGTCCTGACAATTAGAGAGGACAGGAAAAGAGATTAGAGCAGATGGTCACAGGCACGGCTAATTATACGCCTGTAAGTCAAGTCCAGATGAGACGGGATGGACAGCGCTGGTTTCCAAGTCAGCGGCTGGGACATGCGATATTATGCACTACAGCTCGTACTGCTAATACCACGGCCCAGCAACAATACGGGGGCTCCAAAGGATCGCACTATTAATATCTCAAAAAATGTACTTTAGGCTTGCTTTTCGCATCTGCACAATCCTGTAGCTAGGCGCTGCCTAGTCCTGGTTCGGCGGAGTCATGAAGCTTGAGGCCAGCAGGGACGCCAGCTGCAAACCTTGAAAACTCATTAGCAAGGAATTGCTGGTCGTGAAAGGCGTACCACTGTATATGGACTTTCCAACGTTTCGTAGTGCTCGCACGCTATTTTACAGCAGATTACCCTGCCAAAGTTATAGATTGTACAGTAGAATGTGCGGCCTGTCACGGTACCGCCTCCTAATAACAGTCATTGCTTTTGTTCACAGCCTTGCACTTACCCGGGCGCAGCCTGCAGAATGCCTTGAGCCCTACCGACAGATAATTGAAGAGTACAAAGCATTTCACAACGCCAACAAGTTATCCCCAGATGCCCAATATTTGGTCCACATCTGCTGGGGAGGGTCATGTGCGGGAACAGGTATGCAGGCGAGCGATCAGGTGACAAGGTTAGCCTGGCAACTCTTGGCAATCCTGCTTACAACGCCATGGCAAAGTTCTGCATCGCTCGGTTATTGAATCATTTTACAGGTATCCGCTGCTGGCGGATGAACACATGAGCATGGCCATGCGATCATTAAGGAGGCTTGGAAAGGATATCCTGTTGTTTCCCTGGTTTTCAGGTGACCGCATCCGGGGCGCATTGTGGCTTCTGCGAGTCGCAATTACGTACAAGAAAATTCTGTTGGTGGACTGGACGAAGCCAGCACCTCTTACCGACTTCTTGGTCCCCAACGAAATCGACTGGACGTTTTCGGGCTTGGACGAAATGTTATTTCGTAACGGCAGTAGTACTCTGAGTAAGTTAGATAAAATAATTGACAAGTACGTAGTGTACACGTCTCCCTGGGATGGGTGCAACCAGTAGGGGGACAGCACTTGGCAGCCCAGTACTGGGGCAGCACTTGGCAGCCCAGTACTGGGACAGCACTTGGCAGCCCAGTACTGGGACAGCACTTGGCAGCCCAGTACTGGGACAGCACTTGGCAGCCCAGTACTGGGACAGCACTTGGCAGCCCAGTACTGGGACAGCACTTGGCAGCCCAGTACTGGGACAGCACTTGGCAGCCCAGTACTGGGACAGCACTTGGCAGCCCAGTACTGGGACAGCACTTGGCAGCCCAGTACTGGGACAGCACTTGGCAGCCCAGTACAGGGACAGCACTTGGCAGCCCAGTACTGGGACAGCACTTGGCAGCCCAGTACTGGGACAGCACTTGGCAGCCCAGTACTGGGACAGCACTTGGCAGCCCAGTACTGGGACAGCACTTGGCAGCCCAGTACAGGGACAGCACTTGGCAGCCCAGTACTGGGACAGCACTTGGCAGCCCAGTACTGGGACAGCACTTGGCAGCCCAGTACTGGGACAGCACTTGGCAGCCCAGTACAGGGACAGCACTTGGCAGCCCAGTACTGGGACAGCACTTGGCAGCCCAGTACTGGGACAGCACTTGGCAGCCCAGTACTGGGACAGCACTTGGCAGCCCAGTACTGGGACAGCACTTGGCAGCCCAGTACTGGGACAGCACTTGGCAGCCCAGTACTGGGACAGCACTTGGCAGCCCAGTACTGGGACAGCACTTGGCAGCCCAGTACTGGGACAGCACTTGGCAGCCCAGTACAGGGACAGCCCCTTTGCGTGGGTTACTACATACCTTCCATACTAATATACTGTTGCTCCTAAAACCCCGAAGTATAAAGCTGGAACTTCCTTTCAACCCAAAGATCTAAGTCTTCTAACCTAAGTCTACTTAAATCTCTAATGACATCTAAAAAGGAGGGTCTAAGTTGACCTAAGTCTGCGTATATACCGCATGGATGGGCTATGATGGGTTCAATGTTCCAAGTATTCAGTATTCCTGCGAGCGAGGTTGCGCGAGCAGTGAGCAGCACTCTCCTTGAACACCGGCCAAAGTGGCACCATCACGGCGACATGAACTACGAAGTGCGGGGCAGCGGCACTGCAGCCAGCGACGAACATGGGCCCACAATGGGCCGCCCATTGCACTGCTATCTGCGCACCGCGGAATCGCAAGCTGATCATAATACGGCGCAGGGTAGCGAGAAGACCCAGAGAGGCAGCCGGGATGTCACGGCGTCCCCCACATTCGGAGAGCTGTATGCATGACATGTCCATTGCAGCAAGCAGCACTGTAAACGGTGACACGTACGGGTTGTTCACCGTTGTACGGCATGTCGTAGAATGGTAGTCGACGTGGTAGCACTAGCGGTGTACGACCTGTTACACGGAAATGGCGGGTAACAATCGCGACGAATGAGGTGCAAGGAATGATAATGCTTACTGCGCCACGACTGGCGCGTTTTTATATCACGACTTTAGAAAAGCGCCGATCGGCGGATGCAGATCACGTGGTGTGCCCGCCAGGATACTACACGCCAGGATACTACACGCCAGGATACTGCCCGCCAGGATACTACACGCCTGTTCTCACGAATGTCTGTCTGCTTTTCCATGCATGTGTACGGACAGGCACCGATGATTTCAACGATGCTGTGTACCGACAAGTGCCGACTGCCTTGGAAAAATTTCTTTCGACAAAGGTTCGTCATCACTGGTATCACTGCTCACCAATCACTTTTGCAGATTATTGATCCGTATATCCGTCATGGGTTGTACGTGTACGGTGGATCATTCGGGGTAACTTAAGTTCGTTGCGCGCCAAATGCTGTAATACTTCTCGGAATCCATGAATTACAAACCATGGCGCGCATGCACGCCATGTATGAATGAATGCGTGTTATTACGTTGCTGGACAAAGCTAGCAAGGCAATTTACCGGGCATGTGTGCTTTGTTTTAAACGGGCTGTCTATTGGCTTGTACCTCCACACCATCATATCCATATCCACAGGATTTGCCTGCTACCATTAGACCGGTAAAAACGACTCCGTACGAATATCTGTACGGACGTCGGTATGTTCGTTTGCTACACTGATATTACGTCGTACGGTTCACGTTGCAAGGGTTCTTGATCGCGCCAGTGGCCCGCAGCCAAACCTTTTGCCGGAATCTCTCCATCACTTGGGAGCCTCTCAGGGGGTATACAACGGCCTCACCTAGGCAGCGCCCACGCGTTGATGGACAGCACCCAGCTTGATTGACGGCCTGCAGCCTGTTTGAATCACGTGCAACCGGAACCCCTGCATGTCCCTTTCCCAGGTTTATACCACCAACAGCAACCAGCACTTCGATACCAGAGATATGGTAGGGTGGGACAGGGCTAGCACTACGTGTTCAGGCTAGGGCATGTGTACGATGGCATGACTGGGGACGTGTATTCAGAGGTTCGGGTGCATAAAATTTGAAAGCCAGATAGATTGGCATGGCGGAGAAAGCTTACGGAATGGCCCGCCCCCATGTGACATGGCGCGAACGGCAGCAGGCGTACAGAACGCAGAGAATGCACTTTGTAATGTCCGCCGCTTTTGTAAAGAAGATCCGCCGTCTACGGAAAGCTTCCTGCTTCAATGGGCGAAGTAGGCGCGTGATTCTTTCCATGGCAACCATACAGACGGTCCCGTTAAATGTTGAATTGTTTACCACAGCAGCTTCCATTCGCCATACTAATTTGTAAATCCGGAGAGCTAACGATAACCGAGGATTTACCCCCGTTTAGGTGGGGGTTCAACCCGTGGACCGGCTGTATGAGGACGGCTCTTGCTTTTTCAAGTTCCTGTTTAAGCCACATCCGCTGATTGCGGCGCGCGGCGATGCGCACCTGCAACAGCTCTATGGCTCCGAATCCGTTGATTACGTTGCTTGGCACTGGTAAGGTGACGGTGGTGAGGATAGTTGTAAGGCAAAGGCGTCGAGCCAAAAAGGAGCTAGCTGCGATAGCGAAGAGCTGGAATTTGGCAATGAGCTGTGATAACCGGGGCCCGTGGGGCGGCAAACATCCAGGACAGCGTCAAAAAACGGGCCGCTGTCAGGGTGGTGCAGGGCGGGGTACTTCACTGCATGGTGTCGGACAGCGAATGCAGCGGGCGTGCCAACTACCTACGCACACACTGTGACAGGCGGCATTTCGACGCGGACGGCATGTCGGAGAAGGGCATCATGGCATCGGAGCTGAGCAGGGTGTTGAGCTGTGCGGAGGGGATGGCACGTAAAGTGGATGTGGATTTAGACCAGCGGCCCATGCTACTCGTCACGGATTTCAACGGTAAGTGATAAGGGCCCCCACCTATCCGTGACCATGACGTCTCAATGTACGACCCAGCAACCGACAGTTGCTTTCGGTTGCTGCCTTGATGTCTCTTCGTCCGCATCCTCATCCTCTTGCTTCGCCTCCTGGACATAGTCTGGTTGCGGTCCCGAATGGTGTAGGTTGCAGTTTTAGTGGGAGCAGCGACTCAGTGGCTTCTTGTACGATCAGCGATAATATAATTTTTTTAGGCTACTAATAGGGAGCCTAATTTAGCTACCCGGTAATAACGGCCCCAGGCGAGGCCCCCAATCCCCTGGCATCGCCCTGTCCATCCTAGCGTTTCATGGGTTCCTTTACGATTTAAGAAGCCCAGAGAAGTATATATATTAATTATCACTATGAGAATTCTTTTCCCTCCAAACAGGCGCCGTTGATCCTGGCACGGCACGCTATATTGCTCTCTTGGCACCTTTTTGTGTAGCCCTTCTTAGCCGACGTCTGCGGCACCCAGCAAGCATTTAACTTCATAGTCCTGCCCTCATTCCACGTGCATGTGCACAACGCGTCGAAAATTAATCCACGCAATTAACACACATTGTCGAGTTCCTTGACGGCGCCATGAAGCAAACCTAGACTCTCTATCCCCATGCCCCCCTTTCATGTTCCTTCGTCTGCTGGCTGGCCGGCTGGCCGGTCCTTATTTATGAAAAACAGTCTTTCGTCAGATGGTCGCGAATCGGGAGCTCCGCCGCCTCATCACGCCCAACATTGTCGCGCGGCACATCGACCTGGGCCAGCATGCCCACGATGAGTTGGTGGACATCTTTGTGGACCTGTACCTGCTGTCACGTGCGCGCTGCCTGCTGACCAGTCGCTCAGGGTTCAGCAATATGGCCGTTTGGATGGGCGGGGCCAGATTACTGACATGCCATCAGGATATGACATGCTTTTAAATCCTCCATCCCACTGCAGGGGTTGCAACGGTATCTAACGGTATTCTAACAGGTCGAGACAACATCTGACAAGCTTATTTAGGCCCCCCTTGCGGCTTGTTGAGAAGAGGCCCATCGACGAGTCGCTCGGTAGGGATGCTAAGCTTCGTGTTTTTAGGGAAGGTGGTTGTTCAAAGGCAGGCAATTTGCTTGTCACGCTGGTAATATGCGTATCGGGAGATGGCGAGTGAAATATGCATATGAGGTTTTAGCGTTCCCTGAAACGATGGTGAGTTATGGCGCCGTGACGGCGTTGGTTTTGCTGTCTTGGGCTCTCTAGATCCTAAGCAGCGAGCGAGAAGGTGTAAAAGCGCGGCAGGTGTGCTGGCAGATTAGGTGATAAAAAAAGGAGGGCGAGGAGTTTGTTGCCCTGCCTGCCTCGGCAATATATTCATAAATTATTATTATTAAGGATATAAAAAACTTCTCTGGGATTTGGAATACATGAATAATAATGAGTGCAGGTAGGGTTTGGGATATGCCGTTAGTAAGGGCGATGAGTTCATAAGCTAATGCTGATCATTACGATGTGGGTCTGTTCGGGTGCATGGAAGAAATCTAGAACGAAAAATCCAGCACGTAGCCACGTCGTCGCTTCGCCTGTGTCGTCTTTCTGCTGCATCCTCATCTCGCTGCACTAGTAATACTGTTTGCGGCAGGGACGTCAGGACGTGAAATTAGATGGTGCATATGTATATGCGTGATGCATATATGCATGATAGGCGATAGTGCTGCGTAGTATACGCGCAGGGCGGGTTGTATGTATCAGCAGCCCATCATCGTGATGCATGCGGATCGTGATGCCTATCCGCCGATCTTGTTTACCACAGTTGGGGCTTATACGTTCATTCACATGGAGCGAGCTAGACCTAGAGGAGAGACCTAAAGGACAGCATATATGCATAACGTTTTTTGTGGAGTTCAATTCCACACGATGAAGATGTAACCGTGCTCGTACCATATCATACATCTTGCTGTTGGTGCTAATATATAACATGCAGCTCGTTGGATTTTGGCATATGCTCTTCAAGTTGCTTGGCGATGGGGACCGTGTCACAGCGTGTCTGAGATGCAGATTGATCTATTAAGCCAGTGCTGTTGCCGTCGCTCGACTGGTACGGCCGTGGTTGCTGCTGGTACGGCGGGAGGATTTTGCCGTACATGCATGCGTGGTTCCTTGTATGCACACTAAGTTACGTGTGCGTTGTGGCTTGGGGCCAGCTGGCCTTAGGGTAGGGAAGTCTCTGGCCGAGGGGCGAGCGGAGGCGCTGTATCTTTGCGCAACAGTGCGTGTGCGGAAGGCGAGCTTTAAAAACCGGTTGAGAATGCCGGCTATCATGTAACACTTAAACTGAAACTCCTTTTTTGGTTATTCCAGGATGCCCTAGTTGCCCACTGCGCGCACCAGACCTCCATGCCCACCGCAACCATCTCGCCCACCGCGCGCCCACGCAAATACAGCGAGCTGAATTTGCCCAGAACAAGGAGTGTCTTTTGGTGAACATATCCCTTTCTTAGACGTAGCGGGGTTCTCCATGTTACCCTGTAAAGCAGACGTTAAAGCAGACTTACTGTAACAGAGCTGTAGATTAAGCACGATAATTGTTTCAATACCTAACACGATCTGATCCACCTTACTGGCGTTCTTCCAAGGTCTACCATAAAATATGTATTTTATGACATGCTTCTGCCTGCCTGAACGAGTCGGTTCGCGACGAGCAGTTTTCTGGACCAGCCTGGACATTGCTGTAACCGTCCCACCTCGACGGCAATGACTGCTGTGGCCTCAGCTCAACCCCATAAGCAATAATTTTAATTACACACAAAAACAATTCCTTCTATGGGCCTGCCGATTTTTGCGGATGCAACTCCGCATTTATGCGGAACTTGCATTAACTTGCACGTACTTGCATAACATGCTGCCCTAAATTTTTAAAAACTTGGCCGCGGGTGCAGGCCAATTCGCAAGTTCACGTGTAAAGCATATCCGAACATGCAACCGACAGCTCGACCTCACCGCCCAACGAAGCCCACTACTCCTAGATTCCTCTTATCGCTGTTTTATCATTTCTGCATGCCTGACGTTTTCTTGTTTTAGAACCTTTAATTGCATGCCTGTGTCTGCGTCTGCGGCCGAATTGGCAGGTGGTCGGCCATGCATGTTAGGTTTCCACAGCCAGTAGAGGGCCAACTGGCGACAATATCGTCTGCGCCGTGAAGCCGTGTACAGGATCATTACATTTGGCAGGACCGGCGCCTGCTTTGAGATCTTCAAGACGGGCTACCAGGGGATTGCACACACATCGATAAACAGACAAAACGCACAGCAGTACATCGAGGGGGACGTGTGCACGCTTTCTGCTAGAGGGAAGCAGCTTCTTCAAGTGTGTGCTTCGTCGTGTAATCCCTCCATCCCCATCTAGTGTTTGGAACTAACCTTTCCCCTATCTGACATCATAACCTCTCGTCCTCAGACACCTCCTCCTCTGCTACTGTATACTCCGCCTCCATGCAATACGCAACACGCAGAACGCCGTTGCTTCCCTCCCTATCCATGCATCCGCCCGCCTCGTAATCCAGACTACCGTGCATGTAGTACCTTCGCTGTTTCGGCCGCTGCGATGCTGTTTCAGCCACGTGCCGCATGCGCGCCGCAAGGACTTCCGCCGGTTTCAGGACCCCTTTCTTACACCGACACCGACACCCCCACACCGAGACAAGTAGGAATCGGTGTGTCGCCTGACGGTTGTTCATGCCCCGGACCCATCTCCTCCTGCGGACTAATGATAAGAGAGCGGCTTGTCCCCACCCCCTAGGCCTTATAGCCCGACAGCTCAACCCCCATGCTCCTGCATCCCCTTCACCCCTACCTCCCTCCCTCTCTTCTCTTTTCCACCCAACTCTAAACGCCATCTGACACCCAGGTCTCCCAATTAACTAATCCACTTCATCCTCCGTGCTAGTGAAACCGCTGCTGCTGCTGCCACCACCCTCATCGCTGTCCTCATCCAGCATGAGCTCACGGACCAAACGGGAAGACGGATTGGCGGGAGGTGGCGCCGCCGCCGCCACCACACCTGCACGCTCCGCGTGAGCTGGCAGCTGTGGCAGCGGCGCTGCGGCCGCGCCAGAGGCGGCGGCGCCGCCGCCGCCACCAAAGAACCTCTGCTCCACCAGCGTCCGCAGAACATCCATCGCTCCAGGCATGTCTGACAGGAACTCCAGCACGGGCTCCGGGAAGCCGGCATCCGGTGTCCAACCCGCGGCTACCAGGTTCTCCAGCAGTGTACGGCAGGCTGCCTCGGCGCGGGGCTCCACAGGCGCGGTCGCTGCACCCGCCTCCGCGGCGGCAGCACCCGCCATGCCTTGGTGGCGCTCTGCCAGGGCTCGCTCCCACAGGGCTGCGTGGTCAAAGTGCAGTTGTTGGGGTGCAGGCTCGCCGCTGTAGAGACCCATGGAGGCGAAGGTAGTGTAGCGAAGCCGATGGCCGTAGACGAGGAGCTCCTGTTGGGGTTCGGGGGGTGAGGAAGGACCAAAAGGGGATGTGGGGGCTGGGGGAGAGGGCGGCGGCGTTTTCTTCGTGCGCGTGTGTGTGGGGGGGCCAGGGCGGGGGGGGAGGGTCAAGGGGGGAATCGACGAGCCACGTGAACGAGTGAAGTTGATGCCAAGGATAAACTGATACGCCAGAAGTAAAGGATAAGTCATAACTAACCAGTCGGGGCGTGTGAAGAAAGAGTCTTAGCGATGATGTTAGTAGTCATGATGATAGCGGAAAACTACCTACCTAGCCGCCAGCACTAAAATAAAAAACAGAAAGAAAGCAGGAACAACCGTCCGTAGTGTTCTAAAGGTAAGTGTTAAGGCGGTGAGTGGTAAAGGCCATTTAAGGGACCGTGGGGAGTGACAGAGTCAGGTTCATGGAAGAGAAGGGACTTAAGGTATCGGTTTGCCAAGGACAGGAGGTCCTCTAAGTCGCGTTTTGCGAACTTAAAAGCCATGAAGGATGCGTTTGGCGGGAAGGGAGACTGTGGAACTGTAGGACTGCTGCAGAACTTTATGTTCATGCCATGCAAGGAAAAGAGGATAGCGGTGCAAGGGGCCAGGGATATCCCCATGGGGATATCTCGCAGCCTTGTTGCACGTGACGTGGGCCAAAACGAATGAAAGTTGCGGACAGAAGGGCAGAGAGAGGAGAAGGTAACATGGACCTGAAGTGGACCGTGAAGTAGGCAGTTTGGGATAGCCGTCGTCCTACTGGGAGTACCTGGCTGCGAGGGTTAGGGCCTTCACAGTTTTCAGAGGTTAAGGTAGGGTGGGTGGCGCCAGGCTTTGGTGGGGAAATGCGCACGAACAAACAAAAGACGTTAGCAAAGAGGAAAAGCCGTGATGGATGAGGTCTTCCAGGACACCGATGGGGAGGTGATGGGGAAGATTAGCATACAAGCGGTTGAAGTCGCGAGCTTGAGCAGGGTAAAATATGGGATGTAGGGGACTGGGGGCAGCAGCAGCAGCAGTAGCGAGCCTGGCGCTGTGAGAGGGCCCAGCAGCAGTAGAGGGGGCGCAGCAGGGACAGCGGGCAGGCGCTGGGGCGCGGGAAGGACCGGCGCCTGGGGCGGCAAGGGGGGAATGCGCGTGAAAGAACGGAAGTATTATAGGCTGGAGCAAGTTGCATAAACGGTCCACAGAGGCGCCCTGCTATTGGGGTGGGTCTCAGTGAAAGCCGGGGAGGCCATGGAGGGCATGGAGGCGCGGTTGGAAGGAGCACTAAAGAGCGAAAGGTAGGAGTGTCGAAGGAAAACCGGTACGGGTGTCGACTGGGAGACAGCATAGTCCAGGGTAAAAGGGAAGGCTGGGCGAGGGGATAATGTAGCTAGCACGAAGGGACATGGAGGATGACAGCCCAGAATTCAACTTCCAGAATTAGGCACACCGACGACAATCACCTGAACACTTGGGAGGTATTGATTGTCCGGTGGGACTAGTTCCCCCACGTCATCCAAGACTGCTCGCATGGACACGGCGATGGACCCGAGCGCGTTGAGGCCCTGCGCCATAACTCGCTCTCGCTTCGCCACCACGGTTGCGATGTCCCTGTGCTCATCTGTCCTAACGACATGCTGTTCGTTGCTATGATTATGATTGCTGCTGCTTAGTCGCGAAAGCAGCTCTTCATGTTCTCGTAGCAGCTGCGTCAGGGCAAGAACGCTTGGGTGCTGACAGCCGGAAGGCTGAGGTGCTGAGGCTGCCTGAGGCTCATCCGCAAGCACGGCTTGAAATTTAGAGCACGCAGATGTCACATTCGTTGCAAGGGCGAGTAGCGACCGCTCGCTCATGTTAACCAGGATAATACCAGGCTGCCAAGACGGCTTACAGACTTATTGCCATTGCACTTAGAGTATATAATACTACGCGCTTGGCACGCAAAGGACGCTGCGATGTCCGTTTATGCAAAGACTTGAATGGCATGCACGCCGTTCTTGACAGGTGAACTGTCCAGTAAAGGATCAAATGTAATCTAAATATGCCTGCAAAGCTATAGCATGGGGAATTTGCTTATCAGTACCAGAAGATGCCGCCAAGATGTAAACCAGAGAGTGCTTGCAGCACCGCTGCTTCTTTGTCACAAAGACCGAAAATTACAGTCCTTTGTTATTAGGAGCTATCTTAAGAGGTGTTTAAGTGACTTTTCCATGCACGAAACGGGGGTGCGGGGACCCGCAACTTTCGGAGTACCGTACCACCAACCACCAGCACTAACGACCCCTTTCGGCGGTCCAGCGCGCGTCCAGCCTTGTAAGCCACCCTCAAAAGAAAGGAAACAATTTTCTGTTGCATAACAAATATGACACTGCCGTCACTGCAGGTGGCGGCACTGTCCAACCTTCGCATCAGGTCAGCCGCAGCCGCCTACCAGGAAACGACACTTCAAAGTGTATGGAACGGTACGACAGTACAGCCATGTCGTGTCTGCTGCAGCAGAACTGTATGACAAAGTATGGTGGTACAGCAATGTTGCGCTACGATTCCAGGCTCTCATGCGCTTCTGCTGAAACTCCCCCTGAACTGGACAACCCTGAATGACCAGCACTTTGCATCTGGCGCTCTTTTGGGGTCATCTACGTAGAGGAAACGACAGGAAGCGGAACAGAGGGGACGGGGCATGGAATTTATTCGTAGCTTGCCTAATGCACCCTGCACACAAACTTTGACTGAATACCCATATCCTAATTTCATTTAATAAAGCCTTTATTAAAATATTATCGCAAAAAGCACCGAAGGCTGTTGGTTGAAATCCTTGCTGGCCGAGCACGCTCGAGCATGAAACCGCACGCGAACAGCTCTTTAGCGTCTGGGCCGTACCGGATAGCTACCGGGCTGACTGGGCGGAGGGGGAGGAACCTTTGCAGCATGGAGACATGGTGCCCGCAATTTATTACAACGCGGGCGACGCGTGCGTTGCTGTTGGAAAGAGCGTTCTGTGAGACGCGCAGGCATCTTGCTCATGACCATAGCAGCCCACCCTGCCGAGTCCCGACCTACCTATCGGGGACCTGTAGCGACAGTACACGGGGACACGCGGCTTACGGAGCTGCTGGACAATGCCTCTCTACATCTCAAACCGACGTGGATGGGGCATGCTGCTGTCCCGGAGGAAGTTATCCACTCTGTACGGCATTGTTACGGCATTATGACTTAGTAGACACCTGTACGGCATTTCACTATGTCGGGCAAGTACCGATGCCGTAAGGGCCCTTCCTTCATATTGCGTATAAATACATGCCTTGCAGTATCGGCGATTTCTTATCGTGAAGGTGCATGTGACGAATGTTAGTTGTGCTGCAAGATTGGGCTCAACATAGTAACTGCAACTAACCTTCGCTTGCGAAGCTGTCCGGAACGCATAAACCTCTATCGCACGACTATAAATAATTTGAATTTAACCACCTATTATCGCTTCTACGACTAGGTAGAGCGTCTGTTCACTGTAGGAACATGGCCATGCTACCGGAAGTCATCGCCATCCTGGCGCTGTTGGCCTGCCAAGCTCAGTCACATTTATTGCAAACGGAATCTGTGCGTCGCAACCTTATTGTGGAGGTAGGCTCGCAGTTACGTCCGTTTGCGTTTGGGAATAGTGTAGCCATAAGGTAACGGCCTTTCTGCCTGCTGCTGTAGGTTGGAGACGCCGCAAATCAGTATTCCACCGGTAGGATGTAAAAGCCTTAGCAAAAGCGTTTCATCGCAATGTTTTGCTAACACGCAAATTGGCTTCGGTTGGCTTTCGGTACTCGCAGCGAAACCATGTTCAGGAAACGAGACGAGCTTTATGGGCTGCTTTCTTGCCTCGTCCAACGCTGTAAGCTCTCGGGTTATGCGTCTCACCTGGCCGTGGTGATACTAATTAAGGTGGTGGACATGTCTGTGCCTCGACAGAGAGCGCTTCTGCAGCATGCCCACTCCAAATCCAACAACGTCTACCAACCTTTTTCAGACCTATTGATCAAGCGTTTCAGTATTCTTTAACACCTATGGCATATTTAACCGTTCCTCGGGGCAAATGCTTCTTCCAGTTCCAAGGCCATGCTTCAGAACTCGCCAAAAAAAACAAAAATAATGAACTACAAACGTCATTCATTGGGCTACCGAAAGCCTAAGCCATTGCACCCAAGTAATGCATGTAGTCAATGGCAGCATCCATACCACGCCTTTGATATCGCAACTGATAAGTACAAATCACATTTCGTCAAGCTTACGCCTGTGCCCTATGTGACTGCTCGTTGCCGCAGAAAGACTATCCATGGGGCTCGCCCGAGGTGCGTCGCGCGTGTGCGTGCGTGTGCGCAAGGAAATGGGACGGGATGGGTTGGGCCCGGCGGCAATGCCTGCCGGGCGAGGCTCCCTGAAGAGATTGAGGCTCGTACACGTGTCCCATAATGCAGCCTCAAGTAAGGAACAGTGTTACCACCGGAAGAGAGAAGTCCGTTCGGATTTGGGCTTGACGACCCTGACTGGCTAAAATAGAGATCTCAACCTCACGGCTACAAGTTAACCCTCCGTACCTTTTATATTTAAGTAATCTACAAAAGAAGGTAAGCTTAAGTTGGCATTAAAAAATGGACAAAGCTATGTCGCCAGGACAGAAAGGAGACTGCCGTAACTGCCCGACACTGCCCGACAGAACCTCTTCGTAAAAAAAACTATGCCCAATCTGTCTACGTTTCTCAGCCAAATAATTCCCGCGCAGAAAATTGTTGACATCGCATCCTGTTCCTATGTTATAGAATATAAAAGATTGTGGCAAAAGGTACAATCTCATATGAAATAGGATGGCCAATGGGCCGTTCTAGAAGCCCGCCATCACTCACCACCCAAATCACACCCCTGCTGCGTGTGAGGACTATGCCACCGCATTGGTTTCTTGGCCGCAAAAGCATTTGGCAACTTACGCGAGTTCCATTACATAAGCCCTATTGTGGGCAAAATCGTGTGCACTTTGGGCATGTTGATGACCACCCGTTAGTTCCTAATGCGTGGTGTTGGAATTTGCCATTGTGGGGAAACCCTGTTCTTCCAGAAAAAAAATTGAATGTCCAGTTAGATAACATCCGCCCGGGACTAGAATTTCGTCATCAAGCCCTCCTGGGCTGTAAAGCATTGCATACGTTGGGAGATGTTCTTTGCGCGCGAGAGGCCTTGGATGGAGTTATGAATGCAACGGACCAAGCAGGCCTAGCAATACGCAAGGCTTGGCATCAAATAGTGGATAAATACCTCCAACCGCAAACCCCACTAGCTAAATCCCTGTGCACCTATCGTAAATGGCAGGAATGTATGGATGCTATTGCCGCTCTTCTAGATGATATTCCAGCGAATTGGAGACAGGCGGCTAGTCTTTTGTTGCCGCTGAGTGTAGAATCTAGGGAAGCGATGGTGCCCCCTATTGAGTCGGTTACTCAAACCCTAGTGTCGAGGCTTGGTTGGAGATGGGGTGTAGGGCCTCCAATCCGATTCCAACAATTATCCGTTAAAATAGCGACTAATATGCAACTTTCACCTTTTTCGATGGCTCGCCGTGTGGCCCATACCCTTTTCATCAAAGAGGCGACGGGTTCTTCTGAGATATTGGATGAAGCTATTTTTCTTTTGCAACGGACATTCCATCGTTTATGGTTTCATTTACGGTGGGAAAATGAACAAAAAGAGATTTGGTGGCGTCTTGCGGTTGATGGGGTGCTATGTTAGGAAATTCCCATCTTAGGATGTCGCGCCCAACGATATGTGGTTGTGGAGGTTATCCAATAGGTTCAGTGGGAGGTGTATCCCCTCGCTATCATCATTTCTGGGCCTGTCCGGTGGCACAGGCAATAGCAGACCAACTTACTCTTTCAATAGGATTGCCAGTCTCAAGGGAGCAACTTTGGCTTATCCAAGCCCCACAATCAGTGCAACAATGTGTTTGGGAAATTGTGGCTCTTGCTGCGGTGTCAGCCATGGAGCATGGGAGACGTTATATGGCTGCAAACATGAAAACCAACCCGGCACTGTTACCTGGTCCTTCCCTTACGGAAGAAGCAATTTGTCGAGTTATTGTTGATTTTTGGGGCCGCATTCAGGGTTTCGCAGCTTTAGGAATTCCACGAAAAGGTTGGGAATCCGTTGGCGCACATCACCCCTTTTTGAGGATTATATCTGGCAAATTGATTTGTTCGCGAGAGCGGTTACCGATGAGAGGTTAATTATCTGAGATGATAATCTTTTGGTATATTAGTCTCTACTGCAGTGCACGGCCAGCTGGCCCGATGGCTCTACTCTTCGGGAGTCTGGAGCCCACTGTAACAACCACACACACACTTTGGGCGTTTGGGTGTGAAAAAAAAAGAGTTCTAACGCACCTGCAAAAATTCAATCTAACGCAAATCTCACGGCAGATGCTTGTCGTACTGAACCCCACGTCAGTAATAAATCGGGTACAGGACTACTAGTCGCATCCGCTTTTTGGAGCGAAGCTGTTCGAAGCGAGTCTACCAGTCCGACCTCTTTTAACTTCTTACCATGTCGTCGTGCAGTCCGCATTGGCGCTCATGAGGAATATCATTAAGGAGTTAAGGGGTTGTTTAGACCGAAGTGGAGAGTCATGATTACTCTATGACATAAAACATTGGCAAGTCCCTTTGTACAGTGTGCTTATCTGCCGTACATCATATTTTGCCTTCCACCATTTTGCTATACCATCCCAATTCAGATCCGCTACCCGGCGGATGGCTCCCCATGGGGCGTCCATCTTACGGGCCCTTATCCGGACGGTACGACCTACCTAGTGTCATGGTAAGAGAATTGCCAGAGGGAATATAATTGAAAAACTCTTTTTAGGGTTTGTCCAAGGATGAAAAAATTTGGAACCCTAAGAATTGTGTGTGCAAGAAAGAAAACCCTGAGATATAACAGCGGGTAGGGGAAGTTGGAAGGTTTGATATGGAAGTCCAGGGAAGCTTGACCTGACGGTCAACGGTCAAAGGTCCCTGCAGATTCTAGCCTTAGGTGTTTGAGCTTCTCCCCAGGCAAGGGGCGGATAGACGTGAAGCGAACGCCAGGGGGAAGGGGCACTTGGGGTTTCTCTGTCCTCCCTGATTGTGATTCTTGTTGTATGTTGTATTCTGTTTGTCCCGCGCATGCATTCGTTGCCTCGTGTGGTAGGAACCTGCCGTACATGAGCCCCAGCCCCGGCCCCAAGCCCTCCCCGACTTTGCCTCTGTCCTTCCGTCCGTCCGTCCGTATATCTGTCCATCCTCATCAGGCTCACTGGTGCACCCACCATCGGCCGCAACCCCGCGCAGCCCAACACCAGCAGCCTCATAACACACGCCGCAGTGACCCCCGCACAAGGTAACCATCACCGAGTCCATCCTCGTTCGTCCTTGGCGGATGTTTGCGGTGTCGACAACACTGAAAAATGATAACAATGATATCATTGGCCTACTTCTATGACCGCACATCCGCCTGTGACCCCACATATCAATACCATCACCTCAATACCATCACCTCAATATCATCACCTCAATGACACACTGGTAGCCCTGTCATTGGCTTAGTCCCCCCCCATCCCGGCTGACCCAGCGAGTGAGCCACACCTCCACCTCCACACGTGTCAGCAAAATTGAGATGTACAAATCATATTTATGTCGGTGCAGCTGAATTACAGCCGAGCTACAGATGTCCGCACCAGCGTATGCGCATTACTCGCTGCTACACGGCACGAATCATCTTTTGAGCCGGCGGGTTTCCCTGGCCGGGTGTGCGGTGTTATACCACGACCTCAGAAAAGTACCGGTCGGCGGATGCAGATCCCGTGGTGATATACCATACAGAATACTGCGTGCGGCTGTACGAGCAGAGCCCGCAGTTGTGTCTCCCGGCCGCTTTAAGCTGTCCTAGGCTGTGCTGTGTTGCGCGCTATGCTCCGCTGTGCTATGCTGTGCTATGCCTTACCACGTCTGCCGCATGTATCCGACTTGCCCGCATGTATGTATGTATGTATGTACATAAATCTGCAGGTGGCACAGAAACTAGATTCGCGGGCTCAATCATAACGTACTTACGCCTGTACAGCGATACCACGTTGGCCAATTACTCGTAAGTTACGTCCCGGCATGGCGGCAGGGACTGACGAGTAGGGGGCTGGCGCGCGCGTGTGTGTATAGGTGATGGTGTCGGGGTGGGAGGTGCTGATACCCATGCATGGATGTCCTAGCTTAGAGTTGCGAGCATGACGGTTCAAATTGTACGGCATGTCCCTTTATTTTTATTCTTAACTAAAGGATGGGTTCTCTCACCCTCGGTCGTTGCCCGCCGGGACTATAGGTACCTCTCGCCGTACATCCACCACGTCATTCTTGCCAACCTGGCACCCAGTACGACGTATAACTACAAAGTAAGCTGCCGCAATGGCAGCCTGGCCGGCAACTACAGCTTCAAAACGCTACCGTAAGTAGTGCAGTAGTGGTGGTGTAGTGTAGTAGCTGGTAGACAGTACGGCACGCATGTCAACTACAAATACCCCTGATCTGCACCTCGAGAGGCCTTTTCAGCGGCCAGCTACTGCAAGTAGAATAATTCGCGATTTATTGCTTGCTCTCATGGTTTCTTGCACGGCATGCCGCCGTAAGCGTGTCGTACAATGGATCTCTAGACATGCATGACTGCTGCTTAACCATCTTGACTGTCTATCTGCTTCGTTTGTACGTCATGCTCGTCTGCTTCGATTGATGACAACCACATTAACCGAATCGGTTACTATTGAAACCGCAGCAAGAAGACGGCCGGCGACGGATCCTCGCCGTACCCACTACGGATTGGCATTATCGGTGATGTGGGTCAGACGCGCAACAGCACTGCGACTCGAGATCAAGTCGTTTCTAACAACCCCCAGGTAGTTATCCACGTTGGCGACAACTCCTACGCGGACAACTACCATGCCTCCAACCCCGACTTAAACAAGGCTGGGGGCACCAACCAACAGTGAGTAGTTATTGCAGGGTTTAGGAGCAGCAGGGGTTCTGGTTTAGCTGGCTTCGTTCACGCACGCAGCAGCTCCCCTGCAGCAGCTCCCATGCCCGTTAACATACATCCATACCCACGCACATCTAACTAACTACATACATACGTGCATGCATAACGCAAAGTTTACGTGTATATATGCCGGACTATCGACCCACACACGCATACACGAGGGGCAGATGTATTACATGGAATCCGTGTGCAGATGTGCACATGCATGCGCAGATAGACCCGCGCACACACGCACTCATGCACCCAGAGAATGTAATTCATCCATATGTGCGCCCAAGTGTTGCTGGTTGGCTCGCTCGTTCGCCATGATCATCCTCTTGCGGCTGATCCTTCTTCACACCTACAGGCGCTGGGATTCATTTAACGTACTCTGGGAGCCGCTGTTCAGTAAGGTCCCCGTCCTCAATATACCTGGAAATCACGAGATAGGTGCGTTGTCGACTGATAAATGTCATTGTTGACCACATAGTATTTTTTAGGTGGGTTACGAGTTTGCTAAATTGTTAAACCTCGTTCATAAATTTCGTTCGTACGTACTTATTACGTACGGAATACTGATGCGTAAAGGGTAGCTAGGCTGGTGGCAGCTGCTGCCGCTGGTCAAAGAGCTACTGGGGGAAATTACTGAGGAATAATAATGGAGCAATATGTATATGCACGGGAGCGCACGCACACGCACGGCGTCTATCTGTCTACCTATCTATCCCTGCCGGGATATTTCAATATATGTTCGATATGCGCGTATGTCATACATAATATGACATATACATACGTGTCATCGCACGTCGGACTATTTCTATGAAAAAAATAGTGTCGGCTTATTACACCGATACTGTAATAATTCTTTCATGTCTGAACTCTCTGCAATATGCAACCAGACGCAACCAGACGCATTTTGCTCTTGTTTATAAGTACGGCGGCGTATATGTGCGTGTGCGTGCGTGATCGCAGAGTCGACGGGCATCAAGTCGACAATCTCCCTCACCACCACCTCTTGGAGCTTCCCCTCCAATTATCCCTTCCAGGCGTACGCCGCCCGCTTCCCAGTTCCCGGCTCCACTCCCGCCTCCTTTGGCAACATCACCGCCAACATGTTCCATTCCACGGTACTGGGGGGTGTCGCGACGCTCATCTCCATCAACAACTACATCGCATTCCAACCGGGTAGTCCTCAGTACAAGTGGGCCCTATCCGAGTTTAAGAAAGTGAACCGCACCCAGACGCCGTGGTTGTTCGTACAGGTACGAAAGTACAGAATAAACGCCATCCGTGAGGCAACACCTTTAACCATCCAGCTTAGCTACGTTGGTGGTATTGTTGGTTCGCTGTCTACTAGTATTATTGTATTGACTGGCTGGTTGGGCAGTTGGGTATGGTTATTTTTCTTGCTGGATTCATGATCCAAGGGCATCCTGTTGGCGCGCGTCGCCTATGCATGTAAAAGAAAAAACGTATCACTTAAAGATGAAATCTTATTGGTAGGTTTTACTTGTAATATCTTTGCTTCATTAAGAGCTCTCATTTCAGCTTGCATATATGTGCACACGTGTACGAGGGTCGATGGATGATATTGTTGTTTGTGCTTTTCGCCAAACCTCCCCGGCAGGGAGTTGCCTATTTATTGACGCCTTAGATTGATTGTTTCCCTATTTGCATTAAGCCGTGCATTCCGGTACAAGTTTTTCGCGGCGCCCTCGGCCCGCTTGCCTACTGGTACTGGTCTCATACCAGTACCAGTACCAGTACCAGTACCAGTACCACCACGCGCTGCATGCATCTCCCCTCGCTACCCCTCTCAAGGGCCCCGCCGACCACTGCACCGCACTGCCTCTCCATCATCTCCGCCTGATTCCCCCACTGACTGACTGGTTCATTAATATTGCTGTCTCATCCGCATCCCATCACCTCCTATGCTGCACATGATGTCGTACGATTGTACGCAGTTCCACACGTCAGCCTACCACACGTACACCAACCATTACAAGTCCATGGAGTGCTTCCTGTCCATTTGGGAGCCTATCTTCTATCAGTGAGTATTGGAAGGGGGCTTCGCCTACATTCCACCATCAAACGCAGCTGCGCCGTGAAGATTGCCATGGCAGGACATGGCAGGACATGCCGCAAAGCAGCAAACAGCCCTCTGCGCGTTCGTGTGATTTGCTACACCACACAGTAATCGCCTCCACCAGTCTATCTGGAGATCTAAGATCTACGCGGTGGGGATATTCAATCCCTGGTTGTCCCAGGGTAGTATCCTGGAGGGCGAGATCATCACGGGAGCTGCATCCGCCGATCGGTGGTACTTTTCTGAAGTCGTGGTATAATAGCTGGCCAGCCTCTACCCAGACGACGTCACCCAGTTCTGGCTTCTTTGGGCTTCCCCTTTCGTCACCCTTTTTGATGAAAACACGTTGGGGAAAACAAAGTGGATGCTTTCCCCTTCTGGGAACAAATTGGTCTGTTCCCTTTAAAGGGAAAAAGAAACCGTCTACGATAACAACCTAACGGCCCAAGGCCACAACGTACTGTTGCAGTGCACCTAGCTTTTCATACCCTTAGTCATCCCCATAGGGTTGTCACATGTTTTTTTAATTGCAGATTTCGTTTTGCTGTCGATACCTCAATACGTACGGCACGCCATGTACGGCAAGCCAGCAGATATTCCACAAGAGATACCTCAACATGTATTCATACGTATGGCAACAAAATGGATTGAAAGTACGACAACTTAGGGACACATGCGTGCGGCAAATCCTTTTCTAATGTATGTATTTGCAGGTACGGCGTTGACCTTGTTTTTAACGGTCACGTGCACGCATACGAACGTACCCACCCGGTTTACAAATATCAGAAGAATACATGCGGCCCAATCTACGTCACTGTGGGTGACGGTGGCAATTTGGAAGGTCTGTACCGCGACTTTGTCGACGACATCAGCTCGAGCGCCGGCAAGCCACGTTGTGAGGTAGGCGAGTGATCGTGTGCACCTGTCACTATACCTGTTCCGTAGTAGTGCATGAACACTGCTTCTAACCGCATCACACCGGCTAGTTCGTAAATTAAGCAATAATATATAATGTTGGAAATGGCAGCCATCTATGTATCTCTTAGCAGTATGTGTAGTCCCAAGCCAGGATTGCAGTCAAAACAGGTTCGTACACATCCTACTGCTTTTGCTGCTACTGGTGCTGCTGCTACTACTTCTGCAACTGCTACTGCTGCTGCTGCCACTGATTTAAAACATTGCGAAATTGCTGCTATTGCTGCTGCTTGTTGTATTCTGGGCATATCACTGGGCATCTGCATCCGCCGATCGCGGTACTATTCTGTAGCAGTTGTAGTCGTGGTGCAACACTGCTACTGCTGCTACTGCTCTCGCAGTTGTTCACGGCTTCCGGGCTCTCGCCAGCTGCGCTCTATTACCAGAACCCCGGCGGGTGGAGCTCCTCGGGGCCCAGGCCGTCTAACTGCCCGACAATGAGTTTCCAACCAGCAACCGGTCTGGAGGGCGGCCCTCCGCTGATGCTGCTCAACACAACCGCGGGGCAGCCGCTCCTGGGGTTTTGCCAGAGCAGCCAGCCACTTTGGTCGGCGTGGCGCGACCCCAGGTATGTTTGTATGTATGTTGGCTGGTATACGTAGCTAGCAATCTTTTGGGCTAGCTAGCTACCAAATGATTGCCAGGAATATAAACCAACGGAAATTTAGTCCGTTTGTTGCAGTTTCCAAGATGTATATTAATTGAGCGTACATGCACACACGTACACGCCGGCATGTGCAAGGCTGAGTGCCGTTGAAAAGGGAGCTCAACGTGCTGTGCTTGCTGCCTTTGTCTGTCTGTCTGTGTTCCTGTCTACCGCCTGTGTACTAGGTGCCGTACCTCTATGCGGGGCGTTACACACATGGCAATCATTTCGGTTTTATTTGTTCCCTTATCACATCCGCTTAGCTGTAAGCCTCCCTGGTGTTGTAGTATTGCGACTTCAGAAAAGTACTGCCGATCGGCAGATCCAGATCCCGTGATATGCCCTACGTAATACAACACCTGGACATGAGATATACATACTAGGCAGGCGGCTGGCAGAGGTTAAGGCCTGACTTCTGCTCCCAGTCGACCCGGGTTCAAATCCGCCTGCCGGCTCCTCGGGTGTTTGAGGAGTGATGTAATGGGAGGTGGCCCCCCATCCTATGGACGGTGTAGGACGTGATAATATCAACTTGCGAGCTGACCAGGAACTAAGTTGATGCGCCGTTGATCCGCTAGATTTGGTTGGATGCTGGTGGTGAGTTGCCGAACCCAACGAATACATTCTGAAGTCGGATGGGGTGACGGATTAGGGTGCCCCTCTAGCAGGGGAGAGCAGGGACTGCCCCGGGAAAGGGGGCCGCTGGCGAAGTTAACCACCCTGTAACAACATACATACATGCGCACTGATGAACCTGATGAAGCGCACCCATTTATCCTCCCACGGCTATGGTAGCTTGCTTCATTTAGCGACCGGCAGTTCGGAGTTCTGCGTTCCCCACACTCGTGCGTTCAACCCCTCGCAAAAATCCAAATAAACGTTTTGCTTCTTTATCCCCCACCCACCCACCCCCCGCCAGCTTCGGCCATGCCATCCTAGACCTGATTTCGGACACCACGGCGAGGTTCCGGTGGTACAAGAACCTGGTAGGATTGAAGGTGCGTGCGGACATGAGAATGTATCCCCCCCAGGGGGGGATTCATTATTAATTAGGGGAGCGAGGAACGACACATTTTCTACGGTACACAAGTACACATGCACACTTGTGCATATATAGGTACACTGCAGCAGTGTGTGCATGCATGCACTTGCAGTGCTCGCGGGTGCTCTATATATACACTGACTGTGGGACGCATACCAGTAGCGGCATTCTCACGCTTGGATGGCAAGGCAGAAGTCCTTAAGTACGCTTTGTGGGGCCTGCTGAGGCGGCATCGCAGGGTGCAGAACATGCCATTCAGCCATTCATCAGCCATCGGCATTCAGTGACAATTCGGTGATTTCCTCTTGACAACGGCTAGGGACACAAAGCAGAGCAGCGCGCACTGAAAATTTTGAGCGGAAGGGGTTGCCAACATACTGCCCAACCAACATACTGCTTAGCCAACATACTGCCCAACCAACATACTGCCCAGCCAACGCAATGCCCAACAGCCTTTGCACGTGTCCCACTGATTGGAGCCGCACGTATGATGTATCAGGTATGTCTGTATGTCCGGTGTACGGCACTCCCCTCAGGTCGCCGTCGACGATGTCGTACTCGAGCGCAAGGACGCGTGCGTGAACCGCCGCCGCCGTCAAAGCCGCCGAGCCCGGAGAATTCTTGCATAGCCTAGAGGAGTAACAGATCAAATTAACATCCTTCGTTAGAAGCTGATGATAATAATATTTTCCCCGCATGTACATGCTATAATAAGCAAAGTGGCGACGTCGCGAAGTACTTGGCCAGCTGGCTATCTGCCATGCAACTTCTGTTGTGCATGTACTGTAATGAGTAGAGTAAGGACGAGATACGAATAAAGGGAAGCGGAAACAATTATACGAGTTTACTGGCTAGTTGGTTCTTGACAACCAAATGTCCGCCTAGACGGAACTAACCAAAGTAAGGATATACTCTTGTTGGAGTACGATGTACGATAGTACGGCAGGAGTTGTTCCGCCTATGCGTTACAAGTAATAGTAATAAGAATATGTTAGTCATTACCGTATTTAACGGAATGCTCATAACATTCTCCCCCTCTTAAAGTCTGTTCGTCCTCGACAGACCCGCTTCAATTCCGCCGCCACGGATAACCGTGTAAGAGCAGAGCAGTAAGCGCCTCACTGACGGGATTGCTGCGAAGAAGAGCGAGAAGAAGGAGTGTCCAGGCAGGTGGTCGAATCACGCGGCCAGAACGAGTAGTACGCACCTCAGGAATAGGAGTTTGCGCAGGAGTAGGAATTGGAGGCACGACAGGAGTAGTCTCAAGGGGAGGAGACTCAGGAAGAACATTATCCGGAGTGTTTTGGGACGAAGGGCCAGGAATAGGATTTGTCGCGGGAGAGGATGCCCAGTAATCACGCAGGAGATCAGCGCAGTTAGTAAGATTAGACTCAGGCTCCCAAGAGTCATACTCAGGACCCTGGCCTTCCCATCGAAGAAGGAAGAATCGCTTAGCGCCACGCTTAGCAGATTTACCTTTGCTTTTCACAATACGATGGTCCAGGATTTTCTCGACTTCGAATTCGAGATTACCATCCACAATATCAGAAACGGGAGGTAAAGGAACGCGTCCACCATCACGGTAGAGCTTAAGAAGAGAAACGTGAAACACATTATGTGCACGCACGTTAGTAGGCAGATCTAAACGATAAGCTACAGAATTAATAACCTGCGTTACAGCAAAAGGACCGATGTAACGAGGAAGGAGTTTACAAGGACCGTCTAAGCGCATATGCTTAGTACTCAAAAAGACACTCCCAATTGAAAAGTTCTCTCAGAACGATTCTTATCCGCGAAACGTTTCATACGTTCACGAGCAACGCGCAGACACTCTTTAGCACGCTCAAGTGCTTGCTGCATGTCAGTATGGAACGACAGCGCCACGCCATTGACTAACGAAGGCTCTGCGTCCACCACTTTCTTGCGACGAGCTTCAGCATTCGCAAATTGTGTGCGACGTAGGACAGCTTTCTCTCCCCCCAAATGGCGAACCAATTGGCTAGCTGGAGTGAGAGGTTCGAAGCCGTAATTAAGGAAGAAAGGAGTATTCTTAATGGCTTCATGATAGGAATTATTGACAGCAAACTCAACCAGAGGAAGGAAACGAGACCAGCTAGTAAGATCACCAGCCACGTAGTGCCGCAACATATCTTCTAAATCACGGTTGGCACGTTCGGTCTGTCCATCAGTTTGAGGATGATGAGAAGAGTTAAACCGAAGTGAGGAATCAAAGCGAGTCTGAATAAGATCTTTGAAGCACGCCCGCGCGGACACCTGGCCCAGACCAGGTGCCGCCCTGGAGCGATGCTAACCGATTTCTTGCCAGCGCGCTGCTCGCAATTCCAGCACAATCGTCTTTTTCTCTTAAACACCAGCAATTTAGTAGGGTTGACGAACGTGAAAGAAACTCGACCCGAACAAAGTCGAGTTTGTCATGTCAACGGTATAGCATTCCTTCAAGCCACAAAGGACACAGTAGTTCAAATAGTAATAATAGTAATGCTCTTATTATAGGAACAAATATCTGGTTCGTTCTTGTATGTGCGATAGCGACAGCCACGTGCGGCATTCCAACCTGCAATATGTGAGACAGAAAAGATGATAAATGCCTTATTGCTACTGGTGAACTTTGTAAAAATGAAAGCAAAACTGTCCAATGTCTTTCTGTACGGCGACCCTGAACACCACTGCATGACCTGCCAAGGGCTGCAAACACCTCACTGCCGCCATCCCTGCCATCGCCACTGCCGCCGTCGCCATCCCTGCCATCGCCACGGCCGCCGTCGCCATTCCTGGCGACGGCGGGATCAATGGCGATGGCAGGGATGGCGACAGTGGCAATGGCGGCAGTGGGGATGGCGACGGTGGCAATAGCGACGGGGGGGATGGCGACGGTGGCAATGGTGATGCCATCGCCATTACTGCTGTCGCCATCTCCACCCTCACTATTGCTGCCGTCGCCATCCCCAAAGCCGCCATTACCGCCGTCGCCATCGCCACCGCTACCATTGCCGCTGTCACCATCCGCCTCGTCGCCAACCCTGCCATTCCACCGTCGCCGTCCCCACTGTCACCCGAACCACCGCCCCCACTGCCGCTGTCCCCCTCCCCTCCATCACCACTGCTGCTGTCGCCGTTCCCGCCGTCCCCATTGCTGCCGTCGCCAACCCTGCCGTCGCAACTGCCCCTCACCCATGTGTTGTGCATAACATCCTAACAATTAAGAACCCCTGGTGTGCTTCTCCGCTAGTTGAAAATTAATTACAAGCTTGATGGCTGTTTTAGCATGCCGCGCGTTTGTGTGCCTCTGCAGGTTGTGTGTGTGAATTTTCTGTAGATGTCCAGTCAAAAAAACGGGGGAGCCACCGGCTAAATGCTTTAAACACGACAGGGACCCTGGGGGATTCGTGTGGGCGCAAATGATGCATATGCTATATAACACTGAGGTCGCCGGCCCAGTGTGGCTGTTTTGTCCTCCGGGGTGTGAAAGAAGGGAGACATGCGTGGCGCGCCCTCCCTCCCTCCCTCCACCCCTCCATCCTTTCACCCTCCCCCCTCAATCCCCTCCCACCACCCCCCACCCTCCACAATACCTTTTCTCACTCTTATTCCGCCCTCCCTAAGTCATCTTCCCTTCCCCTCCCATCTGCCCTCCCTTCTGCCCTTCTGTGCCTTCTCCTCTGCTGTCCCCTGCTCTCCCTTGCCCTTCCCTCCGTCTTTTGTGTTTGTATTGCCCTCCCCTGCGCCGCCCCGTGCAGCGCCGCCCTCCCCTGCGCCGCCCCGTGCAGCGCCGCCCTCCCCTGCGCCGCCCCGTGCAGCGCCGCCCTCCCCTGCGCCGCCCGTACAGAAAGACATTGGACAGTTTTGCTTTCATTTTTACAAATTTCACCAGTAGCAATAAGGCATTTATCATCTTTTCTGTCTCACATATTGCAGGTTGGAATGCCGCACGTGGCTGTCGCTATCGCACATACAAGGACGAACCAGATATTTGTTCCTATAATAAGAGCATTACTATTATTACTATTTGAACTACTGTGTTCTTTGTGGCTTGAAGGAATGCTATACCGTTGACATGACAAGCTCGACTTTGTTCGGGTCGAGTTTCCTCACGTTCGTCAACCCTACCAAATTGCTGGTGTTTAAGAGAAAAAGACGGTTATGCTGGAATTGCGAGCAGCGCGCTGGCAAGAAATCGGTCAGCATCGCTCCAGGGCGGCACCTCGTCTGGGCCAGGTGTCGCGGACGGTATGCATTGAAACACGCAGCAGTGAACCGCGGGTCACGATCGCAGACAATCACTCGAGGAAGACCATACCGAGAAATGACGACGTCAATAAACAACTCAACTGCTTGAAGAGCAGTAAGGGTTGTACGGCAAGGAGCAAAATGAACCATTTTGGTGAGTCGGTCAACGACGACGAAAATGGCATCATTACCATGAGCGTCAGGAGGAAGATCAGTAATGAAGTCCATAGTAACTTCAGACCACTTCTGAAGAGGAATACCACGAGGTTTAAGCAAACCAGCGGGTTTAGTATGTTCAGGTTTAACACGCTGACAGCTATCACAGGAAGTACAGTAGGAATGAACGAAAGAACGAAGACCAGGCCACCAGTAATGGCGTCGGACAAGGCTCAGATGCCGTTGGGGGCTTACATCTCTTTTGTGGTCATGCTATTTCGGTTAGCATTCCTAATGTGTGGCTGGAAAGTTTCCGATCCTCACTCGCTTGCTTGGATTAATTTCCATTTGGGCCCACCTCAACTCCTTGGACACCTCCATTCTTGTGTGGCTGCGTTAACTCCTCCGGTCATTCTTTCGTTAGAATGGCTTCAGAACTGGCTCGTCGCCAACGTGTCTTCAACTACTGATAATCCTGACTACGTGGCGGCTGGGCACATTTTGGCGATGAGTTCCAAGAGTTTTCCGCAGCTCAACGACCTACTTAACTTCGTCCTTGAGCAGCGGAAAACTCTTGGAAGTCATGGCCTTCTGAAGCCACTCCAAAGAAGGAATGACCGGAGGGGTCAGCGCACCAATACAAGAATGGAGATGGCTGAGTAGTTGCGGTGGTCCCAGATGAAAATTAATCCAGGCGAGTGAGTGTGGATCTGAAACCTTCCAGCCACACATTAGGAATGCTGACCGAAATAGCATGATCACAAAAGAGATGTAAGCCCCCAACGGCATCTGAGCCTTGGCCGCCGCCTCCGCGGTAACGTCGAAAGTGCCAACAGGAGGTGGCTCTTTAAGAACCGGAAGACGAGGAGAGGAGACTTCACCAGATTGGTCGACCATTGGTAAGTCGACGACGTTAGCAGGAGGCTGTTGACCAGCCGCCGCCATCGGACCCATATCACCACCAGCAGTGCTCATTGCCACAGACGATGAAGAAGAAGAAGAAGAAGAAGAAGAAGAAGAAGAATCCGATGAAGGAGATTGAGGAGTATTGAACTCGGAAGTAGTGGTAGTAGTAGAAGCTGACCCAGTAACGCCAGTAACCGCAGGAAAGTCAGCAAGACTACAAGCCAAAAGTCCACGACGAAGTTGTCGATGCCAGAGTGCTCGAAGGTGACCAGCACGATGCATGCCCCGGACCAAAAGGTCTCGATACCAATGTAATGAGTAGAGTAAGGACGAGATACGAATAAAGGGAAGCGGAAACGATTATACGAGTTTAGTGGCTAGTTGGTTCTTGACAACCAATTGTCCGCCTAGACGGAACTAACCAAAGTAAGGATATACTCTTGTTGGAGTACGATGTACGATAGTACGGCAGGAGTTGTTCCGTTACAAGTAATATGCGTTACAAGTAATAGTAATAACATGACCGGTGTTCTTGACCTCTAGGGAAGCCTCGTTCCAGGACCTGTAGGACACTCATCGGGCCCCAGACCTGTACCCCGTAAGACAGGATGGATCGTACTTGTGCGTCGAAGGCTTTGACAGCAACAGCTGGCACAAACATTTTGATTATGCGCTGGAGGATAAGATGGTTGGTCTGCAGAAATCCTTCCTGAAGCAGTTGGCTGGGGCGGGGGTGCCTCCCAATCGGCTACTGTTTAAGGAACTGGGGCAGTACCCGTTACAAGTACACTGGGCGAACCTAATCTTCCGTTTTTGGAACCGACTGGTAGAAGCTAAAGGCTCGGTGTATCATCATTGTTTTCTGGAAGAGCTTCGTTTGGCCTTTGCTTCCTCCTTATGTCACGATGGCTGGGGATCTAAGGTTGTCAGGATACTACAAATTTTAGGGTACGACATGGGGTTTGAGGGTGGTGCGGATGAAGGGATTGAGGCTAGGGTAGATATTGCTGCGTCACATGTCCTAGATATTGACCAGCTATTGCAGGAACTCCGAGATCGATTTGATGACGACTGGGGTAGTGAAAGGCTGGCGATTGACCCACATATGTTTGTCTCTGACGACAAGCAACCAGGGGTGAAGATGTGTCGTTATTTGCAGTGGATGGGGCAACCTAAGCACTGCAAAGGCTACATCTTACCGAAACATCACGTCACTCTGATGCGTTTTAGGATGTGTGTTTGGCCTTTGGCTGTCAATCGACCCCATGGCAGGGAACGGGCCGCAAGGTGGTGTCGGGTCTGCAATAATCGTCAGGCAGTGGAGGATGAACGGCACGTGCTACTAGAGTGTCCGGAATATGCGGATATCCGTGCTAAGCTCTGGACCCTAGGCATTGCTCCAGGAGATGTTATGAATGCGGTGATGGGTGTCGAGAATCAACGCGGATTGGCACATGTCTTGGATTGCATACGGAGACGTAGGTTGCAGTACATAGACAACTAATGAGGATCACAGTACAGTGTTTTGATTTGTTGCCTTTTTTTTATTCTTTTCAGTTATTGTTTCCAGCTCGGCGGCTCATGAGCCTCTTGGCTCGTCTGGGCGGTACAAGCTCAAGAAGCTTGTAATCAAACGTAACGTAACGTAATAGTAATAAGAATATGTTAGTCATTACCGTATTTAACGGAATGCTCATAACATGTACGATCAGGTAATTGTAGCAAGTTATAATCCCTGCATGGCTCATAGTCCGTTCAGACATAGCCCGTGTCGCGACGGGGCTTATGCTCCGATTGCGATTGGACTTGCGCGCCGCATGATAAGCATTTGTAGATAGCTATATACGAGCTTCGTACTTTGCTTGTGAGGAAATGCAACGGCAACAAAGCAAGTGCATTTGATGTGTATGTATGCATATTGAGTCCGTGTGCATAAGGATTGTGTGTATGTATGTGCCGGTACAGATGGATCAATTGGTAATCTACGCTATCGTGCAGTACTGCACTGGTGCACCCGATAGTGTAGACAGCCAATTGTGGTTTGTGGTTGTTAATTGATTGGTTGACTGTATCCCGCGCATACACACACGCACGGCAATGGGAACCCTCCCTTACTGAGGAGCGGTCCATACACCATACGCATTCGTACACTCACTATACGCATTCGTACACTCGCCATGCACATTCGTACACTCGCCATGCGCATTCGTACCATGCGCATTCGTACCCCGGGTACATCGGGTATGCCAGGTTTTATTATGTGTTCTACGTGTATTCGTACCGCTCATTCATAAATGCAAATCTGGACGAACGCCAATAATGTGCAATGCATGCATGGAAAAGTGCGCAAGTCCGAAATGGTATTTTTGCCTGATGGTGGATCTTTGCCTATTTTGTGCCTACATAATACCTTGCACGGCCTCTAGTCCACATAGTGCGTGTTTTAGGTTATGTATGCAGTCGACACCGATGATCCTTATGTCTTACTTCAGGTGCATGTTTTGGTTTTAGTGGCGTATGAAGAGCTTCACGAGAAACGGAGATGAGCGCCGCTGCCACATGTACGTACGTACGATATTTCCTTTTACGTCGCCATGTGCCGATGCGTGCTGACCATATGTATGCATCAGCTGCAGCTGGGTTTCGTACTGAAACTACAGAAACATGATATGTTTGGTTCGAACCACCTAGTGACTAATTCTTTGCCGGGCCGGAAATGGTCTCTCGCACGCTGTGTTACTACATACAATAGCACTACACTACATTACCATGATGCATGTGCCAAACACGATTGAATTCCCTGGAGTGGAGAGATGGCGCGGCACAACACGCTCGCATATGCTAATGATCCGGCCCACGCACTGGCGTACTCAACAGCAGTACTTGCGCCACATCACCGACGCCACAACCACTGAAGCTCTACAGAGCCTGCCGGGGCGTCAACGATCCAGGCAGCCAGCAGCAGCAGCCATTCAAAGCCACACCGTCGGGCGCCATCATCGCCATTTCATGCTTGGCTGCACGCTGCTGTGCGCAACGTTGTTGTGCGTGTACCCTATCGAACACCTCCTGCCGGTTGCTGGCTTGCTGGCTTGCCGGCTTGCCATCCCTGGCTCTCTCCCTCCTCTGCATGCTGCTGTTTGCGTGTTACTCATTGGTCAGGGCTAGCGGTAGCATGTTATTTCACGACTACAACGACTTCAGACAGAAAAGTCGTACCGATCTGCGGTTGAAGATCCCGTGATACGCTCAGATTACGGTTATAGTACTACAGAAGCATGAAGGGGGGTTGACGGAGCAGCAGGCCATGTCTATCTAGCTATTGACAAGCCAACTGTAAAAAGCTAACTAAGTCAGTAAACGAGGGGTGGAACAGCATGCAGCAGTTAGTCTGGGTTCCGCCGGCGGGCAATAGAATCATGCACGGTGGCGTCACGTGAGAGCTGACATGCTACACATCAAAGAACAAGTAGGGAGGGAACGGGGTCGATTGAGTTGCAGTTGTAGCACCACGTACGACAGCAGCAGCTGGGGAGGGAGCCCTCATCCCTCGATCTGCAACTATTAGCTAAGTGGCCCTGCTATACCTGGCTAACTCGCTAAAACGGCTAATAAATCTGCTAAAACCGGCCAAAGCGGCTTTCTCACATGAATGGCATGAATCACACACCCCTGCACCTGACTGCTCAGGGTAACCAACTTTCAGACACGCCGGTCCGTAACGCCCGCATGCTTAGTAGACACGAACGAGTGGGTACCGCTCGTGGAACGCCGTATACGGCCTGAGTACGGATTATGACTTGCGCAGGTAAATACATACGTGTGTGTTACATGGTTGGGGGGTGCGTGACCCCATACCTGTAAAACTACCCATACGAGCCGAAGGCCCAAGGGCAATACTACAACGCCTAAAAGCCATGGAGAAAAGGAAAAACACCGCACATCAGCCCAGACTAGCGTCCAAAGGGGGTAATTGAGTTTCAGTGAGCCCACATACGTTCCAACAATCTCGCCAGACGTGCGGGTTCCCATTGCATGGCCTCCAACATGCTCTGGACATCGTAAGCTAATGCAGTTTCGTTTATGTTGCTGGGCTTTGGAGGCAAACAGAGCACGAAGGGGCAAGTACCATGTCCCCAGGGGGCAGCGGTTTTGCCACTGTTGTGGTACTAATAGCCGAATTGAGGATGAAAAACACGTGTTATTGGAAGGCCCAGCCTATAATGATATTCGTGCTGAAGAGGGATTCGATCATCAAATACATACAAATGAACTCATGCGCACAGCTTTTGTGCCCATCAAAAGAAAAGGCCTGTGACGACTTGCTGCCGTTTCTACCAGCAGTTGTCAGTTGCCAGCGTGGTACGGAAATGAGGTCGATGACGAAGGGTTACGTGTCGTGATGATATATCTTGCGAACTGAGTGTATGTTTCCTTGAGGCGGCAGCAGATTCACGGTCCTGTGGAAGGAAGCTACGGTTAGCCAAGCTCTTATGAGTAATAATTAAATTATTTAACCTGAGAACACAACATTCGCCAACTGCAAAATCTTGGTAGCTTTGTCGTAGAGACAGGCTTTTCCGTCGGTTAGTAGCAGTGTGTCCTAAAAGGCACGGTTTTGCACAAAACAGTAACGCGCCGGCCGTGGTCCTCCGAAGCTCCTCTAAGCATGTCACCAAACGGAATTTCCAGCTGCACAAGTGCCCTTTCCAAACCTGCAATTCTAATATCATTATTATGCACGTGGTGCCGTAGAGGCGGCGGGACTCGCGCGTACGGCTTATGTAAAATTGTTCGTGAAGTCAACAAAGAAATGATGCAGCATTGTTCAAAGGTATTGTCATGCGTTAATTGTGAGGGAAAAACGTGACTGATCGACGACTGGGTCGCAAGTCTTGCACTGCTACGTTTTTCCTGCTGAGTTGCTGAGGAAACGCCTTCGTCCTTTTACCCAAGACAATAACAACGATCCATATATCTTGGTAAACAGAGATCCTTGCGGTTACCCTTTCAGAGTGACCTTTTCTCCGCAGTCCTAAATTTGATGAACCCCTGGTTTTTATACTCGTACGGTACGGGTATTGTCATCGTGCAGGGCCAGAATGGTAGTAGTAGTAATAATACGTCACTACGCGGATTCTTAGCATTCACACGTTTTAGATGCAAAACATCTGGTGAGGTAATGACACTGGAAACGATGTCTGATAATCTGCTTTGGTGCTTGTGCGGTTTATAAAAGACAAACGCTTATGGTTTTGTGAAATGCTTACATATGCCTGCTTATAATTATTGCGGAAACCGGATGGATGGATGTTACAAGCTTCAGTGAGCTTGTACGGCTCAGACGAACCCGAAGGCTCATGAACCGCTTCGACTGCACCGAAGATATAAGAAAACCAAAGCACTAACAGAAAGATCGGAAACCGGGTCCGAGTCACATTTGTGTACGGCAGATTACTTAAGAAACTGTCACATACTCTTCTATACTTTTAAAGACATAAGCAACCCAAACAGTAGTATTAATGTTAGCGTTGTCTGTCTAGCAACCTACTGGGTGGTACAGTAGAACTCGGTAAATCACTTTTCGTGACATTAGGCATCGGCTTGCTGAGAATGCCAACGCTCCGAACAACCTGGGCTGTACTCTGCACTTTAGCCTTTTTGTGCATTCCTAATCATGTGGATGCGAATGATGCAACTAGTTCCTTCGAACAAGTCAAGGCAGCAGCCGTCGGACGCCGGCAGCTCCAAGCTTCCAGCAGCACATCTGCGTCTCAATGCGCCTGGGCTGACAACGAATGCAAAATTAGTGCTGATTTCGTCACAAGTATTAATGGGACGCCCACAACGGAAAGCCAGAAGTGAGTGTCGGCGTTTTGAACATGGCGTGCAGTGGGCTCGAACATGGGCATCGCTTGTCGCAAAGCTGTAATAATGTTTTCACAGTGCTTGTCTCATAGCTTCACGTTGCGTTCAACAAGCTTAGAGCCGAAGTCCCTGCACCTGCTGCTTGCTTGACCTCACACGCACCACTCCCTCATGCGTGCGTATGGATATTCGTCATGTCAATAAACCGGTGAAAAAAATCGTGCAGGTTGTTAGCTCGCATAAGCGCTATGGGAAATGTTTGCGCCAGCTATACCAATAGTTCAACCTGCACCGCTCGCCTCACCGACTCCTGCTCCTGGTCATATTCAACGTGTTCGCTGAGCAATGCGTTTATTCCAACAGAGGTGCGCACGTGATGTGGTTACATGGCGGGTTAAAATTGCCCATCGATAGCTAGCATGCTAGCTTTACCTTTTAAAACAGTTTCGTAACGCCAAGGAGGAAAGCGTTCGGACGTTCAACTCCCTTCCGATCTTCAAGGCGCACGGGTACATTAATATGTATATGCGCGTACCTTGCTGCTGTGCCTGTGAACCGCACCCACGCATAGAGCAAAAACCCCGCTATGAATTTATACTTTACGCAAACACGGCCCATCCGTACTGATTGTACGTCAATTTGGGTTAAGAACACGTATCAATTACTAGTTTGGTCAAGGCTAACAACTTTTTGTCGTCAAGTACTTGGCAAACACATATGCATGTATGCAATTTTATTATTACTGTATGCAGTGGCTCTACAATCGGATAATCTGTCCCGGCTCGTTGGTGGACAAGGTCGTCACATGCTTTCGCCTGACTAACCAAAGCGCCTGCACCGCCAACAACAACTGTGCGTGGGCGGCGACAGGACTGCTGTCGAACGTCTCCGGTGGCATCAATTTCCTTTCCTTTGTAACGGGACCCATACAACAGTGGTTTGGAGGTATGAGGGTATGAGCAGAATGCGATTTGTTACTGCGGACCTCGAACGGGTCGGGTGCATGAGCTGCAGCCGACACTTGCATGAGCCCACTGTTGCATGAGCCAACCACCACACACACACTTGCATGTCCGGTAGCTGCTGCACGCATGTACCTAGCCATACGCAGAAGAGCTTATTAGCTGATAATCGTAAGAGCTTATTAGCTAATAATCGTGCTATAGCACGGTACGGCATATCATCGTGTGTGCCCACGTCATACAATACTCGAGACTGTAAAACGCATTTTGGTGGCTGTGTAAGTAGTATGAGGCCACGCAACCACCGTGCTGTATCTCTCCGTTTGGGTTCAAGCCTAGGTAATAGTAACTGATGCAGTATTAAGAACTCGCGCGTGCATATTGCAGTAGTTGCATTGAGCCTTTTTGATAAATGCTATGGGCGCTGTGTCCCGTACTGTACGACAGTTACTGCACAATACCTAGTGCAAAACGAAACCATCTTGCCTGCTGCAGCTGCCGGCATTTCTGTTGTGGTGGAGGGTTCGATTCTCCGTAGTGCAAGGTTATAACCCGTACCCCTTTTGCTGCTAGATTATTATCACAGACGATTACGCAGGTGGTATGCAGCACCAGCAGCAACAACCTCACCCCCCCTTGCTCTTCCCTATTCCCCCCGTCTGCCCTACCCGCCCTTTCGGCTAACCCTTGTCCTGTGCCCACCTACCGCAGCTGCCACCTCTGACTGCACACCCACATGGTTGTCGGACACTAACGTCATTTCAAACCTTATTTCCAAGATCACAGACGCCATAAGCAAGATGGTGCGTGTTGACGCGTACGTCACGCCAGCAGAGCATGGGTTTCCGTACTAGTATCATGCATCTGGGCGCCAGCAGCGGCATCCCCGGGGCCAGTAAGGGGCCGCCATGCCGACGCGGGACAGTCCTAATCTCCAGCATGGAGACCGTCGAGCGAGGCTGCGCTCTGCCACCTTGTTGGAATAAAATCTTGCGCATCTCTTTTGGATAGGAACCCCTACAGCTTTTACTTTCCAGCTGTGCCCAGGTTGGCTTTTTGGTTAGGTTTAATGAGGATACAACCTGGATTGATTGCTTACTGACAGACTAGATAGAGATTGGAATAAAAATGCGGTCACAGAGCCGCCAGCAGTCCGTGTATACGGTCGGCTCTCTGCTTTCAAGGCCCTGGATATACACATGGGAGTCAAGGGCGACTTTCAGATATACTACTAGGGAGTTTCCTAATCAGGCACGTGTCGCGTCATCATTCCGAGACTGCCGCGCAACCGTGAGCACCTGCCTGGTTTGCTCATCGTGTGCCTGATGCTGTTGCACGAACGCAGGGCGCGAATGTGGACCTGGGTTCTATGCTGCAAGCCATCTTCAGCGACTTCATCGGCACCTGTTCCGGAGTGACGGCGTTTAAGGATCTGCTCAGTTCTTGCCCGTCCATGACCACCCAGAGCACTTGCGCGAGTAAACCTGGCTGTGCGTATTCGTCCGGCGTCTGTATGATCGCCGAGGACTTCATCATGGCGCTTTTACTTGACCCCAAAGACAGGTAAGCCCTAATCTGTGGATGTGAACGTACGGAATGTGGGGGGGTAGGAATTCGCATACACAAGTGTGCATTAGCGCATACGCCCTGTCTTGCGCTTGCCGGTTCTTTTTCACTTGATGGTATGTAGTAGCTGGCCACTGAAAAGCCCTCACAAGATCCTTGCAGAGCGCTTTTACCAGCGCGTATCTATAGCTACACGGTGTGTGTGTTTGTGTGTTTTTGTGTGTGTGTGTATGTGTATACCGTGCTAAACGATAACTGCTACATGGTGATGTGGAGAACAGCATATCTGCTCATCCGCTGTCCAGCTTCGTACTGTACATCCATCGGACATGCACGTGCAAGAATGGTTTGCACGTACATATGTACATGTACGGCTAGCCGCCAGGGAGCGTGTACGGACACGCATGGTTACATGTACGGCTGTAGGGCCCTTCGCATTTATGGCTGTAGGGTCCTAGGTGTAATTTCGTCTTTTGCCGTTGTGTTTCTGCACCTATACCTGCAGTTGGGTCGTGTCCGTAAACAACGCCGCTGATCAGTGCCTGGGTCTGAACGCCACCACCTGCGAGAGCTTCGCCAACATCACCATTGACACCGCGCGCTACACCGATTTCGTCCAGCTTCAGCCCAGCTTTTCCACCACCGGCGGATCTGCGTATCGTAACATGCCCGCTGCTGCGGTATTGTCCCTTGGCCTGGTCCTCAGTCTGCTACATCATTTCCTGTTTGGCAGGCTGTTTTAAGCGACACTGCATTTGCTTGGGACCCCTCCCTGGGGTTTCATGATCTTGCTAGATGGAGGGAAGATGCGTGGTAACGCAGCAGCCGTTACGAACGTTCCCGCTATCCTTCATTGACCTAAATCGCTTACTTGTAGGGGTACACTCGGTGCACTCGGATGCACTTGAAATCCACCAGAATGGCATCGATACAGTTCTATTTGTGCGCGTCAGCGTGGTTGGAAGATACCCAGCAGCGTATTAGCCGGCTGGTGCGATGCTGGCTGTTGTGTCGTACTATGTACCATATCGCTCCGCTTGCAGACGCGCCGTCGAATGCAAGTAGGGTTATTATGGTGCTTCGCTGATGGATGCAGTAAAGTGAGGTGCACTAAAGTGAGGTGCACTAAAGTGAGGTGCACTAAAGTGAGGTGCACTAAAGTGAGGTGCACTAAAGTGAGGTGCACTAAAGTGAGGTGCACTAAACCTTAACATGGATGATCATACATGGTGTTCCCGAATGGAAGCAGCCGCACATACGCTTGTTAGTTGTGCCTTCAGCAGCAATGGCGTTATTGGCAGGGAGGTGCAGGAAAGGGTGAATGAGTAGCAGCAAGTTTCATGCGCTGAACAACAACTACCGCCCGCATACATATCTACATACATACCGTTCGTACTGTCGTACCGACGGCGGCCTCACTCTGCATGCCGTCGTGCATTTTTGTCGGATAATTATACAGGCAAGCTCTCGGGTACGGCACCAGCGTTGTACATTTATGTCCCAGTTGATTTAGTGAGGCGCCGTACATTCCGTGACGTCCTTCCAGTCTGTTGTACACGGCAGCCGTGGGCCATCGTGGGGTTGCTACTGGAAACATAAGCTTGGTGGCATCTCAAAATCGAATCTCCTGCAAGCCGTGTATCATTGCGCGTTTCACGAGTACCTACTGATGTGTTTTTTTTCACGTAAGTTGCTTAACTGCCACTTATCTCTCACCTTAACTTTTTTTCTCACGTTGGGGGATCCGCGCGCATTCCCGCACACATGCAAAACTGTCAGTACCTGTGAAAGGGGCCTTACTGCGCAAGGGGCTTCCTTCAAATCTTCGGCGTTGTCCTGGAAATCTATGCTGGATGTGCCATTCTGTCGCTGAACAGTGGGTCCTTGCTATCTAAGTCCTTGACTTTATCAATGCTCAGTGGACGGACAGGCCGAGATTCGAGCATGGGTCGTCGATACATGAACACTTGGAATAATAAACAAACATACGGGATGCGAATATACGGCAAGGCACGTGCGCGGTCTGGCTTGCCCCCGTCAAGGCAGGAGTCCCCTACTCTGCCGCCTTTTAGAAGTCCATCACTTTGTTTGTCCATCTCATCACTACTTTCTTATTTTGGAGTTTTTCCTTTGATCTCCTGCGTTCCTTGTTCCTTAGACTGTTAACTTAGCAATGACAGGTTTGGGGAAAGGGATGGGTATTCGCCCCGTCCCCAACCCAACCAGCCATGTTGTCCATACACAGCACGCTACGCAAACGAACAGACAGCAGTAACCAAAAATAGGTTATGTAACTTGTAATGATGGTGCCGTACAAATGCGTCTACGTGGTTCCAATTGTACTGCTCACTTTATTAAGGGGGCGATTTATTGACGATTTAGGATCAAGGCGCTCGAAGTCCAACGGCTAGGTGACTCAGTCTTCTTTCTCAAAGATTCAGTAAATACATACATACATCCCGGGATCGATACCCGTTAGGGTAAAAATTCCTTCCGATGGTGGAAGGTATTGCGCCCCTAGTTGATGGACGGTGGTGACCTGGGATAAAGTTAACCTGCGAGCCGACCAGGAACGGAGTTGGGCCGCTGTCGACCCGGCAGATTCCGTTGGATGCTGGTGGTGGGTGCGGAACCCGAGCGATCCACTGAGAAGTTGACTAGGGTGACTGGATGAGGGTGCCCCGAAATACCGGGGAAGGCAGGGTTTCGCAGGGTAGCTGCCACGGTCGAAGATACACCCCCCTGTTTCACGCATCGTACATACAGTATGGCGTAGTAAGTACATACTGAAAGTATGGCAGCAGGCTTTCTTAGGTAGCTAGGGTCCCCGTCGCGGCATTTTCTCCTCACCAAACAAAACACGGGGCTATAGCTGGCGGCCCGGATACGACGCAACGCGACAGACCATCATTGCCCCCACTGTGAATGGAAGCTCTTCTACATGCTGCCCTGCCCTGCACGCACAGATGCGCATGAAGGGGATCTTTGGGCGGTCGAGTCTCATTACAGCGGCGAATCATCTGGTTTTTCTGCTGCCAGTGGGGCCTTACCTACTGGCCGCGAGCTCCTGACGACGGCGGCAGCAGCGTCTTTCTCGCCTCGCTGCCACGTCTTCGTCTTTTACATCTCGTCTCGTGCCTTATAACTCGCCGTCTACTCTTAGACGCGCATATTTCCGCATGAGCACATATCTATCGGCGCATCTACTTTAAATATCCCCTTATATCATTGCTTTTCCCGTGTGCAAACTTATATGTGCATCCTGCTTTTTTCCTGCCTGGGAACCATGCACCACCTCGTTCCACAATGCAAAAGCAAACTTCCCGTCGGGCATGTGGCGCGTTTTTAGCTTTGGGCATGTGCCGCTCACAGGCATATGGACTGCACTGGCGCCCACTTCCAACCCCACGGAGCCATGCGAACGAGCAGTTTGCCATGCCAGGTCACCCATCCCAATCCCTTCCCCTTTCCATCCCTTTCCCACATCGCCAGTTCGGTCGATATCGTCCGGCGCCTTTCCAGACCCGTTGCGTGGATGGCCTCGACGATGCTGACGACACACATGCACGTGCGCCTAGACGTGAATAGATGCGCATACATATGTTTTGATGGGGTTAACGACCCCTAATAACACACCTAACAATACCGTATACTGCTACCGCAGCATCTCCTCGTCCCTGTTCGCCCCATCTTCCTGTGCCTCCTAGGCACCGTCTTCCACATCCTTCCCTCCGCACACCCCCGTACTTTCATCCCCTCTCCCTCGCTCCCCTCTTAAAAACATCCAACTAGTCTCCCATCGCGCCTGCACATCTACTCGTCTATGACCACCTTGCTGTAGTCGGATATCGGCTTGGTGAAGTTGGTGCTCTTGCCGAAGGGTGAGCTGCTGTTGAGGGTGGTGGTGCCGGGGAAAACGCCGCCTGCAAGGCAGATTTGCCGTATTACATCATATGGTGGGGAAAGTGAGCAGGGGGTGATTTACCAGCTGTTGTTGCTGTTGTGGTGATGGTGGTGGTGGTGGTTATGGGTTTGCAAGGCGCATGTGGACATGGGACGCTACCCTGGGGGCCGGAAGTGCCTTTAGGCGTTTGTGGTGCTCCCTGGTGAGACTGAAAGCCGTGAGTGGTGGTGATGACGGTGGTGGTGTTGATGGTGAGTCACGAGGTGTCATGTGGCAGTGGCAGGCTGCGGCGGCCGCAGTGATGTGATGCTCCCTCCCGCCCTCTTCCCTCCCTCCCTCCCGCCCTCCCTTCCCCCACGGCTAAAGTAAAGCGCGCCCACGCTGTACAGTAGCTTCGCCACTTACCGTACGTCTGTTTGGCCACCGCTTCCGTGTAGATGGTGACGGGCACGCCAGGGTTGGGCAACACAGTCGTGTCGAGAGCGCCCGCCTGATGAGTGGGGTTAGTTGGTTGGCCGATTGGAATGCTGTTAGCCGGTCGGTTATTCGTTACCCATTTACTCATACGCGAGAGGCATTGGCGCACTGTTGTGGATGGCACTCCGCCTCCAGAATCCCACGAAGGTGAATACCCTAGCCCCCCGTCACTCCACCGCCTGGCCCGAACCCCCCACACCCCACACAAACAAACCCCACCTCGTCAATCCAACCACATGCGCGTACACACACACACACACACACACACACAAGCGTACACACACAAGTACACAGGCACCTCCCATCCCGGCACGCCCCCACCTTCCGGGCCGTCTCCCCGAGGAGTCTGTCCGCCAGCTGCTTGGACATGATGTTGGTTTCCGACAGGAAGGTGGGGTCGCGCTGTGCGGGTCGGCCGTCCGGGTCCTTAGTCACCTTGGTGCCCACCCTGAGCAGGGACAAGGGGGGAAAGAGGGGGAGCGATAGGGGCTTCCTTGTCTGAGCAGTCCTTGTCTGAGCATTCCTTGTCTGAGCATTCCTTATCTGAGCATTCCTTCTTTGCATGTTACCACGTGACCCGCTAGCAAGGCCTCGTAATCACTTAGGGTGTCTATCTGTTCGCAGCACAGCGCGGCAGGAGGGGTGGATAGAGACCACTACCACTACTATTACCATTACCATGACCATTACCATTACCATGACCATGACCACTACCACTGTCACCACCACCACCACCAGCGGCAAGACACCCCAATTCACGACCCGCTCCTTACTGTATACACTGCGCCACCTAAAGGGGAACAGCAGCACATGTACAAAAAAAACACAAGCAGTTGCATATTCGCGGATGCTGCACATTCGGCACACCACCCCGCTCCACTCCACGCCGCGACAACACACAGCCACGCCACGTCATCACTCTCCACGTCACCGGACGCCGTACGTACTGTATGCCTGTGAGGTCGTGCGGCTTGAAATCTGCCCCGTAGACGGTTTCCGTCGTTACGGGCACCGGGCCCCCCGAGATGGTGGCCTGAACCTCGGGGGGGATCTCCCGGGCCTCCCGCTTCATCTGCTCCGCCAACTGCCGGTGCACGTGGGAGAGAGAGAGAGTTTGTGTGCGTATGTGTGTGTATGCGTGTGTGTGTATGTGTGTGTATGTGTGCGTATGTGTGTGTGTCTAAGGAAAGGTTGGCCTATGCCAGCATGAGGGCTGTGCGTGTATCCGTGTATGCGCGTATGTGTGTATGTATGTGTGTATAGATAGCATCACGTGGTGGTCACGTGGTTGGGGTGGGGGGGCAAGAGTGCCGTCAGCGAGTGTAAAAACGTGTTGTGGTGTGTGAGGGCATGAGATGCTGATGACGCAAATGGAGAGCTTGTGAAAGGGATCATCCCTTTCGACGAGACAGCCGAGGAGACGGTTTTCCCGCTTCCGCGTGGCCCACCGCACCCGCACGTCGGCCTTCCTCGTCTACACTCTACGAGGCGGCTTCTACCGCAATAATGCGCGCCTGCTACGCGTGCATGTGCGGGTGTGCTTTAGGTTACTAGGCCTTCCTAGCCCACTTCTCTCCCCTCCCCTTGCTGCTGCTCCTCACCATGCGCTCTCGCGGCCCCATCTTGGGCAGGTCCAGGTACATTCCCGCAACACGCGTCTCGGTGGGCGGTCGGTACGAGGCCTGAAGCGTGCTTTGCCAGTCGGCGGTGTGCTGCCAAGGAAGCATAGGGAAGGGACAGACGGATGGATGGATGAATGAATGATAAGCAAGGAAGCCTTCTTCATCATGGAGGAAGCGGATACAAGAGGAGAAAGAGGAGAAAGAGGAAGACAGACTGATCAACACAACACGTGGTGTCGCACTACACGATAAAGCTGAACCCGAAAGCATGGGGGAACGATGGGGAGGGCCCTTCGGAGCCACAAGCAGATGGGAGCTTGTGGACGGTATGGGTGAAGGATTGCTGGCTGCGTGCGATGGGTCACATGCGTACGACACGTGCGTACGGCACGTGCGGAGAGGCGTGGAGTTTAAGGGTGGGGAATACCAAGGAAGAGGAGGCGGGTTAAAGGGAGATTTCTCCCCAAACAAGAGACGAAGAAAGGGGAATGAGGCAGTGATGTTTGTTTTTCTTAGGATGCTTGTTTTAAGGGATGCTGTCGGGCGAGGAGGCGATGTGAACGGTGGCTCAGTGCTCTGGACGAAGGCTTCTTAGGCTTCTTGGGGCATTGCTCTGCAGGTTAAGCGCGTCTGCCTGGAAAGTCTCCGGGCTGCTCGTTTCGCCGCTTCCAGGCGCCATGCCTTACCGTCTGCGCTTGGACGTGCTCTATAACTCGGGGATGTGTTGCCATAAGCGTGTTGCCTTGCGCTCGCGCCCGTGAGGGCGATGTATTGTCAATTGAAAGCGTGTCCTTCAGCACTTCCGTCGCGCCCTAGGAAACATGGGCGGTCGAGAAGACGGCCGCTGATGGGCATGTGGAGTATCCCGGGTAGCAGGTTCAGCACATGTGCGTCACAGATGCGCACCAGATTTCGTGAAAAGCCCGTCAGTTCCTTAAGATTTCGTTCCTCCACCCAGTTTCCGACAAGAGTTGGGACATCGTCTGACTTGTTGTAAGAGAGGTATGGATGTGCTTCTTCAGCCATTTTTAATAGTATCCAACCAGGCGGTAAAAAGAAAACACTAAGGGGCTCAAAGCAGGCGTCCTGGAAAGAATTAAAATTGGCAAGCTTCTTTTAAGACGTTTGACAAAGTTGAAACACACCAAAAGGCTATGACAACTTGTCATATATCTTGAAAACTTTAACGAAGATTTCTGCTCACTTCGAAGTCTCGTCCAAATACGGCAGTTAGGAAACAAAACAACATTGTGGCGTGTTTTTAAGCTGAGCTTCGTTTCAATAAATTGAAAATGACCTAAGAGGGACAAAGTTGTTATAGCATGTAGCATGCGGCTTGAGGCGTCAAGCATGTGGCTCCGGGGGTAAGCGATGGCTGTGCGGCCCCCTGGTTATATGTTTTAGAAATGATAATACGGCAATATAATAAACTTTTAAAGCTTGCGCACTAGCCATGTAATATGCCGGCGGGGCATCTTGGGCTGAGCGGAGGTGTAGGTTTTAAGTCCGTTCCCTGCACTTACCCACGAGGAGGCATTTGAATCATCCCAGATCAAAACTGAACCGTTAACTGTAGCGCGACTTTGCTTGTGTGAATCTATCTGCCAACTCCGATAGATGTTGCCTAGCCATACTTCAGGAATCGATACTGAAGGCCCTAGCTGCATGATACCTGCTCTTAAACATTCAAGCTGGCTTTAGTTCCTAGGCGATGTTAAGCTGTCGGCGGTTGCCTGCGGTTGCTGCGCTTCTGGTAGGTCCCACTCGCTACACGTGTCGTGAAGGGTAAAATCCTATGAAACGGAGCAATCCAGGTTGCTTCTGTATACCTGGTAAGGTTGGCTCTTTATACAGGCGAGGCTGAAACCCATTACAGGACGTCGCTCCCATAAAGCATCTCTCATTAGTTCCCCTTTAGGGGGAACACCAAAACTCCTTCTGCATATCATTGAATCTCTGTATCTCGGTGTACATCAAGTAAGGAACAGCAGCGGACAAGTGATCCGCATGAATTACACCTGCCGTACATTCGTACACTTGAAGGAAAAACACACCCCTACACAAAGTCCATCGACGAGAAGTGCATAATTGAGACATCGTTCATATTTTTCCATGCTGAGACCATGCACGTTTTATATAGAAGGGAGACACAGCATGTCAAGCTTATCACCAATAATTGTACGAGAATGCAGTACGGCGGTACGGCGGAGTTCCTCTTGAGTTCCACCACATTCAGCAGCTGACAGAATGCGTTTTTTCACTTGCGAAGCACGGCACCTAAAAGTACAAACACACATATAAACATGAAAGGTAAAGCGTAACGCCCCATGGATGCACCTGCCGTACAAAGTTCCAACGAGGACATACCGTACCGTACGAATCAGTCCTAAGCTACGAAACACACAGACAGCTAACCATCCTGAACAACGCCAACCCTTCATCTAAGCGGGCGCCAAACGGAAATCACCGCATAATGCTGCAGCAGCCCTTCGTCCCAGGTTCAAGAACGAAGCATGGGGGATGTCTCAATCCGGTTTCGCCTCATCGGCAACTCCACTAGACAGTTAGGGAGGGTGAGGGTGGAAGGGTAATCCGTTTGCCCTCCCTTCCCGCACTCACTTCCTGTAACTAAGCATCAGCATTCCTACAATTAACCATTCCAAAAGATCGACCGGCCCGGCTTTCTACTCACAAATGTTCTATGCCCACCACCGATGAACACCCAAGCAACGAACGGGGTACGCCTGCGACAAAACGGTAAGTCGTGTACGAGCCGGTCCGTACATCGCCGCTGCTAGCTACACCCGTACAGCTACAGCCTATGTACGTCCATCAATCCGGATATCCAACCCTGTCCCTTCCACGGTCGCTCGGTGCACGATGCCGATGGTATTAGAAGGGTATTAGCTGCAAGGGTGAGTATATCCTTAATTCGCTTGTTTTTCTTGCATAACCCATTTTTTATATCTTCCGCGGTCGTGGGAACAGAAAAAACGATTCCTCATTTTTCACATCCATTGCACAGATAGACATACACACATACACGTGTGCATGCATCACTCAGAACCAACAACGCTTCCGAAGTTAATGGGAGGACGCATGTGCATGTCTCCTTTCCAAACACGCACGTCACGTAGACGATGATGAGACGTCTCCGAGACGATGGATCCCGCCTGCCGAGATGCCTCCAAACCAATAGCGCCCGGCGGGATCGATAATGGCTTCATCAGTTCGTGATCCTTCCGAATCCATGAGATCAAGTAACGACGAAATCCAGCAATAACGAGATCCAGCAATAACGAGATCCTGCAACAACGAGATCCTGCAACAACGACGCCCATAACTCATAGCAGCAGCATCAGCTCAGGCCTCATCACCGCTTCTGGTGGCGCACGAAAGTCAGCGCCAGCAGCGCCAGCGTCGCGAACACGATCCAGAACAGCGACAGGTAGCCCACGTAGGTCCACTTGTCCGCTCCCAACAAGCCGTAATACTCCAAGATCGTCTTCCCGCCTGCAGCAGGCCGCGGCACGTGCAAATGCGTACACGCATTGGATGTGTCTGGTCTGGGTTGACACTACTGCAATTAGCGGTTTAAAGTCCTGGGTTTGATTCCTGGGGAGACCCCCGAATTAGTCGGGAGCGCGAGATTATGGTTAGCTGCTGAGATGTGGAGTTGAGGTCACAGTTGGTGGACCAGATTCGCACGCTGGATTGGTGGCGATTGCCGAACCCTCCGTCTCTTCGGGTGTTCGGGTGAATGGATGAGGAGGGGTCCCTGAAGGCTGGATCCGCCGCCTTGGACTTACAGTTCGTATGGCGAAGTACAGTGTGATAGTGGTGGATGGTGCTATAAGGTGATAAATGATCTAGAACTGACAATGTGATAAAGCGGCCCAGAAGCCTCCCACTCTGTAACATATCATATCATATCATGGATGTGTTAAACCAAAGGGCAAACCGTTCTGACGGACCCGCGCTGTGCACCGTCTGCAGTGGCCCGATGGCCCGATGGCCTGATGGCCCTGGGATAGGGCCATAATATGCGCATAATACCCTTGGGCTCCTTTACGTGTCACACATGTACATACATACGTACATACGTGCATGGACCCACTTTGTCAGTTTGATGATGACAGTTTCACGCATGTGGGCGTTACAAGGAATTTCCTAAGCAGAGCTTTTCGTTAAACGGGATGCGGTGGGTAAGCGGCAGGGTTGGATGGCGGGTCATGGATGGCCGCCACGTGGGCTGGAGACGTATGTACGGCCCTGTACGATACATCTCACGCATGCCGGTCGGCATGCCGGGCTACAGGTAGGTAGGTAGCTTGCGTAAACAATGTATTATAATAGGCAAGTCCACACCTGTGTAAAAGTAGTGCAGATACTACGAGGGAACAACGTACGTCCATATGTATGTATGTATGTATGTATGTCCGTATGCTAGACACCCCTACCCGCAAACTCGACGTTGTGGTCCTCGAACTGGTTCAGCATCAGCGCACCCCACGCGTAGCGAAGGAAGTCTGTATGTATGTATGCATTGCGCGGGTGGGCGGGTGCGTGGGCACACACGTGGAGGGGCGTGGGCGGGCCATGGTGGTTCAGAGTGCCGCCGTGCAGAACGGCGGGTGTGGAAAATCTTCAGCTACCATGAGCACAACGTTAGGTAGTGGGTTAACATCAGGGTATCGCTTGTAAACACACGCACACACACATATACGCATATATTATAATGTATATTATGTATAATACACATATACATGGCATATACATTGTATATGCATAGTCACCCCGGGTCTTCCGGGATGGAGAGAAAGAGTAAACGAAGTGCCGGGGAAAGCAAAGGAGTAGCACCAGCACCACTGCCGGTCAATGGGCAAACATCAGTTGGTAATAGTCATACACGCATGCACAAAATATGCATTGAGGAAGCGCCATGCTTATTACCACGCCCTCGACCCCAACCCAGGGGCGCGATATTTGGACCCAGACCCAGACATACAGACATACAGACATACAGACATACAGACATACAGACTGCAGTCCCCGCCGTTCGTCGTTCCATCTTACCGATACGCGAGTACCACTGCCACCAATCGGGGATGGAGTCCACCGTCATGAGTTGGCCAGCAAAGAACAGCAGTGTGACCACAAAGCCCGGCAGTGCGGCATTGGCCACATCCATGTTGGGCGAGAGAGCTGCCACTAGGTAGGCCAGCACGATGCCCACCGAGAGATCCACAAAGTATACCTGTAGATGTGTAGGTGTGTAGGTGTGTAGGCGTGTGTGTGTGTTGATGCGTGTGTGTGTGTTGATGTGTGTTTTACATGGTTGGGGGGTGCGTGACCCCATACCTGTAAGACTACCCATACGAGCCGAAGGCCCAAGGGCAATACTACAACGCCTAAAAGCCACGGAGGTAAGGAAAACACCGCACATCAGCCCAGACTAGCGTCCAAAGGGGGTAATTGTGTTGATGTGTAGATGTGTTGATGTGTTGATGTGTAGATGGATGGATGGACGGGGCCTTGCTCGAAGTTTATTACTCTATACCGTTGCCTGGGTTTCAGCATGTGGTTTGAGTGCACCCAAATGCATACCGGGGTACTACCCTGAGTGTTTCCCAACCGCACCAGACCGCACATATATGTAAGTTACTTTTAGTCTCTTCACGTATTCAGGATGCGTGAATGTCTACTAGCCTCAACAAGCGAGTGGTATTAGGCAAGCACACAAGCGACCCCTGCCTATTTAAGCTATCCAGCGCAACGACGCCCGAGGAAACCCCCACCCCGAGAGCGTCCGTCAGTCATCCGTCCGACACCACACCACATGGCGCGATCTATCTACCAAGCGACACGACCGCACAACCGCACGACGCACCAGCCAGAACACAACCCAGCTGCCTTGCAGCTGCACCCCGTAGAACACGTAGGCGGAGAAGGCGAGTGTGATGATCAGCGACAGCAGCAGCTCCTCCACCAGCTTGGCGGCCAGGTAGGTGAAAACGCGATACAGCCCGTCAGAGCGCTCGCGGACAAACAACCGGCGCTCTATGCATGCATACATACATACGTATAAACATACAAACAATACAGGCAGTGGGAGGTCAGTCGCAGAAGGCGTAGGTAGCATGCACAGGCGCAGATAGATCTATCTGAGTACCTCTTGAGGTACTCAGATAGTCAGGCAGGATAGGTGCGTTTATATCAGGTACGTAATGGTTTTTTTTTCGGAGTACGAGATTGCTTTGATCGACTTATGGTAAAGGCCCATTGACGGACAGATCATATTAAAGAGGAAGAGACAACTAGCCATTAAATGGGCGGTCGCGCGTACATGATATGCGCGTGTACATGATATGTGCGTGTACTAGCGCATTGTGTTCAGGCGAGGCAGGACAGGAAGGCAGGGGACGTCGTTGCCAGCAGAGCTTAGTGCAAGCTCAGTACACATAAACAAACGTCAAACAACAACACATACAACGATACACAACAAAAACACACCCTTAGAACCCACACCCAGACGCACCTAGCACGATGGCGGGCACGTACGACGCAGCGCCAAAGGCCGGCAGCAGAGCCCACATGAACAAACTGGACTGAACGTTAACCAGGTTGTCCGGTGCCATGTTATCCCCCACTCCGAGGTACAGAGTCAGGATGATGAGGGAAATGAGCAACTTGTCGCCGATACGTGGTCCCAGCCAAGCAGGGTTGCAGTAGTTGTGGCTCGTACGGTACTGCACGCATGCATGTGTGATAAGGCGCGTTCGTTCGAATACATCACGTGAGAGCGTCATTTTCGCCAAAAAAAGTAAATAGCTAGCAAAGTGATGAAGCGCGACCATGACGTGGAAGGAACGTACAAACACTGCACGTGTTCAAGGGCATTATAGTCCGCGTGTGTGTGTCTAGGAGGCTGGCTTTGCACGTATGTAGTGCCAAGGGCACCTAGGTGCATTACCTCCATACGTACACCTCCATATGTACTATTTTAGCCATTTCTTGTTGTATGGTTTAAAAGGAGAGGAAAAAACCCAAGAAACTCCCTTACTCTGACATTTGTTGGGTCCCAGTAGCCTAGCGTTACCGATTCACCTATTCACCTATTCACTCAAAACCTCCTAGGTGGTGATTTACATGTTTAGCCAAGACCGCCTCCCAACCAGGTTCGCACCTTTATCAAGGTCCATAAGCCCCAGAACCAAGGGGTCACTGTTTCACTGCGAGTCGCGAGCTCCTTGGCGACCTGTATGTGCGTACGTATGTATGTATGTGTGTGTGGGGGGGGATGAAACAGCATGCAGCAGCACAGCGGTGGAGAGGACCGCAGTCAGGGGCTGTGTGTGGGTGCAGAGAGTGGCGGGAAGTAGAGAGCTCGAGCTGGGGCCCAGGAGATGCATGTGTAGGAGAGCGGGGATGCATGTGTAAGGGAGCGGGGAGTAAGCCGAAATCAAGGCTAAGAGCAAGGGTTGAAACAAGCGTGCGAAACACCTAGAACCTGACCGCGTGTTGGTGTGTAATTGTTGCAGATGAAACGGAGCGTAGCAGAACATTTTGTGCGTAGCAGAAGATACTGGGGCATTGGGAAATGCTCCATGCGTGCGTGCGTGCGCATGTAACCGCTCGTTGTTGTCGCAAATCTAAAAAACATGGCGCTAGGCGTGTGCAAGTTAAAGGTTTCGCGATAAACAAGTACCTGATCGGGGAGACTGGAGCTTGAGGCAGCTTGGTGAATGGGCGCGGGTCCGGAGACCTGCAGGGCCGGCGCCGCGGGTGCTGGCGGCGCCGGCGCCGGTGCAACAGCGATAGACTCCACGTCTTTGTTCCCACTGGCCCCCTCGCCGCCGCCGCCGCCGCCGCCGGTCCCGGCGCGTCGTAGTGCCGCCGCGACCCGGCATGGTGCGCATTGTCGGTTGGCAGTTGTACGGAGGGAGGCCTCCGAAAGGTACAGCTCCAACTGCCTGTCGTTTTCCTGGATTCAAATCAATAGTTGTTGAAGGCAGGGCAGGTGGCGAGTGATCGTCGGCTGTGGGGGACTGTGTGTGTGTGTGTTACAATTTGAATTGTAAAGGTGTAGCAGGCCCATACAAGCCCGTGGGGGCCGCCCAAGAGCCGTGGGGCCGAAGGCTGTCTAAAATAGACAGATATCATACGACGCACGAAAGCTGTTACCGTAACTGAGATTGTACACGAGATGAAAGTGGGAAGGGAAGATGATGTGTCGAAAATAGAGGTGCCGTACTTTCGTACTAGGGGCAATGGATAAGATGATGCAGTAGAAGGTTAAGCAAGTCAAAGAAAATAAACAAGTCAAAACTGAAAGAGTAATAAGGAAAGCAACAAGATCTATGTGAGAAAAACGCCGGCACTATTTCCCATCCTCGACGATAAGGTTCATTCCCCAGTGCCAGCCACGCCTGCATGCCTGCGTGCCTAACGACCCTCTAAGAGCCGTACCTTCCGCAACGCACTCTTGTCGTACGCCGCCGCCAGTGACGCCGCGTCGCCGCGCTGGTCCGCCTCCGTCACCGTCTCGACCAGCACCTCCGCGTCGTTGAATGCCAGGGCCGCCACCGCTACCTCCCTGCCCTTGACGCGTCCAGCGGCAGCAACGCCACCGTCGCCGCCGGTAGCGGTCTGTTGTACGGTGGCGCGGCGGTGAAGCTCCAGCAGCTCCGACGCCGCGGTGGAGGAGGGCCATTCGGCCGCCGCAAATTGGAGCGCCGGAAGACCCTGAGGACCAAAGTAGACCAGCTGGCCGCGGACCTGTGTACGGCGGCAGCACATCCATGTACGGCAATTAGCCGTACGCATATACGTAACGTTCAGCAGCAGGCGGCGGCTCGCGATGCAGCATTCGATAAGACCAGGCAACAGATGCCTTGCTGGCAAGGTGGTTAAGGGCTCGCAAGGTCAAGACTCGGCCCCTCTCAGCCAGCGACGTAGATTCGGTTAAGTGGCTAGATAAACGCGGACCAAGGCAACTAACCCCTAACCCCTAACCCCTAACCCCTAACCCCTAACCCCTAACCCCTAACCCCTAACCCCTAACCCCTAACCCACCCCAACCCCCAACCCTACACGTGCATGCACGCACAGTTATTATTATTCAAAACACGGTTTGACACGCTTCGGCAGGATTGTGGGCATTTGCCCACAAGTCAATAGTTACTTAGTCCGCTGTCGAATTTGAGCCAATGAACTGCAGCACGAGCAGACGGACCCACCAGCAGCATCACCCGGTCGAAGAGCGCGAAGGTGGCGGCGGTGGGGCTGTGGATGGTGGCGGCGATGGTGGTGCCATCGGCCGCAAGGCCCCGCACCACCTTCATCACCTCGTTGGCTGTGTAGCTGTCCAGACCCGAGGTGGGTTCATCCAGGAACAGCACACGCGGGTTGGAAATGAGAGCGATGCCGATCTGCATGCATTGAACCGAGAAAAGCAATAGCAGTACGGCGGCAGTAGCAAAACGACACGTCACAAATGATACCGCAACAGCAAGACGCAGAGCAAAGGCAATAAACAGCAAAAAAAGATAAAAGAATATGCTGTAATTGTGTGCAGATATACGGACAGACAAACAGATAAGCAAACGAATGTCGCGCTCGCTGTATGTCGTACCAGCAAGTACGGAAGGGAAACGAAATGGAAGCGCTGTACGGCTGTAACACGGCGGGGGAAGAGCACGTGCTGCGGGCAGGTGAGGCTTGCAACGAGCTGGGCCGGCATGGCAGATGGCGGCTTGCGAGCAACAAAAAAAGCAGTGAGCAGACCGGCACGTGGTCCTCGCACATGTGCCTCGAGAAAAACAAAGGAAAACGTAATTATTACACATCTATACGTACAGCCCCGTACAGCCCCGTACAGCCCAGTTTAACCACATAACCACATACGTTTGTCCGCTTGGCCTGCCCACCGCTGATGCCCTTCGACATCGGATCGCCAATCTTGACATCCGAACAGTTGCTCAGAGCCAGCCTCTGCAGCAACACCTCTACCTGGAACATACGAAGAACGGAAACAGGATAGTAACGCATATCGTGTCATTGGGAAATACATCTGCACGGGCACACATTCGTACATCGGCAGTGCCGTCGTACACATTAAATGTTTTTTTAGATGTCGACGTGACCTCGAACTGTCAAACCGGGGACTGAACGATGCTTCACGTGGTGACGGCTGCGCGGCGGCGGCGGCCGACTGCCGAGGACATTTCGACAACTAACTAACTAACTAACTAACTAACTAACTGACGATGGGAGCTTTTGCTGCTGGCCGTTCAGGGTTGTTCATCCTCCGGCGTCGACAGTGATGACACCCGGCAAGACCAACTTAAAGGGCAAAAAACAATCACGAAAGAATGATCAGTCGGAGGTCGATTTGACATGAATGCTGTAAGAGTGATGTACGAACACCCAAGAATCTTTGGTGATGTACGAATCTAAGGTGTCACGCAACACTGGGTTTTGCTCCTTTGTTTAGTAATTGGTAACGAGCCATTAACCGACCCTGAGCGACCCCGCCACGCACCTCCCTCCTCTTGTCAGCAAGGGGCTCTTCCATGGGTCTCTTAAGCTCCGCCGTATACATCAGCATCTCCCGTACAGTCAGATCCCCAAGCAGCGTGTCGAACTGCATGGGCAGAGATTTCATCAAACTTAGGTTGCACTAGGTTTCTTTGGCGAGAACAAATTACCAACTAGCTGCCAGTAAATGAACACAGTAACAGATAGGATAGATAGGGACCGTCCATTCGATTATACCAGGATGCGATTCATGGACGATAAATTTTAAGTTTGTAGGCGATCATCATGATGTCCAAACTTTCCCGTCCGTACCTGCTCGACATATCCCGTGTAGCGCCTCAGGAACTGCTTGGTGGGCTGTGAGCCGCCAAAGCTGAGATGGCCTTCCGTCTTGCCGACTGTCTTGCGACCCGCGAGCAGGTCGAGCAATGTGGTCTTTCCACTGCCGCTGGGTCCCATCTACACGGGGGATGGGCGAGATGGAGGCGGCCGCCCAAACTGGTACAGGTTGCAAGTGGCTGGAGGCGAGTTCATACGGTACGCTAATCCATGTATGCACGCGAACGGAGAAACGAAATTTGCATTAAACCGTGCATGCAGGTAGTCCAAGCGTACTAGCTAAGGCACGTGAGAAGTTAAATAGTGATATTTTCTAACAATTTGCACAAATATCGAAGATTATAAAAACATCATCTCAGCAGCGCATGAACAGGGAACAAGAAACTACGTGTTTCGGAGTTTCGCATACGGGTATTTGGCATCCTCTAGCTCGCGAAGAAGAAAACGAAACTTGTTACTACCTTGTGCATAACCACAATAATGTTGAAGCAAATAAAATTACTCACCAAGGCTGTCATCTGACCAGGCTCTAGGTAAGCGCTCACACCCTTCAAGAGGTAAGCCCGCTCGCCACGCTGGCTATTGGAGGCAACGTGATACGACAGATCCTTCATGAGGATGCATAGCCCAGCCTGCACATTATTTGCGCTGCTGGTATTGTCGCTGCTGCTGCGGCGCTTGAAGAACGCTGCATCGGAAACGCTTGATTTGGCGACCATGCCTGCCTCGACGTCAACGACATCGGGCATGCTTGTATCAGACATATTTGATTCCACTGTAAATATTTATCCGCTCCACTTGCTGGGCACGAGGAATTACGTGCAGTAAGGTGCGGCTGGTTAAGCAGCAGTTGCACCTTGCAAGTTCGCCAAGCCAGAGACCTCCAGCCTACAAACATTAAAATTGGTCTTTAGATATATTTAAGTACACTATTTGTAAGCGGAAAAAGACTGAACCGTTAGGTTCCTGCTGTGGGTGTCCTCCGCTGGTGTCATCCATTTGCTTGTCATGGAAAGGAAGGCAAGAACATGCCTATGTGACGCATTTAGTTAGTATTTTACTTACCTTATCAAAATCCTAGCAAATTGTTGAGCTTTCCCTTTTAACAGGCTTCCGAAGCCGAATCGATGCTCAGGACAGTCGCAAACGCTGAGCCGCAGAAGTTATGGCGTCGAACAGTTCATCTAGTATATTATTACTTTTAGAACGCCGCTTGATAATGGTGCGCTGGGGGCCAGTACGACGGTCGTTGCTGGATTATGCACAGCGCTGGTTGACGCAATGACGCACTGATGCAGCCCGCTGATGCATCTGCCAAAAACGGTGACGCATTTAATAATTGTGTCACTTATCTCCATCAATTATTAAATGAAACTAGACTGTGCTGGGCGCATTTCGCTTTGTAACTCGAAGGCCGTAGGAATCCTGAAGAACTAGAACTCATTGCTTTTGCTCTCAGGACTCCTGTCATGCAAAACATTACTAGATTAATCTGTGCCTTTACAATCCTTATTAAAGTAAGCGTTAAAGCTGGTCTCCGGCGGTCAGCACTTTCTCGAAGCCTAGGTCGCCATTCACTCACTACTGGGAATAGCTGCGAAAACTAGCTCATTCAGGAAGCGCTTGTCATCGTTTATCTTTAATAACGCCTGGGCTATGGCCCCACCTGCTGCGCCAGCCAAGGAGCCAAGCTAAAGCCAAAAGCTCTGTACGCCCGACTCTTGCTAGGATCATCAAGGCACTGCACACTTAGGCAGAGACGCGCGAGCAGCGCAACCGTCGATTAATTCCAGCAGCCTTTTGTATCCAGCAGTGTATACCCCCCGGCCGGTTGGTTCGCTCCTTCGCCAGGGACAGACACTGACCCTGCTCTCCTTAACCCCCGGGTGGTCCATGTTTGAGCGAGACTGTACGGTTTCACGTGCCCGGCGAGCTGGGAAAGGTGTCTTAAGGTAGAGGATAAGACACATCTATTTCGTTACAGGCGGCAAGACTCAGCCCATGTCTGGCAAACCACTCCCTGCACCGTTTCACAGCACACCCGCTATCCCCTTCCCAGCCGCCGCAGATACCAAAGCGTGTTCTGGCCGACATACTACCGCCTAACCTGAAAAGATTGATATCTTTTAGCGCACCTTAACAGGGCCGCTGACATTTCCCATCTGCTCGCATCCTGCATTGATGCATATCTAACATGCACACATGCCATACCGTACCCACATGTTCACGCTAGCGTTTCAGTCTCCTAAGCAGGACATGATTTTCCGTGCTGCAGCCAACTCTACTAGGTAGTGGCGCCGTCGCGGCCACCGAACGCTGCAACACACCCCATCAGCACCATCAGCTCCAGAGTCCCGTGCCGTCCCGGCGGTTTGGGCCTTCCCTCCAGCGTTTTTTTGCGCTATGCTGTAAAGCTCTTTGTGACAGGTCCGTTGCTAAGCTACATAATTCCCGACCGCACAGCAAACACCGCAGCTTCTCTGGATCCACGCCATTGGGTGGCCGCCATTGATTCGGAGCAACGTTGCCAGCCCCCGCAGGACCATGGCGAGCTGCACATTGCGGCGGCACTCTACTGCGTGCAGCGCATTTGCAGCCAGCCGCCATGGAGACGGGAGCGGCACCGATGGCACCATTCAGATCCGTGACTGAGGGATCCTTCGCCACAATACTGGGATTGTCGATCTGCCGCTCGAAATGCTGCATGTTTGCAAACCAAATCCTTGAAATTGATGCTGCCAGCTTATAAGTTGCCGACGGTCCCGACCCTCCCCCGCCTCTTACCCCTAATTTTGCTTACGAGGATGATGCCATTCCCCACACATCCCATGCCCGCTCAGGGCCTCAAGTATTAGTGGGCACGCCATCATCCTGCATGCCCGCCTACTCTCTGCCTAAACCCCAAACCCGAGACACTTCAGGTGCAGGAGGATTGGCATATTTATGCGCAGTTCCACAAACGTATCATGTCCTACCAATTTACGCCATAATAAAGTTAGGATTAGAACGCACTAACGCCCAACGCCTCAACTGCCTGGTGGCATATCCTATAAACTACAGCTAGCCTCGCAGCACCGTCACGTGCTCAATTGTTGAACAGTTTCACCGCGAACTCTGCGTGAAGCTGGGTCTATGTACTGCTTGTCCTTCGCGGTAAGCATCAAGTAGGGCATCACGGGCTCTGCCCCTTCCGCGGAGCGCATGCAGGCCCACCAATTCCTGAACGCTGGTCGCAGGTCCTGCCACATGTTTCCATCTTCCGCCTCGATGACCTCCAGCATGTCCGCCAAGCGGTCGTTGCAACGATGCGGCTTAAACTTCTCCTTGTCCATAGACTCCCGAGCATAATCAACTTCGTTGTTATAGACACGTACGTCCAGCAAACCCGTCATCACGCTAACGCAACCAACTAGCAGGACGCCGGCGATGCCGCGACATACGCGAATCAGCCGCCGAGAATAAACCTTTTGGAAATCCTCCATCTCTATATGTTTTAAGTTTTAGTATTTGTCCTGGGTGCAATAATGCGCGTCTGCTGAGTAGGGCAGAGATCAGGTTATGTGATTCTGGTTACAGTGTTTGTTAACGTTCCAGCGCCAGTAGTTGGCGTACTATACAGACATGTTGTTGGTGACAACGTCGCAAGCGCGGTGTTTGGATCCTACAGTGGATTTTCCAGGACAGCCGTACAGGACTGCGATAACTGAGATATGGACAGCTCGTATCGAACATTTCAGAACTGCGGAGCGTTGGTGTCGCTACATGCAAATCCCGTCCATTTGGAGTCGGCGCTTTTAAGTGCGTGATCCGGCTCGGGCCCTCCAAGTTAGCGGGCTCCAAGCTAGCGCTGCTAGGGTGCGGAAGATTGCAGCACCATTTCAGCCAGTAAGGTGATGCGGATAAGGCCGAGGGGGAGGTAGGGGAATGATGTATATGCTCTTCCAGGTTCCATTTGAGGGAAACAAGCTTACGTAAACAGGATAGCAGCACGCAGAATCTCAAAGGGAGGAACCTCTCGCCTAAGACTGTTCTGAGGATGTCTCATACTTCAGCCGGAGTGCATAGGTGAAGGAACGTGGAAGGACACAGCATACGCCAACACTGAGCCACGCAGCACGTGATGTGAATATCAACCTTCGTACCACCCTCAATTGATGCTAAGTTTGAGAAGCTGCTGCTGGATTCAGATCTTGTCAACCCGCACAGCCCTAGCCACACGATGCACTCCTGCCTAGGACCCTTTACTCGGAGCAACGTGTAAGTAGGACCTCCACATCCGCACCCTGCATCCCTACGGGGCACGGGCTTTATTATGAAGGTGCGGCTATGCTTGCCAACGCTACACAGGCATACATGTTGGAAACAGGACACATAGGTACCATGTCACATGGACAGGCGTTGCCACGACCTTGCCTGCGAGTTGACGACCCGCAGAAACTATATGAAGAGGTCTTCCTTGCAATATTGCAGCAGTGATACGGAAGATAAGCGTTAGCTTTAGGTGGTCGCAACCTATATGCAAGATGGACACCTGCGCGAAGGAAGCCGATAACAACTCAAAAATGCCATCTTATAGTCCAGCTTGTTATAATCGACTTGCATGCGTTGATGGATTAGCGTTATGCATTGACGTTTCCTACTTCCTGTATTAAGAAGCGCCGTACGGTCGATCATGCTCCCATTGAAACTGCACTGCTGCCCTATTTAAAGCATTCGTCGTATCTAGTAGGTACACAGTTACGCGGATTTGTGCTTTGCCGCCGCGGATCGTGTCATTTCTTTGAAGTCTGGTTACTAAAAATGCAGCTTGGCCAGCGCGTTCGCCCATTCAGCGGACCCTCGGCGGCCCGCCGGCCAGCACGTGCTGGTGCGTAGGAATTCATACATCTTGTCAGTGGTCGTTTAGCCCACGCGCTGCAGCGGCCTGTGTTCTCGTCCTTGTGCGAGCGTTAGACCGTAGAGCCGACAACGCACTCGCTACTCGCAGGCTCTGTTACCGTCCGGGCTGCTGCAGCTACTCGTGATCCCAAGCAGCGGATTGTCATTACTGGCATCGGCATCTGCAGCGTCCACGGCAATGACCCAGACACCTTTTACAGCAAGTAAGCGGCCGGTTTGGGCATTTTTCATCCATGTTTCCTATATATGACTTGTAATTTGAATCGAATTCCCACTTAGACGGGTGACCGCACTGCGTATTGAACGTTTCCTTGCTTACGTGGAATGCTGTTCTTTGCCATGCAGGCTCCTGGACGGTGTTAGCGGTGTTGGGGCTATTGACCGCTTCGATGCTTCAGAGTTTCCTACTCGCTTCGCTGCCCAGATCAAGAACTTTGACGATGAGGGGTGAGGGTGTCGTTGAGCGTTACAGTGGGAGCGGCGATCGGCGATTCTTCGCGCGCACTTCCGCTTAGCCCGAAGTTACGCCAATGACTGTCCGACTGCTACGAGCCTTCAAGGAGTTTCCGTGGGAAAAAGAGTTTCCGTGGGAAAAAGTTCGAAGTACCCCGCACGACTTGCCTATACTCGTTGTGCGTCGCGTTGTAGTGCTGTGTCTCCTTTCCACACCACCCTCTTCAAGCCGGTTGTTTCCTGGCGCGTTTCGATACAACTCCCCGTCGCGTTCCGTCGTGCACCTGTCCTTCAAGCATTACTCGTTTTCGCCTTTTCCTTATGGTCGAGTCACGTCACCGAGATGTCGTCCGGGCCCCAGCTTCACCCACTCCTAGACCCGCATTCCAGCACCGTCATCGTTTTGCTTCCTTCCTCCTCACCTCCTTCCAGCGTTGTGTGTTCCATGCTTTTGAATGATATGGCTGCCGCCCTTGCTGTTCCTGCCCTTGCTCTTTCTGCCCTCCGTCGCTGTAATTTGTTACTTCCCCTCACAGCATGATTGACAAGAAGAACGCCCGGCGCTACGATGACTGCCTCAAGTATACGATGGTACGCGGCACGCCGCGTGTGTGTATGTATGCATGGTTGTAGGTGCATGTGTGTGTGGGGGGGTTCTCTGGACAACTGAACCGGCCCCGCGCCCTGGCGGCCGCCTCTGTTGTTGTTATGTGTTGCGATTGTTGTGCGTTGCGAAACGTGCCCATCCCCCTGGGATTGAACGTGGGGGTGTGGACATGAGTGGCGACATGGTGGCCGTGTGTGTATGTATGTATGTATGTGTGGTGGGAGGGTTGTGCGATTAGTCCTCCGTATGTAGTTGTATGTATGTATGTATGTACGTCTTGCGCGGTCTCCTCACTCGCACGCACAGCCGATCAACGTGCCGTCTCAATGCAGCATGCAGGATGCTGAAAGTGTGTATGTATGATGTTGTGTATATATGTATATGTATAAATTTATGTATATGTATAGCTCTCACACAGCCTGAACCATGTACGCGTCAGTGCCATCTGTCTGTTTGTCTGTCTGTTTATCCTGTCCCCTCTCTCTTACCTTATCTTCCCTTCCCCCTCTCTATTCCCCCTCCCATCCCTCTCCCCCCTCCCTCTCCCTAAAACCTAAAACCTAACGACCAATGCCACACTCCCTCCCCACTCCCACTCCCCCTTCCCCCTCCCTTCCGCAGGTTAGCGGCAAGAAGGCGCTGGTGATGGCGGGTCTGGAGAAGGAGCGCTGCGCGGCGGGCTACCAGCAGGTGGACCCGACCCGTGTTGGTGTGCTGGTGGGCACCGGCATGGGCGGCCTGACCGTATTCCAGGACGGTGAGATGATGAGAGGGGGGGGAGCTCGACTGGCTGCGTG